TATGATGTCATCACGGAGGGACGGAGCGTCAGCGTCATATAGCGAGGGTTGGAATGGGTGGTTCACGGTGCATGTCCACATATCATTGACTATTCTGTAATATGCAACGGCACAGCTAGTTTTTATTGATTTGGATAACGTTGAGGTATAGTCAACATCTTGATCACAACCTAGATACATATGAAAAAATTAATTTGAAAAGATTATAGTATTTCAAAGAAAGAAAATATAACTTTTAATGAAAAAATCTAATTATAAAAAGAGATTTATTCTGTAATATATTATTATGATTATTATTATTATTATCATTATTCTTCTTATTATCATTATTATATTAAGGCAACTTTGTTCCTTTCATTGCAATTGCTTTGTGTGTTCAATGCTAGACCTTATCTATAGCAGTAGCATTTTGATAGACAGCTGTAGGTGCCTGCCAGGACAAAAAAAGAAGAATTATGATTTTCTCATCTTTAGTGGAAAAAAAAAATAATCTGTTTTTGAAAAATGAAGAAAACAATGAGGAAGACTCCAGATTCCCCATGGTGCTCAGCTAAGAGGGAGAGGGGGGCACATCAAGACCACTTCCTTTCTCGAGCGCCCATCAAGGTGACGACACTTCAGTTTTTCTCTCATTAGTATGCATCATAATGGCTTCACAAAGAGCTTTGCTTGTTGTTTATCTTGTGAGTCTTGTTTATGTGCGCAGTGCCAAATGCCTGGGCAGTGGGGAGAGGCGGAGTTGGGATTGGGAGGTGGTGGCGGTGGTGGGGGGTACACCCCAGTCTGCCCAGACCCCGAAGCTTCCTTATATTCACGGTGACCGGGTGTAAAACTCAGCCCCAAAAACCCCCCGAGGGGCGAGCTCAACCTGGGAAAAATAATCTTTTATTTGATCAACTATTTAAGAAATTTAAAAAAGAAAGAAAAGAAACAGCTTCTTTAAGTGCTGACAGCCTTTTTAACCAACTTCACAAAAAATGTACAGAAAAAAAAAACAGAAGAACCATATTGTACAGATATATGTGACCAGCACTCCTAAGGAAATTATTAAGCAATGAGGAGACATTGAACAACGCTGTACTATAACATTTTCTGTAATGATATGAAACTGATGAAAGAGACTAAGATAATAAAAATCCTTGATCATTATGTAAAAAAAAGTTCTTGTTGGGTTTTGTTTTTTAATAAAATATATCTAAAGAAAAGAAAAACAGTGATTTTCTTCTTTGATACTAAAACTTATTGATCAGGATTATAGAGTTAGCAGAGTGAGTGATCTGAATGGATGAGTGAAGGTTTAATGTGCGGACGAGCTCCAATAACAAAACTCACAGACGGTTAGTCAAATGTCCGAGGTCACAACCAGCATAAATAATAATGTGGATGTTCAGGCACAACCTTGTTTTTCTGTCTGTTTTCAGAGTCTGCATCAAAATTCAGACCTAACTGGACTTCTGCTACTTCACATGTGATCAGCGACCTCTAGAGGCTGCAGTCAGTATGACAGGATAAAAGGATCAGAGTGTCTGTAAAGGGTTCCTGTGTTTGTCAAGCAGAGCCGGCCAGAGCCTCAATGGGGCCCTAATGGGACCTCTATTTCTGACAATAATACTGATTATTGATCATTCACACACCTTCAAATCTCTTTGATTAACATTCCCTGACATGCAAACAAACCTTTATCTCTGCGTTTTTTCTCTTCTTCTTCTTTCTTCTCTCTGCTCCTTTTTTGCGACATTGTTTTGTCCCACAACTACCTGCGCTTTAAATGTTCAGTGCACATTGCACAGCAGAAGGCAAATAATATCCGCAGTAATCATAGGCCTACATCAGCAGGAACAGCACTAAAACGTTTTTGCTTTATTTTACTTTTACAATACTATATATTTGATCATACAGAAAGCATCACTCATACATGCAAAAATATATAAAGATTATTATTTTTTATTGCTCCTCTGGGCCTCCTGTTGGACGTGGGGCCCTAATCAGGCGCTTAGTTCACCTCACTTAGTTATGCCTAGGCTCTGTTGTCAAGGATAAAACAGTCAGTGTAAAGGACTCCTTTTTTTGACCTGAAATTATCTCTATTGTCTCCTTATGAGCTGCAGTAACTACATTTGCCATTTTTGTATCTTTGTTTCTTAACAGCTGCTGTGGGTGAGTGTCAGCCTGACAGATTTCCTGAACCCTGAAGAAACAACTTCTTAGTTTTACAAATATTTACAATCACAAAAGTCTGAACATTTGTGGGACTTAGACACAAACATTTCTGTCGGTCTTTGTCCTGAAGTTTTTCTCTGAATGTTGAAGGTATCAGGAAACAATGTTGATCTGCCTTCAGATTCTTAGAGCTGATGTTGTAAAAGGGTCTCTAGTATGAAACCTCGGTTAGTTAATCACAAAACTAAGATTAAAGAAAAAGGAGATCTTCTGCTCTGAAACAGAGTCAATGTCCTCATACGCTAAAAACAGAGAACAGTAGACGTTTTAATTTTCATCCCTGAGACCTCATCTGTTAAAAACGTCCTCACTGTCACATTTCTTCATCCTTCAGACATGACCGACTTTTGCATTTTGTATGACTGAGTGGGTTTGCCATCTTTAACAGTCAGACGTGACGGGCGTTGGCTGCGTTCGATCACAGAGCTTTTTCTGCAGATGCCATCCTACGTCACTCCGATAGTGACCCGGTCCAGTGGACTTTAGGTTAATCCAGAGCGACTGGCTAATACTTTAAGTGCTGCGAGCAAACACAAAAACTGTGAATTATCCTTTTGTTACCGAGCAGCACAAACTCTGATCCATTTAAAGTCAATCAGGTGTGATTATCGGTCAGTTTAAAACCATCATCTATAACTGCGTTTATTTCCATCACTCTGAATGTCTTTACTGTCTCTCTGTACCGGATACTAATCATCATTTCTGAGTTGTGTTTACTTTTCTATGTCACTGCTAATTAATCACGACTCCTCAAGGTCAAACAAAGGTCAAACGAATGAAAAGAAAGGAAACATCCTGCCTGTTATATTAGAGACGAAAGGTTCAGCATTTAACAGTTTCTGAGGTTTTTTCTTCTGCTGCTGCTCTGAAGAGAAAAGTGCTGCGTTGGGATGAAGCTCTGCAGAGAAAAGAGGGTTTTTAACGTCTCTCTCGCTCTATCTCGCTCTCTCTAGGAAGGTAAGTATTTAAGAATCCGGAGCTGGCAGCACAGAGCCTAATGAGGAAAAGAGGTTAAGCACAGAGGTGTCAGAAAGGATTAACTTAATAGAAATACAGCAGAAAAAACGTCCGCTTCAGGCTTTGGTGTAGATATTTCTGAGGCTGCATGAGATTAGACAGTTTCTGTTCTGCTCTGCGAGGTGAAATGACAGAAGATCCCATTAGTTTGTGATGATTAATGGAGCTGTGACAAGAACTTAGTTAAATTCATCTCTGAGAATGTGTGCGAGATGTGTGTAATGTGAGGGGATCAGTGAGGAGATGATAGCAGAGAAGAATGGAAAATTCCTCAGACCCTTAAGTGCAAAAAGTGTTTATTGATTAAAGGAGATGCTCATGAGGGAATCTGAGATGTACGCTGCATTTTTGTCTGACTTGAATGATATTTTCGCAGGTATGTATCAAACCTAAAGCCGAAATGTTTCCGCCTCTTTTTTTGGTGACATATTAGGAAACACTGAAGAAAATACTCTGAGGTTAAAATGATATTTTCCTTTTTTTTATATACAAAGAATAAACAACATACACATTCATACTGTGTACAAAAAATAAATAAGATAAAGAACTACGGTAAAAAAAAAGAAGAGTATTAAAGTATAAGAAAAATAAAAAAGATCAGTGCCAACAAAAAAAAAAATCAGGTATAGATGTAATGATGATGATATTGATATCACATTGTAGATTAGGCTTTTCTGTGTGATCCACTGTACAGAAATTTAACCATTAATTTATCTTAGTGTTTATATTTACATATTTATTGTTTTGAAGGCACATGCACAATACTTGATTTCCACTTGTGTTTCCATCAAATTTGACACAAATTTAATTCACAATTTAATGTTAAAGCACTTAAAACCCTTATATTTCCCCTTTTAAAACTGTTTTTGTTATTTTATTCAGTATTTTTATATGTTTAAAGTTGAATCTGTGAGGCTGTGGTTGTTCCCCGTCCAGCCGACAGGGGGCGGTGTGGAGCTTCACTGTTGCCACGGATACGGCTGAAAACAGCACGCGCAGCCCTCCTCTCAGTAATGGCCACAAGTGTCTCGACTGTTCTGGACTAAACCCGGAGGAGCTGCTGCTGCTGTTAAGGCTTTGTCCTCTGAAGACACCACTCACTGTTTCCGACTCTCATTTCGAACTAAACTCGAATCTCCAGAGTGTTGGATTACACAGGAGAGCCGGTTCCGACCCAAACCCGCTCAGTTTGCTGACTTTAAAGCGGTGAGTTCACGCAGTTTGTTCCGGGACAGCTACGCAGTTAGCGGTTAGCTCAGTTCTGAGTCGCTGTGAGTGAAGGAAATCTCAGTAAAACACAAACTTCGGTGTTTTTAATCGTGTTTATTTAACCTTTTGGGGCTTTAATGTGTTAATCTGTTTCTGTTTTATGAAGTTGGGTCAAGTTAAACTGTCATGTTACACAATAGAGCAGACTAAGTCACCCTGACTGTGATTTAAGGTGTTAGCTCCACATACAGACAGACAGTTAAATATCTATAATTAATGTGAATAACTGATCAAAACAATCTGTTCATGTCTGAGAAATCTACTGAAACTCACTTTAATCCGCGCTGAGAGACGTTATATCAATTTACCAGATTTATCCTTGAAACTATCTTCTGTTTTATAAGTTTGACTGTAGAGGAGAATTCTGATTTAATTGCAGTATTTGAGAAAATGTCCCAGTAAGGAGGATCCCAGAGCTGCAGAGAGGTTTAAAAGTTAACAGACTGTTTATTGTGAGTCAGTTTAAGGGAATTAAATGTTGTGATTAGTGTCAGAGAGGAGCTTGGACTAAAACCTGTCTCTGTCTTTGTCTCTGTGTTCACTGTTTAGTCGAACAGGTTAAAATAAATACAATATATAATGTGCTCTGGCAGAAAACCAATTAAAGAGACAGCTCTTTAACTTGGATAATCATACTTTGTAAAGGGTTTAGGATGAAGTTGATCAACTTGTTTAGTCCTTCATTGTTGTGTTAGTGTAATTTAATAAGTCAGAGCATGTGTGGGAATAACAACATAGAAGAAAGAAAATATATCTGAAAAAAGACCATTGTTATAAGTTCATGTTTCCGTTTCTGATTATTACTGATGACACTTTGTTACTGTTTATGTTAGACCATATAACATACATGTAGGGCTGGGCGATATGGGAAAAAGTTTATCACGATATATTTTTTTCATATCAGTCGATATCGGTATATATTATGATATGAAAAATGACATTTAACAGTGTTTATTGATCACATGTCTTTTCCAACACAATAATGTCCTGCATCTATGAGGTCTTTGTGTCTCTTTGATGTTTTGTCGTAAGGCGTCGCTCTAGAGAAAGCCGACTGTTTCAGCTGCACAGGCGCCATGGGCTCCTTTAATAATATAATAATACATTTTATTTATAAGCGCCTTTCTGGACACTCAGGGACACTTTACAGAGTAAAAACAACAGGATAAAAGCAGCAGAGAAAACAAAACAAAATAGGGGAAAAAGTTTATATGTATAAATAAAACGAACAAAAAACATGATAAGGTAAATTATAAGGCGTGTGCTAATCTAAAAAAAAAAGAGAGGGAGAGAGTCGATATTACGGATGTCAGGTGGGGGCGACTCCGCTCAGGTTTGTAACCTTTTCCCCAACTTTACGAGAACATGTACTCGACATAATTTACAGCACACATTACTCTGCTTCATGTCCGACCTCAGAAAACTAAAACACCTCCACACCACCGACGTTTGTGTCCTTCTATTTCATGTAAAAGCGTATTAACCATGTTTTATATCGATGTAGAGGGAAATTAATTGTTATCGTTTTATCGCCCAGCCCTACATACAGTGTGTTGTTCCTTCATAGTGCAAGAGGACAGATTGAGTGAGAATAGTGCTGATATTTTACAAAAGGTCGACATCAGGTGTTGGTTAGACTAGTCAGATGGACAGGTAGACAGCTTGTGTCACTTAGACATATTTCACATCTTGTATAGCTCTAAACTCGGACCATCAAACTCATGTCTCTCCTTTGTTTATGTCTGGAACGGTGTGTGTGTGTCTGTGTGTGTGTGTTCATTCATTCCCACTACTCTACCAGCTCTCCCTGTCTCTGTCTCTCAGCATCCCTCCCAGTGCTGTTGTGGCCACTTATCTGTAGAGTAGGCATGAGCTCCCAGGCTTAATTAAGCCCACAGGAACAGATGGCCCGCTGGCAGTCTGTGCTGTTTGTCGACCGTACACCGCCGCTCTAAACAGAGCTAAATACTCCAGCAGGGGAGGGGTTTGAGAGCTTGGACCGAGAGCCGGGAAGGGATAGACCTGCCAGACGTAATTAGCTGTGGGAAGTAGGTAGAAGAGGGGGAGGGCTGTCAGGAGGTACAATGTGCCTTCTGTGTATGACTGACTCTGTGACATGAGCCTCGAAGGTGGTTTCAGTGACGGAGCGGTGGTCAGACTTTGGTTTCTGGAGAGTTAAGAAAAGAAGTTATGATCTGATTCACTTTATTTAGGAGTCTGGGTCAGAAACCTTCAGATTCTTCCATTTCAATACAAAGATTTAAAGACTCCCGATACCTGATAGACCTTATCGACCAGTGCAGAAATGAATATCATAAAATAAGTTTATTTAATCTGGTTTAAAACACTGAGAAAGAAGCAGAGTGTCCAGACACAAGCAGAGGTAATGTCAGCTGCAGCTCAGCTCGCAGCCCCTGTGATGTCCAGAGTCTGCTGAGGAGTGTGGAGGAACCCCGACAATTCAATCAACCAATCAATCAATCAATCAAACTTTACTTTTAAAGCACCTCTCATACATGTAATGTAACTGTACTGTCCGTTCAAGCAGGAAATAAAAAACAATGAAATAAAATAAATACAAATACAAATACCAAACTCCACCCACCCTCCAAACCCTCAACACATACAGCACTCAACAACTCACACACAGATGCACACACAAAAGACCAATTTTGACACAAAATTGACATATAACCAGAGATAGACCGATTAATAAGACATCAATTAATAGGGCCGATAAATGACATTATATCTGCATCAGTCCTCACAAACCCAGTGAGAGTTTCAATGCAGAATAAAGGACAGTTTATAATTATAATAATAATAATAATAATATTTACCTTTTTTTTTTACCAAAAGTTCCTCATGGTGATAATTCAATGAGCCAAATCATTTTCTGTTGACATTTAATTAAAAATATTAACAAAAATCCAAAATTTTGATGGATGTATTTTGTTAAATGTAAAGTGATATCTGTATTTTTGGAATTAAGAAATGACTGCCTCATATATCTGCTTCAGTTTTTCCTGTTTGAACTGGTTTGATTCACCTTTAACTAAAATGAAAACAGACTAAAAATGTGGGAAAACGCTCATATATCTGACATTTTGATCGCCATGGCAAACACGGCGCTCTCTGTTCTGTGAACGTATGAAACAGGAGGAGACATTAGCTTTCCTCATGTTGGTGTTAAAGATCCACTCAGTGACGTACAGGTCAGTTAATATGATGTTATTTGTGGTGCTGATTTCTGCGTCTGAATGAGTCCAGCTCCGGCGTTTTTCCAGCCTGCTCTGTTAGAGACACAGAGAGCTCGACCTTTGCCAAAGCATCGTATTTAAACAGCGGCTAATGTCATTACATGGACCATGAAGACATGCCAAGTTATATATCCCTGCTGCTCCCCGCCTGCAGAAACTCTGTCCTCGTTTGCTGACTGCTTCTCTATTGTGTCGACTGAACTTTTTTAACCTTTTTCACCTTTTTTTCTCCAAACCTCTAAACCTGAAACCAAACTTGAAACGACATCTCTTCCCTCTTAGTCATACTATCAAGTTTGCTGATCCGGATTAATACAGGCAGCGCTCTTTAAATAGGTCATAATCCAATTCTGCTGCAAAAGTGGCAGACACAGTAGTCTTAGGAGCGTGTCGTGGATTGCTTTCAAATGCAATAAATTTATTTAGGTGTCTGCACAACAGTAACAGATGGATATTTGGTTGAGCTGTTCTTGAGACTGGGGCGACTGGGGACAGGTGTGTCAAGCAAAGGGCTGGATGAGGCTAAACTGAAGGGATTTCAGATGACCGAGGTTAGAGAGCTCTGCATGTTAGCAGTTAGATTAGAGAGGACGAGGGATCATATGATGGCTGCTCATCAGGGAGAGGAGTCAGGGTTCACATTTATACGTGTTAATTAGCTTTAACAGAAAAGATGAGATTAATAATCAGGCTGATGTACTTTGGGGGGCAGAAACTGAAATTGAAGTGAATAGAAATCGATTTAAAACAACAATCACATCTCTGTTTGTATTCCAGGACGACCAATGACAGACTCGACATAAAGAGCACGTCTTCAGCCGGAGCACCATGGCCTCTGACTCGAACACTGCCTCGTAAAACGCGGGCAGATCTCACCGAACACTGAGCGGGTTTGAACGGCGGCGGCGGCGGCAGCAGAGATGATCACCTCTCATATGAACGGTTTCGTCCCAGAGGGCTCCGATCAGACCAAGAGCCACAGGGAGAGGGCCGTGGACTGTCCGGGGGACGACAGTAACCTCGTCAAAACTCCGCATGGCTACTCCAAAATGGAGAGGATCCAGCACTACCAGGAGGAGCTGAGGAAGAGGAGGGAGGAGGACGGCCGGGGGAAGCACGACATCGACCCGAACGCTTCGCTGAGGCTCAGGAAGCTCTCGCAAAACCCCAAAGTGGGCATCGACAATCCTACCTTCGAGGAGAAGGAGAAGGCCAAAGACGCATGTTCCCAGGACCCTGTAGCTGGTGAGTTTAGAGGAAGAGGGTAACGAGCGTTTGAGGGGTCAGAGGTCGTAGGAAGGAGGAAAGATCAGACAAAGGACAAGGAGGAGCTCTGACCCTGAAGAAAAGGGAACAGAGATTCAGTGAAACAAAAGGAGTCGGAACAAAAAGGCTGCAGAGGGGTGATGGTCCAGGTCTGTCCCCCACTTTAAAAACTTCGACTAAACTCTGATTTTTAATATTCATGTCCAAGAATGAGACGCTAACAAGAGAGGCGGGGTTTCTGCAGAGCTGAGTTTAACGTCTAAAAACATGTGGGATAAAGAAAGAAGACTTTATGAAGATCACAGACGAGCTAAGCTTTAAGAGAAAGAAAGAAAGAAAGAAAAGAGAGGTTTGCATTCACACTAAAGTACTAATTAGTACTTAGTTTTAGCCTCAGGGGGGCGCCAACACTGACACGAGATAAAAGTTCTTGAAGAGTTTAGGGAGAAAAAATCATTTCAATAGTAGAGGAGTCAAATTAATATGAATAATAGTGAAAATAATTATTCAAGATCCACTTTTTAACATGCCTAGAAATCATGAAACATGAAGCAGACTCGAGGTTTACGAGTCTGTAAGTCGTCCTTCATTTGACCTTGTGTGTCTCGCTCCTGCAGACCTGGTGGAGCTGCTGCAGGCTCTGAAGTGGGCCTCGCACATCCTGTCCGATAACCAGAGCCAGCAGGACGTGGACATGCTGATGCGGTTCGTCGTCAAGGAGGACTTCAGGAACGCCTACACCCTGTACTGCGCCGTGTCCCAGCAGAAGAGCCGAGTCAGCCCCAACTCACCGCTCACCTCGCAAGCAGAGGACCTCTGCCTGGAGGTACGAGAACAAACACAGTCAGCAGGTCGACTTTTGAGTCATGACAGCTTCAGTTATGAGAGTTAAAACCATCAGCTGAGCCTCTGATGATAACAGAGCTCTAAGTTTAGCAGCAGCAGAGACTCGCTCACCAGTTTGGGGTTTAAAGGATCTTTGCTGGAGGTCGTGATTAATTCGGCAAAGACACCCGGGTCGGTGCGGGTCGTTGTTTAACAAGGTGAGTGAAAACAAAAGTGAGGGATCCATGACAATTCAATAAGACGGAAAAATAAAGGTGAAGAGAAGAAAGAGAAGGAAGGATGGAGAGAGAGAGAGGAAAAGCGAAGAGTAAAGATGTGGTTGAGTTTGATTCCAGCCGACAGCGCCGACTCCTGAGTCCTTTTAGGAAGACCGACAGAGAGCGAGGAAGACTCTGAGCGCTCAGGTGTGAGGAGGACGGAGACACACCTGACGTCCTCGTTGACACAACACCAGCGAGTTTGTCTCTCCTCTGAAACTCAGTGACAGTCATCGACTCGTGTCCCTGCGGAGCTGGACGACGTCGACACTGTCAGGAAGAGAGAAACGCGTAGATATAAATGAGGTAGAAGCTGAATACAGCAATGACAGACAACACCCACAACGGGCGTTTCATGAGGATTAGTGTCATATTGTGAGAGGGAACACATGAACAAATGTAGGACAGCTCAGTCAGAGGGAGTCTCAGCTGACGGCTACATGTGTACCAGTCTGAAAAAGTCGTTTTAGTGAGACCGGCTGTTTGTCCGAGTTCATTCAGAGGACAAGAAGGAGTCGTTTCTGCAGGATCCCTAAACACACAAACACAAACACACACACACACTGTTTTCCTGCATACAGTAAACCAGTGTGTGTGTGTGTGTGTGTGTGTGTGTGTGTGTGTTTACCCACCAGGCACGGCTCCCCGAAGCGCTTAACAACGTGTAAGAGTTTGAGCTGCAGTGTGACTAAACTAAGTGGCTGCCGCTCGGTGTGGCACTCAGATTGGCTGCTGGGTACACTAATCTTCTCCCAGCAGCCCCCTTTGGTGCAGCGCTCTGCAGGAAGGAGGCAGGGATCTGGGCAGCCAGAAAAAGAAACTCCAGCAGCTTACAGGAGGAGGAGTGTGGGCCGAGGTGTAGTGCTGCTGAAGGAGGAGGAGGAGGGGGAGGGGAAAGTGCGTCACCTTGTTTAGCGAGAGCTTCGATTAGTGGATCAACTAAGCTCCAAACAGAAGATGGAGAAGAAAAGGAAGACAAAACCAAAATGTCTGCTGTCATGATCCAGTCCACGCCACAAACAATAACATCCTCCCGACAAATGACAGAAGAAGAAGAACCCGGTGATTAAAATGGAGCCGGAGGAGGAGAAAAGAGAAGAAGAGCACGACTGTGAAAGTTTGTGTTTTAGATAAAAGAACGTTAGACACGAAGAGAAGACGATCCTGCTCCAGTCTGTTATTTTCCTCTCAGCTCTGACTTGGAGCTTCACAGCAGAGCGAATATGAACGCTGAGGAATGTGAAACCCAGCTGTGAGCCGCCATGACGACCACGACCACGAGTCAGCCCAGAATCATAAGACCTCCATCATAAGACCACTCACATGATTTTATTATTATTATTATTACAGATCTGAGGAACCTAAACTGGTTTAATATGAGAAATAGTGGAGAACTTAAACTGGTTTAAGGCTGAAGACTTTTTCACAAACACTCTCAGAAAAGGAAGACGGTCATTTACAGTCGGAGGAGGGTTTTCACAGCAGCGTATTAAATCTTAGGATCATTTCTTCTAAAATATTATAAATTATTCTGTGTTTTAAAAAAGTGAAACAGAGAAATCTCTTTTTAAACAATATATTTATTGAACTTTTACATAAACAAAAAAAAAAACATCAAAAACTTGGACAGTTGGACGATGAAATGCGTCGTCGTCTCCGTCTTTAAAAAGACCAAACCTGGAGTCGTCCAGACAACGATCAATAACAACATAAGTGAAGAGAAGGTGAAAGATAAAAAAGGACAGGGGGACGTGAGACAAAACAGAGATAAATTAAATAATAAATAAATAAAATCTACATATACTCAGCTCATTGCATTAGAGTCAGCGTCCCAACGTCCAAGAAAGTCCAACAGGGGTCTCCAAATCTTCTCAGATTCATTTACTTTCCCTCTGATGATAGATGTTCATCTCTGTAGGACGACACAGGAAGTAAAACAGAGACATCAAGTCTATGTTATCAGACTGGACCTGTGCAGAACCAGGGTCTTTGGATCATCAGGATCCTGAGGATTCATCATCACATAGATAAACTCAAAAACAGGATCTAGATGCTGCAGGATGTCATGTCATAGATTACAGATCATCTACCTTTAATAAAGTTCAGAGAAGTTAAATGTCGGATATTTGAGGCATTAAGACCTGAAACAGACGAGTAACTATCTACATAAACTTTAAATCTTTGAGTTTGACTGTTCAGATTAAAAACAGAAAACTATCAGGAGGTTGTAAACAGCTGACTCTTCCTCACAGATGAGTAAAGTGAATATTATAAATGTCAGACTTTGTTAATCTCTCTGTTTACAATGAAGGAGAACAGGAACTTGAAGTTTTCAGAAACTTTCTTTAATCACGACATGATTTCAGCTCCAGTTACTCTGAAAATATTGATCAATATCTGTTTTATATCTGATCCCGTCTTTATTCAATAATCTGTCAGAATTTGGACTTTTATTTTGTAAATGTCTCTCCTGTCTTCCTGTTTAGTCTGACAGTTTTTCTGACTTTGGTTCTGTTTGTCTGTTCAGGTCCAGAAGATCCTGCAGTCCAGCCAACAGAAGGAGGGTCTGGAGCTCCAGGCTCTGCTTACTAATCCTCACCTGCAGGTCAGAGTTCACATGTGTCTTAACATTATTTCCTCTTAGCCTGAAATACGATGTAACAACAACACCGGCGAGCTTTAACAAGCTGACCGATCCTGACCGAGGGAGTCGTGTTCGATTAAACGGGTGAGAGGAGAAAATATGATCACACGACTCTGAACTTCCTGTGAACAGGGTGATTGTTTCTGTGGAGGTGAAATCAGGTGTGAGCTCAAGGTCAGCTGAAGGACAGAGTCATCATCCTCTCTGTGGATCAAAAGAAGACTGACTCTGTATCAGGGAGACTCTCAGATGGTTTTGCTCAAAGGCGCTGAGTCAGGAGAGACTCAGTCTTCATCTTCTCTGATTCATCCTCTCATCTGTGGATGTTATGAAATGTTGTGTTTCCCGAGGTCAGCTGGTCTGTTTCAGTTTGAGAAAGGCTGATATGTAAATGAGGAGATGATGAGGGTCGTCTCTCCTGCTAATCAAAGAAGATGATTGGTTTGTTCGTCGCTGCAAAGTTCACGTCAGCGTCTCCGTCCTTTATCTAAAAAACAGGCGGTAAGAAGAGTCGGAGCTCTCAGTGTTTCTGTTTTTAACGTTCAGGTTAAAGGTGGACAGACGCCACGAGTGTGTGAGCGGATACAAACTTTAATCAGAGCAGAAATCAATAATAACACGGATCAATAGAGGAGAATAATGATTGACCTTTACATCATTAATCATTTTGGATTCAGATATGAACAGAAAATACTTTTGTGGTTTCTGGTTTACTTTGCTCTGCACTTAAAGAGAGTGGCGTTTACGTAGGGCTGTATGATGATGGAAGGTTACCTACCTGGGAGCTAGACAGTATTGACTTAGTAGTTATCATGTAATTACCAGATAATTTCATGTTGTTACCTGTTAATTACCTGTTAATTACCTGGTAATAAGTGTACTGTAAAAAAAAGGGTTACCCACTAAATATACTGATTTTGGCAAAATGACGTCAGTTATTGTCATAAATTTCAGTGTCAGTACATTTTCGGTTTATCGTCCAGCCCTACATTTACATGTTTGATCAGATTCTGAGTTTTTATTGGCTGAAAGTTTAAAGCTGTTCAAATAAAAGAGGAAAAAAAACTCTCTGATTATATTTGTACATTTCTCCAGAATCTGTCCAGGAGCAGAAAGAACCTCTGAAAACCAAACTGTGACGTCCTGCTCCTCTTTATCTCCACTGACTTTATAACTTTATATAATTATCTGATCTAAAACTGTAAAACAGCGACATTATCAGACCTGCGTCTGCCTCTAAAGACCTCCGATGGTGGACTCTGAGGGTTCTGCTCTGACCCATTGTTTCGCTAACCCCTCCGCTCAGCTGAATCCTCCAGCCAGCGAGGGCGGCATGATGGGCGGCGAGCCAGCCTTGTGGCACAGAAAGTGGAACAGATTATGCTGGTTCCTCTGCGGGGAGCGAGGATCACAAGAGTCACAATGCAGTTCACGCGGGTGTACAACCTCATGCTGCTGGCAAATGGAGACGGGTAGATGCGCGAAGTCGGCCCGTCTCCCCCTCTCGCCGGTTTCAAGGACACCGCTCCCCCCGTGAGCAGGGGCAGCCAAAGGTATCCGATGATTGATGGCGGTGGATCCTGACTCCTAAACGCTGGGGGAGATTAAGACGGATTGTGAGTACGCTGGAGCTTAGCCGGCCTCCGCTCTCTCAGGTCCCCTCTGCTGCAGGACAGAGGAACTAATTTGGACCGACGGTTATTAATTGTGCGGTACGGAGCGCTTGTCACATGAAATGATGTGCAGGAGGAGTCTGGGTTTTATTCCTGGCTTAGAGACGGGGCGGCTGACGGGTCTGGTTAAAAAAGATGAGGTGGAGGGAAGGAAGGTGCATGTTTGACAATGATCCGCTCTCCTCTGTGAACGTGTGTGTGTGCAGGTTACTAACAGAGGAGTGTGTTTGTTTGTTTAGTTTCTGTTTAAATCCAAAGTGTGTTTTTTTCTTTTATTATTTCTTCTCCTGCGTCCTTCCTCTCCCTCATGATGCCTCCTGCTTTATGTCCTTGTCCTTGTTTTTGTCCTCTTGTGTGTATCTCTGCACGTTTGCGTCTCTATTTGTGTCTCTGTGTTTGTCTGTTGTGGCAGGCGCTGATGCAGGCTCACGACAGCGTGGCCATGCAGGAGATGGGAGAGGAAAACGTGACCCAGTACCTCGGCGAGACCGTCAAACTCGTACGTCTGGAGAAGGCCCGTGACACGCCACTGGTGAGAAACCGTCATGTTAGCTTTAAAGCGATTACATGATTAGTCTGAGTGTTTTAATAATACATTTAATTTGTAGTTCCTTTTACATCAGGCGACCTCAGAGAAATTTCAGAGTAAAGGAAAATAAAAAACAAGAGAAACATCAGATTAAAAGAGTAAAAGACAGATAAGCAGTTTTTTTTTTTGAGGAGGGACCAAAAGTTCTGCTCAAAGAAAGTTCTGAGTTCTTTTTCACCGTAGACTTTTATAGCGTGCCGGAGGATCTTGGGTAAATTTGCTCAGAGAGGAGTAATGAGGCTTGTGGACAAACAAAGACGGTTCCAGTAATCCAGTAATCCAGCAATCATCCAATCGATTCATTAACAAGGTCCTGAAGCTGCAGTCCTCCTGTTCGCCCAAACCTCCAACAGTGACCACTTCCATCATCATTCAGGACTCAGAACCAAGCGGGCCGGACCCGCCCGCCTCGCTCAGACCAGTAGATCAGCTGATTCACGACCTGAAGGTCACGAGGTCAACATAATCTCTCACCTTTTTAGGTTTCTGCGTCTTTGCCCGATGAAACGCCTCCCCTCTCGCTCCACTGATCTCATTTATCATGTTGGTCCTTCTCTGTCAGTTTACCCACAAACCACCAGTGCAGAAAACAGCCTGTCAGAGAGAGCGCCATCTGAAACCACGGCTGGCGTTTACAGTTGGTGACGTCTCTCCTGCTGTTTTCTGTCCTCGTCTGTGTTCGCTGTCGTCTCTCAGATGAGGACAGAGACGTTTCCTTCATCTCTAACTCTGTGTTTGTGTCGTCTTCAGGGCGCCACGGTTCGTAACGACATGGACAGCGTGGTGGTGAGTCGGGTGGTGAAAGGCGGAGCGGCGGAGAGCAGCGGCCTTCTCAACGAGGGCGACGAGATCCTGGAGATCAACGGGATTTCAATCCGAGGGAAACACATTAACGATGTCCACGACTTACTGGTGAGGAGCAGAGACGTCTCTAACCCTGAGCTTACAGTCATGTGATCGATGTCACGCCGCAGCTGTCAATCATCCGTTCACATCGTCTGCTTTTGTCTGATTTTTCATGTTTTCGCTCCATCAGCAACAAATGCACGGCACTCTGACCTTCCTCCTCATCCCCAGCTCTCAGATTAAAGCTGCCCCTCACAGACAGACTGTGGTAAGTCTCTGATGGTGTGAGTAAGCAGGTGTGTGTGTGTGTGTGTGTGTGCGTGTGTGTGAGAAGGCCTGTCTGCATGCATGCAGCGCTAACCTTGACTTTCTCCGCCCCGTCCGCAGATCCATGTGCGAGCTTACTTCGACTACGACCCCTCAGACGACCCCTTCGTGCCGTGTCGAGAGCTCGGACTCTCCTTCCGTAAAGGAGACATCCTCCACGTCATCAGCCAGGAAGACCCCAACTGGTGGCAGGCCTACAGGGACGGGGACGAGGAGAACCAGGTCCTCGCCGGTCTTATTCCAGGTATGAAGGAGATCAGGTCTGCGTGACGAGGCGAGGTTCAGAACCTTTCAAGGACAGAAAACAAGGAAAAGGTCATTTATAAGAACTTTGAAGAAAACAGGAACATGTTTCTGATAATTAAAAAGGTTTTAATGTCACAGAATTATTAATTAACAGATCAATTATAGACACTGTATATGGAGGACTGAGCTGTATTATATCCTGTTACTTAAAGGTTTTTATTGTTTTTTTTTTAGCCTGACTGTTTTAATAACTCAGAAACATCCGACAGGAGAAGAGGATTACAGTTTTATTTTTTAATGTTTCTCTAAAGTTAACGTCAGAGTTTAAGATCTGTTTAGTTCACTGACTGATCAGCTGATTATCAGAGGATATTTTTTCTGCTTTATCAGCCTGTCAGCTGATCATTTAGGTGTGTCGGTGACTCTCATGTTTTAGAGGAATGTGAGGTTTAAACTTTTTATTTATTTACAGAACATGAGGTGATCATGGGTGATACAGCTGAAATGGAAATATTCTTTTACACATAAATACATACAGACACACACATAAATCATAGACAAATGTCACACTATGTCTCTCCATACAGTGAATTTCTTGGACAGTCCCGTTCCGCTGGGTCAGTGTTGGAGAATCTGGTTTCTGTGATGTGAAGTTTCAGCTTTTGGAAACAGAGAAAAACCTTTTTTATATTTTTTTTTAAACAGACCAAACAAGGATACAGGAGCGGACTTAAGGTGGAGAACGTCATCAAAATAAAAACAAGAAAATCAAGAAAAACAAAAAAAAATCACTGAGATCGTCTTTATTTTCACTTTAACATCAGAATCTGTTATCACTCCATTTTACTCAGTTGATAAATCGTTTTTAAGACGTTCTGATCCAGTCAGTAAAAGTTAAAATTTGTAGAGAGTTATAAAGAAGATCAGACTGATTTGAGGAAGTTTGAGACTGAAGCGTAAATCTTTACTGATGTTTGAAGGTCGAAATCTGCAGTTTATATCATCAGATCAATCATCAATAATCAATCATCCATGCAGGTTTGTATTGATTGTCTTTCCGAGTGGATACAGTCGCTGTAAAATACTTTGACTGACAGCTCACTAAGTTGGCAGGAAACTCCACCCATCTGGCACATCAAGGAGATTAAATCAAACAGCCTACACCTTGTTTGTGATTACGGCCTGTTGTGGCTGCAGGAGGTTAAGCACTTATTCCGCTCCGTTTATTCCGCTCCGTTTATTCTGCTCCGTTTATTCCGCTCCGTTTGTTCTGCTCCGTTTATTCTGCTCCTCCAGAAACTCCAGGAAGTTCTGAATATGACTCTAATGTTTAATGTGAGCGTAACGGTTCATACAGGTGTGCATGTCGATGTCTAATCCTCTCAGGTTTAACTGACAAACACATCTGAAAATGACGCCGTATTTGTGACTCTGTATTTACAGCTGATCTGTTTGACTTTATTTTGCTCCTCGTTCAGGAAAAAGCTTCCAGCAGCAGAGAGAGACCCTGAAGAAAACCATCACAGACAGAAGTCGAGAGCACCAAGGTGAGCTTTAATACCTGAACCCGCCTCTCTTTACTAAAGACTTTATTCTGAAAGTGAGTCAGAAGGAAATCCGCAAACATTATGAGACCTGTCATTTCTCCAGGGAAACACTGGTACGCAAAGAAGAACAAGAAGCAGAGGAAGAAGAGCACGGCGACGCTGAACAGAAACGCAGGTGAGAAACGACCTTCCCTCTGAAACACAAACTCAACCTTCAGAGACAGTTTCCTGTTTTTACTGCACATCCTCACAAGTCCAGTCGCTCTGGCAGCAGCTCGATCAGAGTCGATATGTCACGGATCAGATTAGTTAACAGACAGGATCAGTGGAAACACCGACAGGTGCTCAGCAGGTGTCCTAAAGGCTTGAAGAAGAGACCTTTACTGTCCCAGGTCCACTCAGGGAAAAACCCAAATACTCCGGTGGACTAAAAACTGCGTGAGGATGATGTAAAAATATAAACATGGCAGTTATGAAGCCACCTCCACTGAGAGGTCACAGACGCCCAGAGAGGATTTCTACATGAACTCTCAACCATGACTGTCTCCTCAGAGTACGATGACCTCCTGACCTACGAGGAGATGTCGCTCTATCACCAGCCGGCCAATCGTAAAAGACCCATCGCTCTGATCGGTCCCACAAACAGCGGCCATGACGAGCTGCGCCGGAGACTCCTGTCCATCGAGCCGGAGAAGTTCGCTGTTGCTGTTCCACGTGAGTTCAAAGTGACGTCTGATATCCTGAAATAGGTCATCATGTCAGAGGAGGGATAGAAGTTTTAAAAATTCACTTCAGTGTCTTTTTTCAGGATTCAAAGTTTTCCTTTTTTCATCTCTGTCCAGACACGACCAGAAACTCCAGGATACACGAGCGGAACGGCCGAGAGTACCACTTTGTGAGCCGGTCCGGCTTCGAGGCCGACTTGGCTGCAGGGAAGTTCATCGAATCTGGAGAGTACGAGAAGAACTTCTACGGCACCAGCACTGACTCAGTTCGACACATCGTCAACTCAGGACGCATCTGTCTGCTCAGCCTCCACACCAGGGTGAGAAAGAAAACAGTCAGTCTAGAAACAGTCTCAACAACAACATGAATACAGCTGTATGATGACGAAGCTTTTCTAAAACAAGAACCTTAACGTTAAAAACTCTCTCTGGTCGGCTTTTCTGTCCGTTTCACGTGTCTCTCTGCTCCTGTCCTTCTCTTCTTTAGTCACTACGAGTTCTGAGGTCCTCCAACCTCAAGCCCTTTGTCATCTTCATCGCTCCTCCTTCTCAAGAACGATTGCGCACCCTGCTGGCCACAGAGGGGAAAACACCAAAGGTACCAACACTGGCAGATTATTTCTTCATCCTGATCTGTGAAAAATCTTCAAATTTCATTCTTAAAAAAATCATCCAAGTAAAACATAAACCTAAAAACACTTCAAATGTTCAAAGCAGCAGTTCATCAGGATGTCTCACCCTCTTTGTTTGTGTCCGTTCGCAGCCTGAAGAGCTGAAGGAGATCATCGAAAAAGCTCGTGAGATGGAGCAAAACTTCAGTCACTACTTCGACGCGACCATAGTGAACACAGATCCGGACCAGGCTTTCCACGAGCTGCGCAGGCTGATAGACAAGCTGGACACTGAGCCACAGTGGGTGCCCACCTCCTGGCTGTGTTAGAGGTCAGAGGGTCTCACTGCAGCGAAAAACTCAGGGAGGGAGAAGGAAGCCTGGAACAGCTGATTGTTCCTTTCTTCAGACTGAAAACAGTGACGGATGTTCGGTGCTGTTGGTTGCCGGATCACTTGCACATTTTCCGTGTTTACAGAAGAGCTGACGTGAAAACATGCTGCAGGGATGGACTCGTTTTTCTGACGTTTCATTTTCGTTTTCGTCTTTGTGGGTCGATTTTTGTTTCATGACGGTTTTATGCAAAGTCGATTACCAGACAAATAGAAACACTTTTGTTCTATTCCTAGTAATTTATGGTTGTAAATATATCTTTTCTAGCTGAAATGATCAAATATTTTATTATAACATTTGAGCTGATCTTACTTACTTGGGTCGGTGATAATGTCACAGGTATGTAATGGTTTACAGCTTTAAAGTGTCCAGGTACCAAACAGGAGAGAGGTCTGCAGGTTAACGTCTTCCAGTCCAGACTGCATATGTCCTCTATGCCAGAGTCAGTATTATTCGTGTCGTCTCATATTCACTGTTCAATGCTTAGATGTTATTTTGTAGCCCGTTATCATGATGCAAAGTACTCCTAAAATATTCTTTCTTTTTTTTGTTTTTTACCGGAGTTGTACCAAAAAGGCATCTCATGACTTTGTGTTGATCAGTGTTATTCATTTCAGAGTACTCATGCAGCATGAGCACAAAGGAGGGTAAATAAAATCAGATACATACGAATAAGTGATCAAAACTCTGACTGCATTCATTTCACTCGTATAACATCATAAATATACATTCAGTCAGCTTTACAAAGGTCAAAAACAGGAAGTGAAAACTTAGTGAAAATGTTGAACACAAGAAAAACAATTGAGATTGACATTTTTATCCTACTATACGACACTTTTTTTCATTCGAAAATATGATTTTTTCTTGAAACTCAAATGTGAAATTTTTATCATGCTATACTATGACATTTTTGTCATGCAATACTATGACTTTTTTTCATACTAAAATATTTTTTTTCATACCTAAATATGAAAATTTTAACATTCTGTACTCTGACATTTTTATCATAATATACTAACACATTTGTTTGCATATTAATATATGAAATTTTTTCTCATACTAAAATATGACATTTTTAACATGCTACACTATGACATGTTTTTTCAGACTAAAATATTGAATTTTGTTTTTTTCCGCTAAAATTTGACATTTTTAACCTTCTAAACTATGGCATCCCATAATCAGAATTATTTTTCACCCTAAAATCTGACATTTTGGTCATATTATACTATGACATTTTTATCCACACCAAAATATCAACTTCTGTTTTTTCCGCTAAAATATGACATTTTTAACATTCTAAACTATGGCATTTGATCACACTACACTGTATCATGTTTTTTCATCATAAAATTGGAAAAAAATTTTCACCCTAAAATCTGACATTTTGGTCATACTATACTATGACGTTTTTTTTTCACACCAAAATATCAACTTTTGTTTTTTCTGCTAAAATATGACATTTTTAACATTCTAAACTATGGCATTTGATCACACTACACTATATCATGTTTTTTCATCATAAAACTGGAATTTTTTTTCACCCTAAAATCTGACATTTAAGTCATACTATACTATGACGTTTTTTTTCACACCAAAATATCAACTTTTGTTTTTTCCGCTAATGTATGACATTTTTAACATTCTAAACTATGGCATTTGATCACACTACACTATAGCATGTTTCTTCATCATAAAACTGGAATTTTTTTCACCCTAAAATCTGACATTTTGGTCATACTATACTATGACGTTTTTTTTTCACACCAAAATATTAACTTTTGTTTTTTCCGCTAAAATATGACATTTTTAACATTCTTAACTATGGTATTATTATCAGACTACACTATTGCATGTTTTTTTCATCATAAAACTGTTTTTTTTTTTCACCCTAAAATCTGACATTTTGGTCATACTATACTATGACGTTTTTATTCACACCAAAATATTAACTTTTGTTTTTTTCCGCTAAAATATGACATTCTTAACATTCTAAATTATGGCATTTGATCACACTACACTATAGCATGTTTTTTCATCATAAAACTGGAATTTTTTTTTTCACCCTAAAATCTGACATTTTGGTCATACTATACTATGACGTTTTTTTTCAGACTAAAATATAAACTTTTTTTTTTCCGCTAAAATATGACATTTTTAACATTCTAAACTATGGTATTATTATCAGACTACACTATTGCATGTTTTTTCATCATAAAACTGGAATTTTTTTTCACCCTAAAAATGACATTTTTGTCATACTATACTATGACATTTTTTTTTCACACCAAAATATCAACTTTTGTTTTACTTAACTTACTTAAAGAATTCATAATCTGCTGCCTAATTATCCAGATCAAAGCTCTAAAATCGGAGGTGTTTTATATGAGTCTGTCTGCAGCCCAAAAATACTTTTTAAGGACCTTAATTTTCCAACAACTGATGTATCAACTTTTAATTTTTTTTAAGACCCTGTTTTATACTACAGCAAGTAAATGTGTTTTTTTAACAGCTTTTTAAACTGTAAACACTGTCACTGGTTAGAGTTAAAGAGCGCTTATTCAGATCAAACAGCAAACACAGATTCACTCTGTGTGACGCTGTCTAAAAATAAAGTGCTAAATGTCGTGTTCTGGTGTAAAGTGACGACCGCTCACACTGAAGCTGCACAAACATTGAGAGGAAACCTCATCAAACCTCCGAGCTTCCCCGTCACCACTCTGCAGGTTTAATCAAAGCAAATAATCTGCAGATTAGTCTGATACGGTTCACATCTTTATTCATATGAAGTGTTGGACTTTGTTGATTTTCACACAAAGATTACAGTAGAGGGTCACATGTAGGGTTTCAGGTGAAAGGTAAACATCCTCATGATATGACGTCAGCAGCTGGATGATCGTCCACGACACAGACTCACTCACTCTTTGAAATCTACGACCACTTTGAGCGTTAAAGCATGCAGTAAATGATGAGGGGGGTGAAGTATCTACAAGTCCGTCCTTCACATGGAATGCATCTTTAATTTTACTCACAGGCCATGTGTAAACATAAAGGTATTTTTATCATTTAGATTATACAACAATAGTGAGCGGGCTCTTTCTGGGTTAACAGCCAAGCTTTACGACATTTTGGTTCTGTACAGAGAAGAATCCAGAAACACACACAACCTTCCAGCGCTCGCACAACTGAACAGAGAATCACTGACGAGTACACACACACACGAAAAAAAACCAACTTTCAACACGTGAGTGAGAAAACACGGCCTCAGAGCCACACAATAAATAGGATAATGGGGGAAATCTTCACTCGAACAGTAAGTCTTCATCCGTCTCCTCCGTCAGCATGTTGGTGGGCTCTGCGATGGGACCCAGTTTAGCCAGACGGGCCGCGATCTCCAACTCAGTTCTCTCCCTGAGCTGCTTCTTCTTCTCCTGGATCTTCTTCAGCCTGGCAGAGAAAAGGAGGAAGGACGTTCAGCATCACAGCAAAACCACAAAGTCAGGGATCTACTGGAAGGTGAGACGGTTTTTCTACCTGTAGAACTCCTCTCGTTCTCTCTCATCCAGCTCTGTGATGATGTAGGTGAGGGTGCGATCAATACGGGGGATGATCACTGAAAAAAGGACCAAAGTCAAATTTCAGTATCAGCTTTCAGTCTCAGAGGGAAAAGGCAGCAATCACATTTCTGCTGTGGGTGAGTTTACCGTGCTCAATGGCGTTCACACGGCGGTTTGTAATCTTGATGGCTTCATCGAGAGTGACAAAAGAAGTCTGCAGGAAGAGAGCGTCATTTACGATACACTATTAGATCTAACTCTGAATTTTAGATGTATAAGATAGAATATTACTGAAAAACTTAAATGAATTACGTAAATATGCTCTTTGTACCTCTGTATATTTGTAATTGTGCCCCCTACCTGTAAGGAGGCCAGTTCGACCAGCAGCTCCACAGCTCTGGCGTAGTTCCTCTTCAGCCTGGAAAGCTGCTCTCCTCCTCGAGCCAAACCGGTCAGCTCATAACCTGAGAGACACGGAGAGCGTGAGGCGAATTCTCGGTCACTTACCGATAACATAACTCAGATTATCTCAGTTGGACTTACTGTCGCCGCCTTCCTGGTAGTGCTCAAAAACTGGAAGAGTCACACCTGAAGAAAACAGAGAAAAATGTTTGGAAGTGTTTTTGTTTTTTTACTCTGAAATCTTGATGAAATAAACTTTAGGTTTACCCGCCACGTTGTCCTTCTTGGCTCGGACCTTCACTTGAGCTTTGTTGACATTCTGGATGACAGTTGTGCTGTGGATGAAATCAAAGATGATATTTATTGATGAACTGAAATCAAAACAGAAACTAACAACATTTTTACTAACACACGGTTTAACCAACATTGTGGTGCATTTGCTATTTTTCTTTAATTCGAAACACTCCGATAAACTCCTTCATAATTCTCCAAACCATAAACTCGATCCTTCACTGACTCTCACCTGAAGTCTCCTGCTGCAAATTTGGCTTCAGCCAGTGAGAAGGCGGCCTCCCTCATCACCTCCCCCATCTTAGTCTTGGTCTATGAGAGGACAGACAGAAACAGCCTTTAGGAAACCCTTGGATGTCATTAAAGAAACAAATAAATGGAGAATTGTTTGGATTATGAGGAACTGACTTCGATAATTTTGCGAAGGATCTGGCGAAAGCGCATGGAGAGAGCGTCAGATTTCTTCTTCAGCAGGTTGCGGCCGGTCTGCGCTCCTTTTAGCCGAGCCTTCATGATGGTCTGAGCCCTGCGAACCAAAACAGACACACACTGGATTAACAGAGAAAAAGGAAATTTCACTGCTGAAGGAAAAAGTTACTACTCTCTAAGATGCTCACGGAGTAGTTTTCAAAAATCATAACCAGCCAGTTTAAAGTCGTGCGTGAGCAATAGACTTGAGTATTGACTCCACAGGGTAACTTTAAGAGGAGAATAAAAGTGTGTTCCAGGTGTGTACATTCATGGTGTTTGTTAAAGATCATATTTGTGTCTTCAACTTTCCTCTCCAACACAAATATGTGAATGTTTCTACTTTTAATTCATGAGTGACTTCTTATTCAAAGTTTTTCACTGCCACAGTAATTAAGTAATTAAGCCCCTGGTACCTCAGACACAAACTACATGATCTACTTTCATAAATTAACTCTATTTGCAACTTAAAGGGATATTCCAGCATAAAATTAATTTAGGGTCAAACACACTGTAACACCAAGTTAGACCCCCCCTCCAGAGATGAATGTTGTCGACCGCTTGCTTCTCTAGTTATACCAACTTTAGTAACGACCGCAGGATAGCAATACACAGCGGTCTGAGGAGCCATCAACAAACCTCAACCAAAACGCCACTTTATGGCCACAAATAATGCTCAGAACAGCACCTAACTTCATCAACAGGACATAGAGGGTCACAGCCATAGTACTAGACACCAAACATCTTTTTAACTTTGACTCATTTCTAAAGCAAAGAGACTAAACACAACTCACCTACTCTCTTCCAGCAGCTGCTTGTTTGTGGGGGGTTTCACATCTCAAGGAAGAACATTTCTGATAATTTCTTCATGTAAATACAATCAGACTGAGGCGCTAAGGCAGAAGAACTACCGCGTCTGTAAAATGATTAATATGGTGATTATTACTTTGAGGAAATGATAAAGAAACGATTGTAAATGTTCTTCCTTGAGCTGCGAACCCCCCCACAAACAAGCGGCTGCTGGAGGAGAGTAGGTGAGTCGTTACTAAAGTTGGTATAACTAGCGAAGCAAGCAGTCGGCAACATTCATCTCTGGAGGGGGGTCTAACTCTGTGTTACTGTGTGTTTGACCTTAAATTAATTTTATCATCTCCCTAATCCATAACCAGTGTTTGTATGATTAGATCAATAAGGTTAACTGATAGGACTCTGGGTCAATCAATGAAGTTTGAACATGGATGAGACAGAAAGAGTCCTAAAGACTGTAACTGAGTGTGAATGTCAGACTGACAGCTCACTCTCTGAAATGTCACATGATGATAAACTGAAGGACTCTTCCTCTTTCCTTCATCACTCTGACTCTCAGATCAACTATAAATAGGTTCATATCACACTGAATCAATCTGTGCAATATGAGGCAGATATTCCTGTGAAAACACAAAGAAATCACCAACAACAACTCAACAGATCAGCTGCAGAGGGCTAACTCTCAGCTAGCAAACAAGCCTCTTACATTCTGGAGGGGAAGATGTCGATCCGGTCTTTTCCAGACATCTTCTCGTCTTTTGGTCGATGTTCGTGATCTTCTGTTTAATTCCGTTTAATAAACGGTTAACTTATTTTCGTTTATAGTAAAGCGCGAATATGAAGCAGAAAATCGGTGTTTTTAGAGCCGCAGTTCGAGCTGATGGTCGTGATCTCGTCCTCCTTCCCGTCCGCTGATGATCAGCTGGCCTCTGATCATGTGACCGAGCGGAGCGCGTACTGAGCGTGCGCGCGAGAGATAACTCCGACCGTAGATATACACAAGAAAGGCTAGATGACTCTCTGGGGCGGCCATCTTACTCCAGTATATCAGTCTCGTGGAGTTGAGTAATCTGTATGATCAAAAATCCTCTGAACTCGCTGAAATGCTGACAGATTTATATGGTTTAGTTTGTTAACAGACCATAATAACGTTGCAATGAGTCGGGATCATAGACTGTATACAGGAGAGACGCCGTCTGTCTCCTCGCCGGGTGAAGCCTCCCTGAGAACAGCACCCTCTGGTGATGGGCTGCAGTATAGGTCATAAATCCCGCCTCTTCCAGCAATCTCTATGAAGCTGTGGACAAACTTTATAAATTAATGACACAGAATATATATTTTATTCCCCATGTCAACATTATTGCAATGTTGACATGTAGTTACTGTCAGAGTGGTTTGTGCTCAAGTCTTTTTTTCTGTACAGCTTCATTTTCAAAAGTTATCAGGGGGTTCATGTTTTCTATGATTGACACTTGATACAGCCTATTGGAGTACGAAGATTGCGTAGCTCACCAGAATGCGTACAACGCTACTGCGCAATGTTGGTTTCAGGAAGTGGAGAAAAAACGCAGAATTACCGAGAACTTTTCGGCTTCAGATCTGTATACTGGCAGAAGGAGGAACCAAGTTGTCCATAGTATATGCAGTCTGTGGTCAGGATGCTTGGACATATAGAAATGACAGATTTTCTGTAAGAAAAAAAAAAACGTAATCATGAAGCACAGTTGTTTCACGGCTATTTGCGCGCAAAGTAATCCTAATTGACCAAAAACAGGAAAAGTTTAATAAAAGTTTAATGCTGGACGCTGAGGTAAAAAGGGTTAGGTGTTTTTTAATATAAATGTAAACTTCTGTTTTCAACTGTATCTGTTCAATGTTGATTTATGTAAATCCATGGTTAAAATGCTTCTTGAGTGTGCAGGAACATAACTAAAACTCTGAGGTTTGTTACAAACCAAACTGTTTAAAAATCAGTTTAAAATTAATCAATCTATGGTTATTTAAATGCTACATGCGCCGTAGACTGGAATGTTAGGAGTGGGCGAGCTGCCCGTAACAAGATGGCCGCCATGCGCAGCCGCCGGTTGCGTAAGCCATCTAGCCTTTCTCATAGATATCTATGGGAGTCCGTACTGAGCCTGCGCGGTTGAGAAAGCTGCTCCGATCTTTTCCGGGTCGAGATATTAGCACACCCATGAATGTGAGCTAACGGGCCCGAAGACTCCCGTGAAAATATCTGAGCAGAGGCGCCGGTTGGAGGTTCAAACACTACCAGTCCGGAAAATACCAGTTTATCGTCCCGGAACCTTATGAAACAGGTGAGTTTTCCCCGGTTAAGGTGTTTGTCGGGGGGATGGGGGTCCACACGGGGCTGCTGAGCTGGAGCGGAGAGCTAACTGTTAGCCTGCTGTTACCGGGACATGTGCCGCATGTGAGTCCGAGAAAAACCGGGTAACGGGAATCTAGAGTAACTCTTATCTATTCACTGTATTAAACACTTTAATGATGGGTCAACGGTGAGATGTAAAGAAGATAATGTTTTAAAATGGTGAATATCTGAAGCGATAAAGAGCCTCTTTGTGCGAGTTGCATCATCCCATTCAGAGTCAAAAATGTGGAATAAAACAGTCTGAAGTGAACCCACGGAGAGATTCTGGAATATTCTGCAGGAGAAACACTAAACTGAGCGGACAAAATCACAGACACACAAAGAAGAGCAAACAGAAACACAACAAATCTGTTCACAGAGACCAACAACATTAAAAACAGCTGAGTGTTTAATACAGACCAACACAACAGCTCCACCCTTACAGAGTCAGACAGAACTGGACCTTTAAAGGTGTTCCTAATATTTTGTCCACCTTTCCATAAATCACAGTCTAGTCCTCCACCAACAAACACAACCTCAAACCTCACCAGTCTGATCGTGTCAACACTGAAAAAGCTTCTTAAAAGTGTGTGTCAGAGTATTTCAACACACATCTGATCAGACATTCAGACAGGTGTGTTTCAGAGATGAGGGATTTCACATTAGTGTTCAAAAATACAAATATATTAGGGGACAGTGGGGAAAGTTGAGCCAGACCCCTATTGTTTTAATGGTAAAATAAATTGATCATGTGACCAAATCTTTGGGAGATGGGCATCAATTCATGAAGTCTGAAGGTTAGAAGCACATTACAGGTGAAGGGGTTAGACATTTATTTACAAAAATACTAGAGGTTCACCGATCACAATTTTCAGGCTGATCACCAATCGTTACAAAACTTGACATGCCGATACCTTTTTTTTTATTTTATATTTTTATAATTGACAACATAAACCATCAATGCTCTAACCTTATTTAATGAAAAACATTAAACAATCCTTGTGAAACAGTCCAACCTTTTTGTGTTTGTTTTAACTGCACATGAGTTAGTTCTCTCAAATATAAACAAAGATGTTCCAATATTTCTGTCCAAACTACTGAATTTTATCAGTTCCTTTAGTCTTTTATTTTCCACATTTTAAAGATTAACAACACTTGGTCACATACAGGTCAGACTGTTTTGAGCCTCTTACCAAAATAAAGCGCACAGCGGTATTTTACTTTACAAATAAAGGAAATCAGAAGGTTTGAGGAAGTTAGTAAAATAGTAATATACAGGACAAACTAAACTGGTGGGCGGGCAAAAAGCAGACGGTTGACTTTCAGACCTTTGCTGAGGTCGATAAGATCGAAGGATAAAATCAGTTTCTTATGTAAGGATCAGCCGATCACCGATCCCCCAAAATTAAGGAAATCGGCACCGATCAATCGGCTGGCCGGCCGATTTATCAGTGCATGTTATAAAAAACATTTTTCACTCTGTAAAGTGAATTTATTCATTTATTCATAAGTTTGATTAGAATTGTGTTCTGTGCTCCAACATGTGATCAAAAACCAAACATAAAAATCCACCATTTTATCTTAGAGGACTAATAAAGTCATCATAGTAGTTCAGGGGGAGCAGAGAAAGTAAAGGAGTCTGATGAGAGGATCAGAGTTTACCTTCAGATTGTTGAAATGTTTGACTGTTTCTTTTCTAAATACAGATCTGTGAATGTTCTCAATCACTTAAAAACATTCTCCTCTTCAAATGTTTTTATTTACAAAACAGCTTTTAAGCAGATATATGGAATAATGATAATAAAAAGAATTATTGTACCAGTTAAAGTGTATAATAGATAAAAATATCTTTTTTCTGTGATCACCTTTCAGAGATGCCAGGGCTCAGCTGTAGATTTTACCAGCACCGGTTCCCAGAGGTGGAGGATGTTGTGATGGTGAATGTGAGGTCCATCGCTGAGATGGGCGCCTACGTCAGCCTTCTAGAGTACAACAACATCGAGGGCATGATCCTCCTGAGCGAGCTGTCCCGTCGACGTATCCGCTCCATCAACAAGCTCATCCGCATCGGCCGCAACGAGTGTGTGGTCGTCATCAGAGTAGACAAAGAGAAGGGTGAGTCCAAGTCTTTGTACGTTTCAGGTACCGTCTGAGAAATTTATCTACAGTTTCAAGAGAAAATAATCGTTTTTCACTCTAGTCTTCAAGCTCAGGGATCTTCAGAATATTCTGGTGTTATCGTACCGCGATCATCTGACCTCATCTTTTCTCTGTTTCATCTGCAGGATACATCGATTTATCGAAAAGAAGAGTTTCACCAGAGGAGGCCATCAAGTGTGAAGATAAATTCACCAAATCTAAAACTGTAAGTCAAAGGAGTGAAATATGATTCATGGTCGGGTTATCTTCAGAGTAGCTGAGGACAGACAGGCTCAGCTTCGTCTTTTCTGTCGTCGTTGTTGTAAATTTGACCTTCAGAGGGAGTTGATGAAACTGTTCTTGTGCCTGCAGGTGTACAGCATCCTGCGACACGTGGCCGAGGTGCTGGAGTACAGTAAGGACGAGCAGTTAGAGAGCTTGTACCAGCGCACCGCCTGGGTCTTTGATGAGAAATATAAGCGGCCCGGATACGGCGCCTACGATGTCTTCAAACAGGCCGTGTCGTAAGTGATCCCTTTGACTCTGTGCATCTTTGAGAGGAACTCCTAAAGAGAGAGTAAAACCATGTCCTCCTCTTACAGAGACCCCGCTATTCTTGATGGACTAGACTTAACAGAAGAGGAGAGGAACGTCCTGATCGACAACATCAACAGGCGACTCACTCCACAGGCCGTCAAAATCAGAGCAGGTGAGGTTCGGCTCTACAGGTGACGTTTGATTCTTCTTTACTGCGACCGTTCTTCACTCATCTGTTCCTCCTGCAGACATCGAGGTGGCGTGTTACGGGTATGAGGGCATCGACGCCGTGAAGGAGGCTCTGAGGGCCGGACTCGGCTGCTCCACAGAGGCCATGCCAATCAAGGTGACCTTCTGCTTTAGAGAGAGTGAGAAGCTGCCTCCATAAAAGACTAAGATCATGTGTTAAATATCTGTGGTGGTCTATTCTGCAGATCAACCTGATCGCCCCCCCTCGATACGTCATGACGACGACCACGCTGGAGCGCACAGAGGGCCTGTCGGTCCTTAACCAGGCCATGGCTGCTATCAAGGAGAAGATCGAGGAGAAGAGAGGCGTCTTCAACATCCAGATGGAGGTGAGCGACTTCACTCCGGTTTAGTGTCGTTCATGAACGATTCGTCCAAAAGGAAACAGAACTGCTGAGTGAACTCGGAGACCTGATTCGTTCCTTTCTCAGTTCAGTTGAGCTCAGCTGTGAACCTGGCGTGACGGTTGGGAGTGGAACTGCCGCCTTTGACAAGCGAGCGGGCGGGGTCTCGTGATTTGATCACAGCAAATGAACAACATGTATCAGTCAGACTGTGAACGAAATGAACGACTTCCGAACAGCTTGAGTCAGGCAGAGGAGGGACGGGCGTAGCGTTGTTCACGAAGTGCCGATAACCGGTTTGTTGACTGAGGCTAAGATAAAACTGGTCATTATAGCGTCTTTACATTAAAACACGTTTATAAACTTTCCTGTAAGAAGATTTAATTTCAGCAGATTTCAGTCGTTATAAATGATTGACGACTCGTGCTCGTTTAGTGGCGTGCTGCTCGCTGCTGTGTTGTTTCCACTGACACACAGAGAGGTGAGTTTTTCAGGGCAGGGGAGTGATTCCTCCTTCAGGACTTGGCCAATGATTGACATGTGTCACCCAGTGAACGACGCTGTGACTTCAGCAGCAGGGGAGGGGAGGGGCTAATGAACGAACTCCCGATCAGCGCCGCTTTGTCACTCACTCGTTTTCTGCTCTGGCAGGACGGGGCTCAGAAGCACTGACTGATTCAGTGAACAAATCATTTTAATGACCAGATTCTAAAGATTCAGTCAGAAGAACTGATCTTCCATCACTACTTTGGTTTCAAACGTGTAAATATCTGAAGATTTAGAGTTTGAAAAAGTTTCCTCGTGCAGATAATCGAGGCTGAACCACCTCTCTCGCTAACCAAGAGTTGAATCTTCTCGTTGTTATTCCCGTTATCTAAGAGAACTACCTGCTTCTTGTTTTCCAGCCGAAGGTGGTGACAGACACGGATGAGACGGAACTCGCCCGGCAGCTGGAGAGGCTAGAGCGAGAGAACGCCGAGGTGGACGGGGACGACGACGCCGAGGAGATGGAGGCCAAAGCGGAGGACTAGAGCGGCTGCTCGGAGGAAAAGGGCTGTTGGGGAGACAAAATAATAAACCATCAGAGAAATGTGGACATAACTGGTCGCTGTGGCTCAGTCTTTCACGTTACAAACATTAACAGGTGTTTTAGTTCATTGGCAAACGTCCCAGTTTGTTCAGTAGCAGGTTGAAGAGGACAGTCGGTCAAACAGCTGTCCTCTTTCTCAGACGTGAACGTAAGGAAAGCTAAATTTCTAAAAAACATCGACATAGTTTCTATTTTTAAATTTGAAAATGTAAAAAAAAAGAAACATAAAGCAGTGGCCTTCACTTACCTCTCACTTACGAGTCCAGAGTCAGTGGATCAGCTCGTCTGTTTCAGCGGCGACTTCATGTGCTGTTCTCTCTCTTCCAGTTTAAAGAGTTTTTACTGACAAGATCTGCTCCTGTTCAGCTAACATGGCATCAATAAAGTTCTGGAAGTTTTGATCTCAACGCGTCTTTGTGTGTATATACTGCTGTACAGTTCACACTTAAATGATAACTCAGGATTTTGGAGGAAAGGGTCAGTCAGAACAGAGTTATAAAAATCAGTTTTTATTCAAATGTTCACCGATACAAAAACAAATGATCATCTTCACATCACCTTCCTCTCCTGCTCTGCTCTTCTGTTCCTATAGTGGTTTCGACACGTGTGTGTTTGTGTGTGAGTGTGTGTGCTTTGACAGCTGCAGGGACGTCACCGCCCTGATCATCTGAGGGTCTCGCCACATTTTTAATGACAACAAGGTGCGGTCTGACGATGAGAGCATGCCGACATGTTCATCAGGAATGTGAAACGGGGGAAATCAGATCTGAGCCGTGTCCAAATCCCTGAATAAATAACTTTAAAAAAAGAAAATAAATCACATCCTGGTGGTGCTCGTACTCTAGAGTTTGTGTCCGCTGAAATCAACACACCATCACCTGCACCGTCTGAATTTAAAGAGAGGAAACGACCGCTCCTAAAGTGTGATGGTGTGTGAACGACAAATCCAGAGACGCCTAAACTAAAGTCTGTGATGTCCGTCAGCAGTTTCCTCTTAATAGCTGAGTAATGATGTGCTGTATTTACATGAACGCACAGAGACACAGTCGGCGTCTGCAAACAAAAGGAGGAGGGGGGGGTGTAGCCTGAGTATGCTGAGGAGAACATGGACCATCAGACCTGAACAACTGGTGCAAGTATGAGAATGATGAGCAGGATCTGAAGTTACAGTCTGTGTGTTTGGGATGACTTACTGCGCTACACTATTTTACACAAGTTTAAGAAAAGAAAACAAACAGCTTCTTCATCGATGAGGTTTGACTTATTTTACCAGTCCGATCTTCTTGGCTTCAGTTTCATAAATAAGTAACCTCCACATCTTCACTATGAAGACTTCGGCTTCTTCATCAAGAACCTAAAGATGAGAAAGTAAAGTGAGTTAGACGTGAAGAAAAAGAGAGATTTCTGTGGAGCTGAGACAAAATTACCGACTGATTTAACCCTTGTGTAACCGTCGCAATTTACAACGCTCAGTGGCTAAAAAAGCCACTTTTTTGACTGCTGTAAAAACATATTGGATTCATATTTTTTCCAGATTTTTTTTCATATATCTCTTAAGTAACTTCTGCTCTATTCAAAAATGGTAAATTTTTCATGAAGCATCAAAATTTTAACCCTTTAAGGGCCAATTAAAAAAAAAAAGTCACCAAAATTGGGAAAAAATAGGAGAAAATGACTGATATTTAATAGAAAACATCATCCTAAACTGGAAATCTCTTGCAGGGTAATAAAGTCTTGAATATGTAAAGGATTAGTAATATCATTGACTTTGATGCCCTTTAAGTTTTTTATGTAGGATCAGATTTCCAAAAAACATCCTATCTTAACGCTCAGTGGCTAAAAAAAAAGCCACTCCAGTCAATTTTGGTGACTTTTTTTTTTAAATTGGCCCTTAAAGGGTTAAAATTTTGATGCTTCATGAAAAATTTACCATTTTTGAATAGAGCAGAAGTTACTTAAGAGATATATGAAAAAAAAATCTGGAAAAAATATGAATCCAATATGTTTTTACAGCAGTCAAAAAAAGTGGCTTTTTTGCCGAGCGCCTATTTTTGACCTGGTGAAAATTTTGAAGTAATATTTTCAAAGTGTCCATCAATATAAGCATCCACAAAAAAAATCATCCCATTTGGTGCAGTAAAAAAAAGTTACGTGGAAATTGGTGGCTAAATTCTGCCCCAAGTGGCTCTTTTTAGCCACACCGTTACATAAGGGTTAAGGCAACAGCTGCGGGGATCTTTAGGGTAAGTCTGATTTTAGTTGACATTCTGTTCAACATGAAGATTTATATACAGTTACAACATCTATTTAACTGAGCTTTTAACCGTTCAGGAGCCGGGTAGAGCTCTGAGCTTCTGCTGGAGGTGTCCAGGTCAATACACGAACACTGGGCTGACCGAGACGTTTCAGTCGCTGGTCCCAGACTCTGGAATAAACTCCCCACTGAAATAAGACTTATTTCTGACCTGGGCCTTTTTAAGTCCAGATTGAAAACTTATTTATTTATGCTGCCTTTAATACCCAGTAGTGCAGTGACACTTTATTTTATTGCATTGTAATTTATTCTGTTTTTATTGTTGTTATAATTTTCTACGTATTGTGAAGCACTTTGGTTCACTGAAAGGGTTGTTGTAAAGGGCGGTAAAAATAAAGAACATTTACAACTTTATCAAATTATGACAGGAGATTGTTTTAGTAAAGTGATCGATGGTTCACTGATCATCAAAAGTGCATTTTGACCTTTTTTACTTGCTGCTGATTATAAAGCTGCTCTTAAACCAAGTGTATTTATTTATTCATTTAACACTCAAAATAATCCCACAATAAAAACGTCGACATGAGTGGAAAAAAGGCTGATTTTTGCAGTATGTTACTCACCATGGCAACATCATCCAAGATGCTCTGCGGCATACTGTGAGCCATCACCTGGGAAACACAAAATATCGGCTTTAGCTCACGCTCCTCTCTCTGTTCTGGTCTGAATGAAGTGAAATTCACAGAAACACACGATCTCTACCTTCGAGCAGACAAAGTCCACTAACGTCGGCTCCTCCTCCCCGATGTACTCGATGATCTTTTTGTTGATCCAGGGCCGAACACGCCGCTCCATTAACGTCTGAAAAGGAGAAGTGTTGAAATATGAGAGCATGAAGGTATTCTGATCCATCAACAGTCTCAGGATGATATTCATCTGCTCACCGCGTCCACCATGGACCAGTCCAGCGGGTACGAGAACAGCTCCGGCTTGGCTGTGGGAATCTTCTCGATCAGACTCTTGATGTGTTTCCGTTTCTCCTCCGAGTTGGCGCCCTTTATGCTGGAGAGTCCGGCGCCGTCCACCCCGAGGCTCTTGTCATCGTCGTAATCCAGGGGGACCAGCTTCCTCTTGCGCGGCTGCTCGTCAGCTTCTTCGTCGTCGAACTTGTCGAAGACGCTGTCCACAGGCAGCTTCTTCCTCTTCCCTGTGTTGGGCTGACTCGGACTTCCTGTGGCACCTGAAAAGAGTCACATGACAACGGCGTTTTAGATTTAAGCCGCAGGACTCAGGAATCTCAGAAAACTTTAATTCAGACGAAGACAGAGGAGTGTTTTTGTCTCATATTTTATTGAAGAAAAATCAACATTAGGAATCTTTGTTCCCTTTTCAAGTTGGATGAACGTTTGTGGTTAAAAATCACAGAAATACAGAAATACATTTTATCACAAACTACAAACAGGGAAATGTGAGATAAGAGCTGTCGTCTGTGGAGAGATGTCGACTGTATCTGTGACTCTCAAAGATTTTAGTTTTTAATCTTCCTAATAAAGGCTAAAAAAAGATTTTATCTCTTACTATTAAACAAAAACACTAAATTAATTTTTATTTTCCCAGAGCAGTAAACTTTGATTCTCGCTCGGTGTTGTTCGGTCGGATTAAACTCACCCAGTTTGAGACTGAGGCCGATCTTCGGCCGGTGCTCCTCCTGCGGGAGCGCCTCAGGAGGAGAGTTCTCATGAGGGATGATGATGCCGCACGGAGACTCCTCCCCAGGTGTGTTCGGGGACACGTTCCCGCTAGCTGATGACACCGAGGGCGCCGCCGTGATGGGCCGCATCGTCGGCTTCAAGCATGGTTTCACGTCAGGGTTATCTTCATCGTTGTCATAGTCTTCTTCCTCGCCCTCCTCCACCTCGTCGTCGGAGTGGGCGGGCCTCGTTCGGACCTCTACTCTCTCCTGGTGGTCTTGTCTGCGGTCCCGGTGGTCTCTTGAACCCCTGTGGCGTTCCCGTTCCACCACGGGCTCAGGCTCTTGGATAATAGGAGGTTGTCTCAGACGCTCCTCCTCTTCCTCCTCCATCTACACCAATAAGAGGAAGATTTAAGGCAGATTAACACCCAACAGAGAGAGAGCGAGGAGAGAAGGTCAGCAGATGAAGAAAGGTGGACAACAGAGGAGCAGAGAGATTCATGTGATAAAGTGACCTTCACAAAAACAACACACAGCATGCTCTCTCACTGCACACAATGACACACACACTCACACTCACTCACACACACACAATGATCCTTCCACAGAGTCATACCCTGCGTAGCTCTGCGTCTGGGTTTGGATGTCCCTCGTCTAGCAGCCTCTGTCTGATCTCCTCCAGCTCCTCCTTCTCCCTCTTCCTGTCACGTTCGTCTGCCTCCATCTCCTTCTCTCGGTCTCTGAGGCGCTTCTGCAGCGCACTGCCCCTAGGGGTCACACCGGAAATTACAGCCTTCAGAACAATAGCCATAGCAGCAGTGCTGCATTTGCTGCTGCTGCGAGTCAGATCTGGGTCACAGCATCTGCTGCTGCGTCTCTCTTCCAGATTTATCCACATGAAGGTGCTGTGAGGCTCAGAAACATCAACATTTGAGGGATTTTTTTCCTGTTTCCATCTTATTTGATCTTAAATATGAAGTTTTTCTTTATCTATCCAGCCTCAGTTCATAGACTCTGTAAAACGGTTACCTGTAGTATTTGGGGTCGTCTCTTTCATCATCGTAATCCTCCAGAAACTCTTTTAGCCGTTTGCCTTCTTTCATCTGGAGACACACGGGGACACACTGAAGTTAAAAAATACTATAACAGCACACAAACGTCATCACCTGAACACGTTTAAAAGAAGAGAAACCCTCAAAAACAATCTGAGGATTCAGTTTATTACATTTACTTTAAAGAAGGTCCTGACTCATTAACGGAGGAGAGCGAGAATGTCCAGGACTTCAACAGTTAGTAAGGGCAGCTCCATGAACGCCGGAGTATCTTTATTTTATCCTCACCATTTCACGTCGACGCTCGTCTTCTCTCTCAGACTCCTTGGCATAATCCCGCGCCTTCTTCCTTTCCCTGAGCTCCCAGTTTTTAAGACGCTGTTACATGAGAAAAAAGAACCATCATGATCCAAAACAACCAGATAAAAAGAGAGAGTTGGTCTTTGTTTTTAATCCTGGAGGTTCCCATTAACTTTAAATTCTCATGCAGATATTCAGATTATTTATACATTAAATTTAATGTCCTATATGAGAGGAGCATCCACCAGTCTGTCGTACCTCCTGATAAGCTGCTTCTTTGTCTCGAAGTTTTCTCTCCAGCTTCCTGCGTTCGTACGCCTCCTCTTCATCCTCTTGGTCTCGTTTCTTTTCCCTGTCTCGGTCTCGACTCACCTCCCTACAAAAACAAAAGGTGAGAATTTTAACTTATCCTTTTATCCGACCAGGAAACGACACAAACAGGATGTTAAGTCTGTAGCATGATTCCAGTGTGTGAGAAAACATTGAAGGACGTCAGTAAAGTAAAGTCAGCAGAAGCTCTTTAGCAGGATGAAAAAGCACTGAGTCAACACGGTGGATTTCTTCACCTTGAACGGCTTCGGTCAGGACTCCGGTCACGGCTTCGGTCCCTCTCCCAGTCTCTGTCTCGCTCCCTCTCTCGGGTCCTGCGATCACGGTCTTTGTCTCGGTCTCTCTCCCGCTCTCGCTCTCTTTCCCTCTCCCGCTCGCGCTCTCGCTCCTTCTCCCTCTCACGGTCCCGCCGTTCTCTCTCCCGCTCTCGCTCCTTTTCCCGCTCCCTCCGCTCCCGCTCAAACTCCAGCCGCTCCTTCTCCCGCTTGTCCTTCTCTTCTTCTAGTTTCTGCAGAGCAAAACACAAGCCGGTTCAGCCAACGCCATGCAGGATCTGACAGTCTTTGCAGGCAATTTTCTGTCGTGCACAGATCAAGTGGTTTCCAGATTTAAAAAGAAAAAAAAAGCGGATCTCATGAAAGAACATGCCCTGAACTTGAGTGCAAAAAAGCTCGACTCCTGACTGGGAAAAAAACCTTAGAGGTCAAAAGGCTCTCCCTCACAGAGAGACAGCGTCTTCGTTAAGAAAAACTGTTTTTTGTTTGTTCGTTACCTCAGACTGTCGGTATTATCGTCTAGTTAGCAATAAAGTAACTGGAAACCACTTCAAGTTGTAAATTTGATCTGTGGAACATGTTGAGGCATTCATAATGAGAAAAAGGCGCTGCAAAAGACAAAGCTTTTTCTCGCCTTAAGAGTCCTCCTCTCAGAACAAGGAAAACAAAACAGAAAACAGGCGTCAGTCTGTTGTTGAACTAGTTGTTTGTGACTTACAGGTGTTGAACTACGGACTCAGCCCTTCGCTGCCCCTACAAGCCTTTTAAGTTAGGCCTGGGAGGAAAGCAGGTCACACGTATACAAGGAAAAACGTTATGGGATTCTGTCTTTCTTTAGCATCATCATCATCATCATCAAAATCATCATCATCATTAAAGAAACACCTTTATTTCAACAGGTAACATGGTACTGGGTACAGTGCTAAATCAAGAAATGAACATTATGAACATCAGTTACATTTCTGCACAGATAATTGAAATTGTAGAAACGGTCTTACCCCTGCAGGAGTCTTCAGCAGCTCTCCACGACTTTTATCCAGACAAACACACACACACACACACACACACACCGACATTCTGCCATTATGGGCATCACACACGAGGCTTTCACTGCGATACGGCGTCCCCTACGTTTAGTACAACCGAAACACTGAGTGGGGAGATCTGAATTTAACCGTACTTAGGCTCGACTCCAGCGAGTTAAAACAAGCAAATAAAAATGGATTTCCTTCAAGCCGCTAAACTTTCACGTCGTGGTCATTTCAGCCGCAGGAAGTGAGATTCTCAACAGGACACACAGACTGAACAAAAGCCTGGGGTGTGATGCAGCAGGAGAGAAGGAAACCTGTCACATGAGAGCGTCTGTGATGTTTGTTTTTTCCTTTAATCTAACTTGACTCCATCATCGATCGTTTCAACACGTTTATCTGTTCAGGTGCCTTTTCACTTACCTCTGATGAGCGTCTACCAGGGCAGACTTTAACAGCACAGGTTATTGAGCAGGAGTTTAACTCTGTATGAGATCTCAGTGTAACACCTTCAATTTAGAACTTCCTTATCTGCCTAACTTCAGTGTAACTTCAGCCGTTAGACTATTTTAAACTTTCCATATCGCTGTAGTTAGATAAATTTACCACAATTCTCCTGTTTGGACTCTTTTGTTTCATCTATACCAGCTTTAGTTCTGAAGATACATACGTGAACATACTGATCTATGTTACAGAGAAGAAGAGAAAAGGCAGAGAGACAAAGATGTAGAGCTTAGAGAGAGAGAGAGAGAGAGGATGGAAATCACACTCGACACACAGAGAGCACGTACCTCCTCAGTCTTCAGATCAGCGTGCTGCTGTGGAGAGGGCGCCCCCCTACGCTAGCATCATAAAAAGCTACAGCCAAGTCACTGCAGTGGTTATTGACAGAGTCCTTGTGCTTCAACATGAACACCAGTAAGACAGACCATCATTTGCTGAGGACTCGCACAGGTTCACTGACTCTCTTGGGCTTTAGGGAGGGGCGTCACTTATGGAGTCACAGAATGAGGATGAAAGGGTGAGGGGGGTGTTTACTTTGGTGAACGGTTGGCTTCATTAAGGGCTTCAGAACCCTGAACCAACACACAGAAAAGAGCAGAACAGTTGCCCCTATGCAAGCCCTCAAGAGGGGGGCGCCCAGTATATGTATAAAGTAAATAAAGGCTGATACTTACATCCTATCCTCGCAACTTTTTCCAAAGCTCTGAGATTCATCTTGCTTTAGTCACCATATGATCACTATCATAATGGTGGGGTTTAATGAATAGATTAGCTTTTAAGTAACTTTACATCGTCTCCATGCATTTTTGTGTGATGAATGAAGAATGGATGTATCATATTCACACCTAAGTCATATCACTATGGTGGTCATAGGTTTCAGTGAGGCCTGAGAGGGGTGACAAAAACTGTAGCTGTCTGCCTACGTTGGTGTTTGAACAGCATGAAACACTTCATATAGTTAAGGGGGGGAAATATGATGTTTGGTGGTGGAACTAAAAGGCACTGCCAATTTGTAGCACAGTATGCATGTTACTGAGAGCAAGAAAAGCTTAGTAAATGTGTAGACTAAATGTGCAAGCTCTAGGAGTGAACTATGTAAGCAGCTGCTGTCCAAAAACCTGTAATGTCAACTACAAGATCAAAAGAGCTACTTTACCTTGTGAGTGTCTCGAAATTTACTAATCTCTCTGGAGATCAGGTCTCTCTTGTCCTCCTCCATGTCAATCGTGTTGATGTCGTCCTAAATGCGAACAGAGTTAAATAACGGTTAATTTTTTACCTACAACAGAGCAGAAGCAGAACAAAAACAGAGGTCGAACACGGCGGGTGTACCTCCTCTTTTTTCTCCTTCTTTCTCTTTCTCCGCTGGGAGTCCTCGTCTGTTGAAGGTGCGTTGAGTTCAGCTGCATATTCCCGCATCAATCCATCGATAGCTCCTTTGACGATCTGATCCTTTTTCTGTGTTTCCTCATCCAGAACCTCCTCCTCATCGTCGCCGCCATCCTCAGCCTTCTTATTCTGCGAGCACAGGAAATTTTATCCGGATTAAGTCGTCACTTTCAGACACAACCATCGAAACAGGAGCAGACCTACAACCTGAAAACAATCATACCCCATTGGCAGTCTTCTTCTTAGCCTTCCACTCATCCAGCTGAGCTTTAGTTTTGGCGTCCACCTTCACTAGAAGATTTTTATCACCAATCTGAAGGTCGTGAAGCAGCCGCAGGGCCCTTAACGTGGACTCTGGCTCCTTATACTCACAAAACCCAAAGGCTGCAACAGACATGAGAACAGACAGAAACTCAAGTAAAAACATTTTCTGTGATTCAAAGCAACATGAACAAAAACGGTGATTTTGTGTGAAATAATTCGGGATTTGCAGATCAGCTTTTTAGCCCAAATTTTTGGAAAACCTTGCTAATAACAGACGCAGGTATTTCCCTGATCTTAAGATGCTGAGTGTGAACTGTGATTACCTTGAAGCTTGCCAGACGCTCCTTGAACTCTCTTCCAACTCAGAACAATTCCACATTTCTAGTACATCAAAATAAAAGAGCAGATGTTCAGTTTAAGCAGGTTGTCCACGTTATCATTTAAAAAACATACCATATCTGTAAGTTCAGTGACACTCACCGCGAGCAGCTGTCTGATCAGCATGTCTGAAGCTTTCTCCGATATGTTCCCCACAAACACTGTGGTGGTGGGGCCGCTGCTTTCGTCGTTGTCTTTGGCTCGTTGAAGAGCGATGTCTTTCTTATGGACTGGGGGTTTGCTGACCACTGACACAGAGGGCACCATCACTGTCGGGGTGGAGGTCATGATGCCCACATGAACCGGGATCATCGGTGTGGCTGCAACATCCAGAGAACATGATCATTAATTACACACAGAGTACTTTTCAAATACTTGACCTGAGGACATAGTAGGAAAATCTATGAATTTTGCTCTCGCATCAATCAATCAGTCTTTATTTATATAGCATATTCTGTGTATTACACAGAAATAGGAATAAAAGATACAAAGAATACCTAAAATACCCACCATGATAATATTGATAACCCTGATAATTTTGGTCACAATAATCGTGATGTTTATTTGTCATATCGTTACATCCCTAGTTAATGATATAAAATTTAGTTAAAGCAAGACTAAAAAGGTAGGTTTTGAGTTTGGTTTTAAAGTCATCAATATTAGGTACAGTCCTCAGGTCTTCAGGTAAGCTCTTCCGTAGTAATAAAAAGGTTCCTCACTTTATGATTTGGTTTTAACTTGAGGTAATAATGTTTACGGAGAACTTCCTGAAGACCTGAAGACTCTACCTAACTCATAAGGTAGAAGGAGATCAGAAAAATAAGATAAAATAAAATAGTATAAACAGTTTAGAATAGAATAGTATGAACTTTCTACTACCCCTTTAAAATGAATCGATGGAGCATATTTATTCAGGGACAGGTAGTAACTCACCTGAAGGGAAACCAGCATACTGTGGAGGGATCCCTGGAGGGGGTAACAGCGGCCGGTTTAAGTGAGGGGGGAAGGACATGGTGGGTGAAATCTGGACCGTCCTGGAAACACAGACACCCGTCAGCATAAACAGCTCTTGGACTAAAAAGTTTAATTAACTACAGAGTAATTAAAGTGCGCTGATTTTCCTCTGAATGAGTATATCCGTTCATGTTTGACCTGCTTTGTAGCTCAACTGGAAGTCAAGCAGATAAACCAGAACCGCTCATTAACTGATTTAACTTTAGGTCAGAGGCTGAAGTGCTAACATTAAGCTTTAATAAAGGTATTAATTTCAACTTGGTGACTCTCACTTCTTTAAAACAGCGATAAACCTGTCAGCTCAGTTAGCCATCGTTAGCATTTCTAACACGCTGCCGTCCGTACGTTACCCCGGCACGGCTAACTCAGAATAAGCTACCGTTAGCTGGAGCTCGTGTTACGGAGCGGGAATAAAACTCACTTCCGTTAGCTAAATAGGAACTTCAAAACAACATTCAACTGACAGGCTGTACGTACCTCGAATTAGGAGGCGTTCAAAGTGATAAAAACCGCTATGAGACGCTTATTAATAATGAAAACCTTTGTAACGTTCCCAATGTTTGATTAGCACACTGGCTAGTCACGGGCCTTCAAAAACATTGACGCAAGCGCTTTACGTACAACACGGAGGCGCGCTTGATTTAATTATCGGTATAGAGCTGCTGGGCGGAGACAACAACACCCGACATGGACTTCTCTAACGGTTATTATGTATTTTTATAAATACTAATTCTGAAATCAAACAGTATGATAACCTCAACAAACATAAACAACATTCGCAATTGTGCCCCTCAACTCAACTTTATTTATAGAGCACTTTAAATACAACCAAATCTGGCACAAAGTACTGTACAGAATAACATAAAAACATAAAACAACAATAAATAGTTGTTTTAAAATATAATAAATAGCAATAAAAAAGCAATAAAACTAATACCGTCTCATGCTGGGTCAAAAGCCAAGGAATAAAGGTGGGTTTTTAGACAGGTCATGTAATATATGTTGCTTTTGCACTTAAAGCTCCTGTGAAAAGTTTTGAGCAGATATTGACACAAACTGAAATCTGATAAGAATGCCTCTTTATCATTTTGTCACCCAAACATGTAACCAAGACTTTTAACAGTAAAGGTGGGTATATGTGTCAAGTATTTTTTTTCCATATGAAAGTTTGGAGAACATGCAGCTAACTGCATGTTGCCGATTTTTTCCAGAGGTTGTCAATGTAAAATACAGCTAAGCTTAAAGGGATATTCCGGTGTAAAATTAATTTAGGGTCAAACACACCGTAACATCGAGTTAGACACCCCCTCCAGAGATGAATGTTGTCGACCGCTTGCTTCTCTAGTTATACCAACTTTAGAAACGACCGCAGGATAGCAATACAGAGAGCCACGCGCTCAACCAAAACGCCACTCTATAGCCACAAATAATGCTCAGAACAGCACCTAACTTCATCAACAGGACATATAGGGTCACAGACATAGTACTAGACACCAAACATCTTTTTAACTTTGACTCATTTCTTTAGCAAAGAGACTAAACACAACTCACCTACTCTCTTCCAGCAGCTGCTTGCTTGTGGTGAGACCTTAGGCCAGTCTGTTACAGACTACAGCGGGGTGCCACAGCTCAAGGAAGAACATTTATGATTATTTCTTTATGGAAATACAATCAGACCAAGATGCTAAGGCAGAGGAACTACCGCATCTGCATTGAAAAATGATTAATATGATGATTATTACTTTGAGGAAATGATAACGAAATGATCGTAAATGTTCTTCCTTGAGCTGTGTCACCCCACTGTAGTCTGTAATGGACTGGCCTGAGGTCTCGCTACAAACAAGCGGCTGCTGGAAGAGAGTAGTGACTTGTGTTTAGTCTCTTTGCTAAAGAAATGAGTCAAAGTTAAAAAGACGTTTGGTGTCTTGTACTATGGCTGTGACCCTATATGTCCTGTTGATGAAGTTAGGTGCTGTTCTGAGCATTATTTGTGGCTATAGAGTGGCGTTTTGGTTGAGCGCGTGACTCTCTGTATTTCTATCCTGCGGTCATTACTAAAGTTGGTATAACTAGAGAAGCAAGCGGTCGGCAACATTCATCTCTGGAGGGGGTGTCTAACTTGATATTATGGTGTGTTTGACCCTAAATTAATTTTATGCTGGAATATCCCTTCATGGAGATTTTTTTGTCAACACAGCTACAGCACAAAATCAGCTAGACTGTGTAGTCCACAGGGGGCTCAAAAATCAACACAAACCAAAAGTTTTAACAATTTGACTATGTTACAAAATGTGAAGCTGTCAGTTTTAATCATAAAAAACTGCAAATAAAGAGACACCATGATGATGCAGAAAGAGAAGCCCAGTGGCTAAATTTTTTGCAGTTACCCCAATCGCTATTGAGGATTTCTCTCTTCATTTTACATAAAAAGTATTTTCTTTGTGTGGGAATAGGTTTCCAATCGTCTTAAAATGAATGAAAATTGGAGACTTGAGACTATCGTGGCCTGCTATCGTTTTTATTTTCTTGTGATAAACTTTGGCACAATATCTTTTCATCATGATTTTGTATTTAGACAGAAAACCAAGTAAGCTCATTCTATCATGAATAATGTTAATTTTTTTCCTGAGAAAGTCGTTTGGTCTGTTACCATGGTGTTTTTGTTGTAGAAACGAGCATCTCTGACAGCAGCTGTGGAGCGAGGGCTGGAGCTGACAGGCCGTGACGTCATTTTCAGGCGGGTTTTTCATGGAAAGTGCTAGAAGAAACGGAGCACACACTCCCAAATGAGGTAATCATCCGACATAGCATATAGTCCCTTAGTCTTTTATGTGAAACAAACGATTTACCCTTGGTTTTATCGGAGTAGTTTTCCACCGTTTAGAACAATTAGGGAGTTTGTGATAATTTGTTGGTAATTCAAAACTGTTCCGTCCAAAAAACATTTGATATCTGAATATCCATCTCGTCCTTTCCTCTCGGGATAAACTGCCACACGGTGGCGGCAATGGGCCCGCTTCACGGGAGAAGGGATTGACTTTGTATTAGTGCAGAATTTTCATCACAAGGTTACATTTACCAAGCAGATTTCTGTAAACACTGTGCTGAAAGTGTCAGCTAAATGACATTTTCGGGGTCAGTAAACAGTAAAATTTGACAGATAAATATGTCTTTCGACCTCTGAACATCCTCTTTGAGACTGAGGGATTTTACCTGTCTTAAATGTATGACATCGCTACTCAGATTCGACATGTATTGTTATTAAACTGCCCGAAAATACATATAAGGTACTTGTTTCTCATTCTGAGCATCCATTCAAATAATTTTTGATTTAATGTACGCTTACTCATAAATATATTTTCCTCTATAAAACAAACATTTAAATTTTCAAACTGTCATTTTGGATTCACAGACGAGTACCAGCCATCGCTGGTGCACCGCGGATGGATACGGTCGCACGCTGAAACGAGTGTGTATAAAGATTCCGGTCTATTAAAAGGAAGTCCCTTTCCATTTCCCTGCGTCAGAGAGCAGAAGGGATAATATATTGGTTGCATTTATTCAAGATAAGTCAACGAAATAAATAAGGTATGTACACTGCTATTTACTCACTTATAAAAGGCTTTTATCCTTGTCTGAAAATCGGTTACGGTAACCTACCGCTGAACTATGAATGGATGTGTCCACGGTGAAAGCTCGTGAGTCACGACGACAGCCTTAGCATCATAACTGTCCTGCGAGTAACGGCTGTAAGAAAATGTGTTTTTAGTTTAATCTACCTGTTCATCAGTTTGAAATGCTTAAAAGTTGTAAAATTTGGTGTATTAACGGTGTTTTGTTGGTTGGTTGTGTGAATGCGGCAATGTGCCGCACTGCTAGGCCGAGCTGAGGCTGCAGGTGTGGTGAGGATGACAGAGCTGTCCCGGTTTATTTAACAAAGATTATTAAATTCACCGGGTCTGATATAAACTGTAATATATGTGTAATAAAATAATAATATAATTCTGAAACATTAACGTCAAATTCGATTCAATGAGGAGAGTTAAATGACCGAACAGGAGCTGTTTCTGTTAACGGAAAACTCGATTGTGTTGAAAAAATCGTTAAACGGTCAAACTTGATAATTTAGAGCTTAAATAAACTTAAAGTTAATTAGAAATGTTTCCTTCTATCACAAGTTAGAGCTCCGGCTCCTTCCACTGACCTCTTCATTCGGCTGCTTTTTAAGTGAAATAATTATAATTTCTCGGTACATTAAATGATAAACTTCGTAAGGATTTAAATAAAGGTCAAGTGACGCATTTGTGAACGTAACCATCCTCCTCGGCTGTGGTCGTTCCTAAGCACGTGTTTATGGCGTCCATTGTCTGTCAGTTGACGCCATGTTGGCTAACAGCTACTTCCGCCGATGTTGGCTGTATGATGGAAACCGTCCAATCTTCGAGTCAGACTTTGGACACGATCCAACAAAGAAACCGTTTTACGTTAAACGAAAGTGAAGACATAATCTCATGGCAATAAATAAATGTCATTTTTATCGTTGTGAACTGTCCCCATATCTTCCAAAGGCTAGGTTTTGTTTGCTGTTAAACTAAAGTCATCTTTCTAAATCTTCCCTGTTGTTTTTTTTTTCTGTGCAGATGCCTGAAGAAATGCACCAAGAGGAGGAGGCTGAGACCTTTGCCTTCCAGGCAGAGATCGCTCAGCTGATGTCCCTGATTATTAACACCTTCTACTCCAACAAAGAGATCTTCCTCAGGGAGCTGATCTCTAACGCCTCTGATGTAAGTCTGTGGTGGTTACTCACTATTTTCCATGTTCCTGTGGTGTAAAATTTGAAGAAACTACAATCGATGATGGCAGATGTGATATTTACACATGAAAACCTGTGTGTTTAATAGCATCTTGTTGTGATAACCATAACAATTATATTTTTTTACAGGCTTTAGATAAAATCCGCTATGAAAGCCTGACCGATCCATCCAAGCTTGATAGTGGCAAGGATCTGAAAATCGACATCATCCCCAACAAAGCTGACCGCACTCTGACCCTCATTGACACTGGAATTGGCATGACCAAAGCCGACCTGATCAACAACCTGGGTACCATCGCCAAGTCCGGCACCAAGGCCTTCATGGAGGCCCTTCAGGTATTACAGCAAACACGTGATCTGAGCTGCAGCATATACTCAAGAATATATCGGCTCGCCCTCTCTGACCAGGGATCAAATATTAATCTGCGATTTGTTCCTCTAGGCTGGAGCTGACATTTCCATGATCGGTCAGTTTGGTGTGGGTTTCTACTCCGCCTACCTTGTTGCCGAGAAGGTGATGGTCATCACCAAACACAACGACGATGAGCAGTACGCCTGGGAGTCCTCAGCTGGAGGTTCCTTCACAGTCAAGGTGGACAATGGTACGTATCCTGACATTGTAGGATAGTCAGTCACAGAGTTAAATATCAAACTATTTATTATAATGCAGTTTACAGAGATCACTCTATTTTAATACCACAATCATTCAGCTATACACTGTGATGATGTTTAAAATGAGACTAACACAATGTTTAGTATCAAATAATCTTCATTTACTTAATGCCTGTGAAACTGTTTTCTAGGTGAGCCCATCGGCCGGGGAACCAAAATCATCCTGCATCTGAAGGAGGACCAGACCGAGTACATCGAGGAGAAGAGGGTCAAGGAAATCGTCAAGAAGCACTCTCAGTTCATCGGCTACCCCATCACCCTGTTTGTGAGTATTATATCTGTAATAGTGTTGTGTTAAACTGGAGGCATGTCAATTAGCAAGGATCTAACTGTTGTCCTGTTTGATATTCAGGTGGAGAAGGAGCGCGACAAGGAGGTCAGCGATGACGAGGCAGAGGAGGAGAAAGCAGAGAAGGAAGAGAAGGAGGACGGTGAGGACAAGCCAAAGATTGAAGACGTGGGGTCAGACGATGAGGAGGACTCTAAAGACAAGGACAAGAAGAAGACGAAGAAGATCAAGGAGAAGTACATCGACCAGGAGGAGCTGAACAAGACCAAGCCCATCTGGACCAGGAACCCAGACGACATCACAAACGAGGAGTACGGCGAGTTCTACAAGAGTCTGACCAACGACTGGGAGGATCACCTGGCTGTGAAGGTATTTATGCAGGACAGTGTTTACAGCGTCTGTTTTTAGTCTCTGTCTGCATTATCAGATCATTTGAGGTGACCTCTGGTCTACCTTCTTTTTAGCACTTCTCCGTCGAGGGTCAGCTTGAGTTCCGGGCCCTGCTCTTCATCCCCCGCCGCGCACCTTTCGACCTGTTTGAGAACAAGAAAAAGAAGAACAACATCAAGCTGTACGTCAGGAGAGTCTTTATCATGGACAACTGTGAAGAGCTCATCCCAGAGTACTTGAGTAAGAGACGTGCGCTTAAAATAATCATCTATACAGAACAGAAGAGTGGAACCTGTTACTCATGAAGCTCTGTTTATTTCTCCATCTCCAGACTTTATCCGTGGTGTGGTCGACTCCGAGGATCTGCCCCTCAACATCTCCAGAGAAATGCTGCAGCAGAGCAAGATCCTCAAAGTCATCCGCAAGAACATCGTCAAGAAGTGTCTGGAGCTGTTTGCTGAGCTGGCTGAGGACAAGGAGAACTACAAGAAGTTCTATGAAGCCTTCTCCAAGAACATCAAGGTATCTGAAAGTGAAAGCAGCGAGGAACACGTGTACTCTAACGTGGAGACATTTTTTTTTTTTTAGCCGAGGCTTTAACCAAAGTTTCTCTTTCCTCATGTCTTCAGTCCAACTCTGTGGATCTAAAAGGTTCCTCTGTGTTCTTTTAATGTGGTCGTGACCAAACCCTGTAGTCATCTTGGACAGTGTAGTGATAGTTTAGTCTGGATAAACGATGAAGAACAAGTTTTGATTCAGCTGCTTGTAGTTGATAGCTTATTGAAGTCCACCTGCAGTGTTTATATGCTGTAGAGTTAGACCCCTGGTACTGTAGATCAGTGACTCCACTGGTGTGAGTGTTGAGATCAAACACCTGAGTACGTGTCTGTGGTAAAGCAGGTTTTATAACTCTGATAATGAACCTTTGGATCACATGATTTTCCGAAGTAGAGCTGATGGTCCTGATAACATTTTAACGGTTGGCTTATCAAACTGAAAAACTCACATTCAGGATTGTAGATATTAATGAAATTTCCCAAAACAAGTTCCTAAATTGTAATTTTGTTTTGAGTAAAAAAACATGTCGGTCTATTTGGAGTAAAGGTAATTAACTGCTGTCTGAGAGTTTAAACCTTTTTTTAACGAGGTTTTGAGGTCAGCACAGAAAATTCTTCGTACGAAAGAGTTTAATCTTTTTTTATAAACTGATTTTTTTTCTTTTTCCTTTCTGCACCATTTTTATAATCTAGTTTTGTATCCTCACGTCTGTTTTATAAATCCTTTTTGGTCTAAATCTTTTTATCAATAATACATTTATTCATCGAAGTTCATTCACAGAGCTGTGGACTTGATTCGTTGTAGGAGTAATCATGTTTCTGTCATAGTTTTACATCCATATACAAGCAGTCTGGATTAATCCATCTGTTGTCTTTGTAGCTGGGCATCCACGAGGACTCTCAGAACCGCAAGAAGCTGTCTGAGCTGCTGCGCTACCACAGTTCCCAGTCTGGAGATGAGACCACCTCCCTCACAGAGTACCTGACTCGCATGAAGGAGAACCAGAAGTCCATCTACTACATTACCGGTGAGTCTGCCGCCTAACGCAGCCCCTCCAAATGGTTCTTCAATACTTGAATCCTCCGTAGATGATCCTAAATTAATGATTTTTCTGTCATTCCAACTTCAGGTGAGAGCAAGGACCAGGTGGCCAACTCCGCCTTCGTCGAGCGCGTCCGCAAGCGTGGCTTCGAGGTCCTGTACATGACAGAGCCCATCGACGAGTACTGTGTGCAGCAGCTGAAGGAGTTTGATGGCAAGAGCCTGGTCTCTGTCACCAAAGAGGGTCTGGAGCTGCCAGAAGACGAGGAGGAGAAGAAGAAGATGGAGGAGGACAAGGCCAAGTTCGAGTGCATCTGCAAGCTCATGAAGGAGATCCTCGACAAGAAAGTAGAGAAGGTCGGTGTCTCGCGTCAAACCCCCATTTCTCTTCATACTGCAGGGTGTAAGGCTCCCACAGACTGGAGCTGACCGTGTTCTGTTTGATAACAGGTGTCCTAAATGGTCCTAAGTTGTTTCCTGGTGAGTTTTTAAAGCGGTAAAGAGGTCCGAGAGTCTTTGGTGTGTCCTGAATGACTTTTTTAATGACTTGTGATTGTTCCCGGTTGACTGAGACGACATTAGCCCAGAACTTGAATATGTAACTTGTGTGAGCTAACAGATGTCTGCTTTTAACAGAATAACAACTAATCTAAAGTGGATTAAAGATTTCTTGGTCCTGAGATGTTTTGGTCTGCTCAAATTAGACGTTTAAGGAGTTTTTAGATGTTTGGAAAGCATCGACTTGGACGTGTTCATGTGTTGAATATTCGTCTCTAACATGATTTTGCTGCACGCCTTTATGAAATTGAGTTTAATCAAGTATCTGTCTGCATGACGTGTGTTTTTCTTTGTTAGTTTGAAAGTCTTACTCGTTTCTTTTGGGCGTCCTCATCCAGGTAACAGTGTCAAACAGACTGGTGTCCTCGCCCTGCTGCATCGTGACCAGCACTTACGGCTGGACCGCCAACATGGAGAGGATCATGAAGGCCCAGGCTCTCAGGGACAACACCACCATGGGCTACATGATGGCCAAGAAGCACCTGGAGATCAACCCAGACCACCCCATCGTCGAGACCCTCAGGCAGAAGGCTGACGCTGACAAGAACGACAAAGCAGTGAAGGACCTGGTCATCCTGCTCTTCGAGACCGCCCTGCTGTCCTCAGGCTTCTCCCTGGACGACCCACAGACCCACTCCAACCGCATCTACAGAATGATCAAACTCGGCCTGGGTAAGGACCCTCTCTAGATCAGAAACCGCAGTTTCTGCCTGACTCACATCTACAGACACTAACCTGAATCTTCTGACCTCCAGGTATCGATGACGACGAGGTCCCCACAGAGGAGGTCACCTCCGTCCCAGATGAGATTCCTCCCCTAGAAGGTGAAGGAGACGATGATGCGTCACGCATGGAGGAGGTCGACTAAATCCGTTGTCCAGATTTCTAACACTTTAGCCTCACTTTTCAATTGTTCATCCTGTAAAACTGCAGTAACTGCAAAACAAATAGTCATTCATGTTGTGTGGTGGACCAGTGTTGCTCTTGTGTCCAGAGCATAACTCTGCAAGACCCCTTTTTAAGAAAAGCAGTTTTGGTTTTTGCGTTCATGGTGACAGCACATATGTTTTAAAGAGTACCTTGTTGCACTGAGTTTTAAAGTTGGAGCGGTCATTGGTGAACATGGGAATGGTACATTCCATTATAAGATCAGTTCTGGTGTCGGGTTTGTCGAAGGTTCTGCTCATGTGCAACACTGCACGCTGCATGGAGAGAGGACTGTAAGATTCCTTTGCCTGAGTCCAGGCTTGTCTGTATTCCAAGTCTTGTTTTGCAAAAAATTAAAGATGTAATACCTTACACACCCTGTCTTTGTCTTTCAATATAACAGATGTGAAATGTTTGTGTTCAGTCTGGTTCTCACCTGATTTCTCTGCTGTTCCTCGGGTTGACCACAAGGTGGGGAAAAAGCGCTGAAAATCAGGGGCAGCAGAACCGTCAGTGATCGCTCATTCCCCACAGACGATAAACTGCAGAGTCAGAAAAAAACAACGTTAGACACGTTTAGATGTTTAGGAAAACTACAAATATTTAGACCACACATATTTAAATGAATGTATTTTTCTGTTTTGATGATGGCTCAGGCCAGAAAATACTATATATAATAAATATGTCTCAAATTAGGATGTTAAATGTTAAGTTTGAGTGAATAATTCAAAGACAGTTAATCCTAAGTATGTATTCAAGTTTAGAAAACACTCAAGGGGGAAAGACCGGACAGCTGTGAGGCTCATCACTGACACCCTCTAAAGAAAGTCAAACAGAAGTTTTTTGCTGAAAAAGATGATTTCAGGACATGTTAAAATGACGGTCGAGAGAATCCGAACACCCTTTGTCATTATACAGAAGGTATGAGATTGGAGAGCGTCTCCGTTTTCAGTGCAATAGATACAAAACAAGAAAACAGACCGAATTAAAAGTACAAAAAGACGATATATAAGATAAAATCCTCTAGTGCAGTGAAGACAGTGCAATGGAAATGAAAACTATATACAAGAAAAGGAAGGAGTTATTCTTAAAAGTGAAGAAGGATGAGAAAAGCTGATTCAGGACCTGATAAGTTTCACAATGAGAGGACAGAGGCTGGAGTCTGTGTTCAGAGGGATCTTCTACAGAGAGGGCGCACTTTGATTTTTGAGGAAAAGAAACAGAAAATGTAGGATTCTTAATTTACACTGAACTTGTTTTAAAAGAGATGTCATGAACGTTTATTTGGTAACACTGACACAGAAACATTTCCACTGAAGAGGCAGAAACTCGAGCAGAACTGAGAATCAGAAAGACAGAAAAAGGAATCAATAGAGAGCTGCATGAAGCTGTTCATCTCACAGTTATCTAAATTATCATACTATATATTATACAAAATTATCATATTATCAGATGCAGTTCATTTACTAAACTCCTGACAGAACCACCGGAGAATACTCTGTGCAATAACCCACTGAACTGCAATATTATCTGTGATGTGAAATACAGAAATTCATGATCGATATGATAATTTTCATCCCTCATTTATCCACCGACTTATCCTCCATTTCATACATTCAACCTCAGCACCTACTGCATCGCTTGTGCACTTTGTAAATATTTCTTTTACACTTTTATTTGTCTTTAAGATTTTTTTTGTATCATTATTTTATTGTATTCCTTCAGTACTTCTTGTGTTTTTAATCTGTTCTCCTCTGAGTCGAGCGGTTTTATTGCACTACTGACCTTGTTTAACAGGAACATGACAAACAAATGTTGAATCTTGAATCTTTTAGTGGTTAAATCTGACACTGATGGTGTTAATTATTGTAATTCTTTACAGGTCCAGAGTTTTTTCTACAGGAATGTGTGAAATTATAGAAAAATACACATGGAGGAGGTAAAATGTCATAAAACAAGGTTTGAAAAATGTTTCTTTATCAAAATAAATCTGAACATTTGATTTAAATCCCTCTGCTTCACCTTAATGCTGGTTCACCATAATAAAACAGAAGTCTGTTTAAATCAGAGAGGTTTATTTCTGACGGATGTCTCTCACATGTTCACAGGAAACGTCGAAACGCTCTGACATTTAAAAATCACAGTTAAATTACGGTCAGCTCTCAGAGACGTGGAAACGAAGCCTGATGAGGACAGAATTACGGTCCAGAATCTGTTCTCAGCTCGGCCAAAGTTTCTCGAAAGACTGAGACATCTCTTTGAGGGAAATGTGTGTGTAGTTTTCCTGGAAGTTGTGCGTTTACTCAAACTTTGAGGGGGCGGCTCTGACAGCAGCAGCTTTTTCTGCTCTTATCGGTTACAGGGTGAACTGTGGGCGTCCGTCCTCCTCGACACAGAAACTCTCACACACTCAGGGGTTCACGGGGACTTCAGCTGTGTCATTCAGAAACACGCGGAGGACTCTGTCGGTTACTGTCTCAGACCCTTCACACCTGAACCCGCTGCGGCTTCTCACCACCGATCAAAATGAAAGTAAAAATGAAGCAGGTGAAGTTTTTGTGGAGGAGGAAGTGGAAAGTGTTGCTTCATAGTTTTAAAGTTTTGTTTGTCAAACTGAAAGCATCAAATTCTCAAATATAAAGTCAGTTCAAACCTTTTATATCATGATGTTGAATTATGATTTTTTGGACTTTGTATGTAAAGCAAAATTGTTCTTCCCTGAACTTTCTTATTCAAATATCTCACAGTAAAGTCTTTGGGTCTTCCAGTTATGTTTTTCATCATCAGGACTTGTGGTAAATCACCTGTTTTACATCATAGATGTCATCCTTACAGGAGGAGGCTCAAGATCTTTTAATATTGTGAAGAAATATATCTACCTGTGGTTAATTTCAAGAAGATAAACTCCCGTGTCTCCTGTATTTATTAGCTGTAAAGTCAAATCTCTTTTGAACGACATGTCACCGATACCCAGCAAAGACTCAAACTCTGTTCCGTCTGTCAAACCAAAACTACTCTTACTGTTTTTACACCAGCATCATTCAACCTTCTCTACTGCTCCCCCTGTTACTTCAACATGCTGTCCATCACTCACCAAGGTCACAGCTGATCCAAAATCACCAGCCTGCCCATCACAGACCTCTCACACCTCAACAATGTCTCCATCACACGCACGACCCGGACCATCAGCACAGACTGAGACCACCCTCTCCACGGTCACTTCTGCCGCAGGTTCAGGACTCTGAGGTGGAAGCGGGCGCGCTTCAGTAAGAACTTCGTCTCTTCTGCCATCGCTGCTCTGAACAGTCTGCAAAGATAATCCTGTGGATGCAACAATGAACTTCTGTGACTTCAATAGACAGTCTGCATACTGCTCCTAAAACTATTAATCTACTTAAAAATGTTTTATTTTATGAAACAAACTTTATTTTTTTTATTTGACTTTTTCACGTACAGTAAATCTGTATTTTGTCGTCATTATAATTTATCACGTTAAGGTCTGCTGTTAATTTTTTGTGTGATCTTCAGGTGGAAACATCCTCCTCACATCCTCTTCTGGTTCAGTCGGGGAAAGTTTCCTGGTTCACAGAGACTCAATAAGAGAATCTCCTGAGTTTAAAGGTGGTTTTGGTCTGACTTTAGTCTGACTAACTAAAGACTTCCTGTGGAAACATTTGAGGTTCATTGTGTAAATCTGCTTAAATCCACCCACACATGCTGGGTGCTTTAACCGGGGGCGGGCTTCCTGGGGTTTCTTCAGGATGATCTCTGACCTGTCATCTCTCTCTGTCAGAGCTGAAACTGTGTTCAAGTCTTACTGGGAGACTGTCTGCCCTACTTGCTGTAAAAAGAGTCCTTTGTTTACTCACTGAACGCTGGATTTGGACTCAGATTATTCTGGAACAAATTAGAAAAACTGTGAACATGTTTGTCTGCAAACATCTCCTGTTATTACATGTGACCTTTAGACTATTAGAGGACTACAACACCAACACTGAGAAATGAAGTTAGTCCATCAGTGACAGACCAAATCTGTAGACAGTGTCAGTGTCACAGAATATCCTGTAAGATCATGTAGGCAAGCCAGCAAAGTTTCCATGACATTTATAATACAAGCTAAGAGACAAAACAGAACTACTACTCATGAGGTGTTGCGCAAAACACATGCACACAGTCACTTTGTAAATACTACAAACAGGAACAGGATTGACACCCACACTCAGTTGGCAGGAAGCAAGCTGTGCAGATGAAGAAGCCCACGCGAAATCTTCAAAATACGAACATCGAGTCTGAAAATCGTCAGGCCTCGATAACCTTAACCTTTACGTACGGGAGCGAGACGGAGGAGAGAGAGACTCACACGGTCCGTCACATGGTTCAAAGGCTGAAAGGGGAACTTCTTTGACCTTTTCAAGAACTATTTAAAGAAAAGTTTAACAGCAAATATGTCTGTGCCATCGACGTGAGGACAAAACCACCAACAGTTCAGCTCAGACTGAATTAGCTCAAAGAAGAAGAAGAAGAATCGTTTTTTTTAAGGCAGCACCTTTAAAGACATTGGTGTTTTTTTAAATACTGTATATATGAAAGTTAAAAAAAAAGAAAACCAGAACCTAGAAGGACTCAGAGAGCAAAACTGTCAAACTGACTTAAGGGCCCGACTTGGGCTGCAGTCTCGACCCCGTGGAGGCAGTGGGTGACAGAAGGATGGTGGCAAAGCTGTCATCAATACTGGACAATGTCTCCCACCTTCTACATGAGTCTGTAAGAGCGTTAGAAAGCTCCTCCAGAGACCGGCTTCGTCACCAGCGATGAATCACAGAGAGGCATCACAGGTCCTTCCTCCCCGCTGCTACCAGACTCTATAACCAGGCCCTCTCCGAGCAGACCAACGACACCAACAACAAATAAAAGTGCAAAAACTACATCCCTAACCCTTTGTCAATCATGTGCAGTATCAATATCATCGTCACATCCATACTTCTTTATCTTATTTGTTTTTGTACCTGTTATAAATGCCTATGTTGTGTGTACCGCTGCTGTTAATGACTTAATTTCCCCACTGAGGGATGAATAAAGGAAAATCTAACTTAGAAATCCCAAATCAGAGACCCTGCAGTCCAAGAGAACAAACAGAAATGGAAACCCAAGCGACACATCAACACATCATATCATAAGAACCCGGACAGAGCCGAACAACATGAGACAACATGAACAAAGACCGAGAAGACCAAAGATGAAGAAAAGATTAAAACAATAAAACGAGATCAAACAACACATGCAGATGAGAGTGTTTAAGATGAGAGCAAAAAATAAGGTAATAAAATACAAACAAGACCCCAGAGTCAATTGGAAGTGAGTAAAAACCAAAGGTGAGCATGAATGTATGTTTATATGTCTGCATGTATGTGTGTGTTTATGTCTATAAAAACAGTAAACAGTTAATAAGAAAATCATCGTTCTATTTTTTCATTGTTAAGCTCTGAACAAACATTAACCTTTTAGTTTGTGAGAATCAAAAATAAATGGAATATTTTATTAAATATTAAAACTAACTAAAGTGAGACTTTTCCCCAACCTAACTGAAAACCATTTTTGCCACAGAGTCAACAGGTAAAGATGAAATACACCAGACTTCTTTCTACTGATAACACCTAATCGTCTCTCGTCACCTTTTAAAACTGAGAAATAATTACTGATTTTAAAAGCAAACTGAAAACCTTTTTAGTTTTGCTTTTAACTCAATTTTATATGATTAACTTTAAGTGTTTTAGCATTTATCTGTCTAGTTTTAATGACAGGATCATCTTTCATTGAGCTGTTTTGTTGCTCTTATTTTAGTATCTTTAACTTTTGTTTTTATTTCATTTTACTTATTTTTCTTTTCTTGTTTTCTTTTCTGTTTCTTTGTTTTTAAACATTAAACCTTTGGTGTTTCCTTATCTTGAGCTTTACAATGACAATTTCTCAGTGCGCACATTCCTGTTTCCATGAAATCAACCCCTTTTTAAGTTCATTTTAATTCTGTTTCTGTTCAGATGGAGGTGTGGGAACGAGGGGTTGGGTTTGGGTAGATTTGGTTTTTTTTTGTTTCTTTTATTCCTTTTCTGTGTAAAACACTTTGAGCTTCATAGTTGTGTATGAAAAGTAATATATAAATAAAGACTGATTGATTGATTGATACTGTTATTGTGTTTTGACTGATCATAATTAATTATTTGTGTGAACACTAATAAGACAGTTGGTGATAACAAAGGTTAATTTCTCTTATAAAAACAGTAGATTTATTAAGTTGGAGGTGTGTCAGTAATTTATTTCTACATTCTGGGTTTTCTTTATAAATTTTAGTCCTCATTTATGTTTTTACTTTAGTGGTGGGAGGATGGAGAGCTGCAGGAAAAGCCTCCTCAGGCCCCCACACTGATTTTCTTCCTCTCTGAGTCGATGCTCAGCCACCATGAAGTACGAAAATGAGTAAAGAGGTTGTTCCAGACATTTCCAAAGTGATACCAGGATAACTCAAACATACCTCACAGAAAAAGTCATCCTTTCAGTCCTGCAGTCAGAGCGAGAGCCCAGAGTGACTTGTTGAAGGGGGCTGAAACCAGAAGTCCTCCACCGGTCGTGTTTGTCGCTCCGCTCCTCCAGGCAAATGGGGTACTGGATGTCGTCAGGGAAATTCCCCCGATGAGCAGCTGTGAAATTAATCAATCGTGGGGGAAATATTTTTCAGCACTTTACAGTAAAACGCGATCTCTTTTTTGATGTTAAATGAATCACAGTATTGGCGCGGCGTAGAAATGCAGAAAGCAGACGCAAAAAAGGAGCAGAGAGAAAAGAGGATTTAAACGTGAATCTGATCCGTTATGGTTTGGACCAGGTCTCCTGTACTAAAGAAAACCTCTAAAAACTCTTGTTACACAGTTCCCATAAAGCTGTGATGTAAAGTGCATAAAATTACAGATATATATCATAGGAATTTATAATCAAGAGTAAATTTAGATTTTATCCTGTTGACCTGAAACAGCGTGAGAAATCAGACGGAGTTTTAGTTAAAAAAAGTAAAATTGTGTAAATAATGATGTTTTCTACAGTAAATAACCTAAACACACAAATGTTTGTACCTTTGAAATCTGTTTACATCTGCAGAGGGAACAGACGTCACCTTATAAAGGAGAATTCATCCTGTTTATGACTTTTAACTCATATTGAAAATCAGTCATTTTATGTTTTTTCTTTCCACCAAATCAGTGACACGACCTCTGAAATCAGCATCTAAAGGGTTGAAAAAACAAATATTTTTGATTTCTTCAATATTTTTGATCTGGACTGAGTTTGATGAAGAGATTTAGGCAAAAAAAACAATTTTTTTTGTATCCGATATGTTTTTACAGCAGCTGAAGTTAGTTGCTGTTAACAGCCAATAGAGGGCAAAGAGAGTAGAAAATTATTGCTGTGCAAAAAAAAAATAATGCATCAAAGTCAATGTTGTTACTAATGTTTGACATATACATGGGTGTAACAGCATGTAAAAATCTCCATCCACTTATCAGTTTTTATTACAAAAATCTGTATATATAAAAATTTTGTGTGATTTTTGCTCAAGTCAGTGACACCACCTCTGATATTAACATTTAAAGGGTTAAAATCCATAAATTAAAAAAAAAAAAAAAAGGTTTTGACAAGGACTGAGCTTAATGAAGAGATTTGAGCAAAAGAATCTTGAAAAAACTTTTATCTGATACTTTTTTAAAGCAGCCAAAGTCAGTGGCGAAAAACGGCCACATTTGACTGGGCCCCATTTGTAATGATCTGAAGTATTTATCTGCATTATATCTGAATTTAATCGGAACGATACGAGCGAGCAGGAGAGTCTGTTTGTGGGCGGGGCTTGAGGGGAGAGGAGGAGCTGAGGGGAAAACTGGTTGGAGGGGTAGAGTTTACATTCAAGATTCCTCCTAAAAACTGGAACTAACTCAGATCCTGACTACCCCACCTTTAAGGCCCAAACTAAGAAAAACAATCATTTATACGTGAGCAGACCAAACACTTGTAAAAAGGAGTACCATTGGATTAAACAGCTGCAGCAAAAACTTCACAAAGAACCATAAACCTCTCCACTTTTTAGTGTTCAGTTAATTTAATATTTTTTATTATTAATCCAGTTATCAGAGGAAATATTAGAATAACAAAAAGGAGGAGATTTCTGGAACATTGCATTTCCCTTGATTGCATTCAGTTCTGCACCCCCCACCCCCACCCTTCACATCCCAGTGACGGCTGTAAGCTTCATCGTCATCCATCCATTCAGTCTTCCTGCAAACATTCAAATGTAACAGTGAAACACACAAAGCAGTCCTTTTATAAAAGTACACAACAGACGACAAGTTAGTTGAAAATAATAAAACAATGACTTAGAGAGAGAGAGAGAGAGATATTTACAAGACTGTTTCAGCCCCGTTTTCAAACAGTTAAAGACTTAAAATAACCTGCTGCAAAAAAAAGAACAAACAGCAGCATCTGCTTCAGTAACACGAGGCCAAAATTATCATACCGTTATCAAGTAGTGTGTTCAGAGATAAGGTAAACCTTTATTTATCCCACCGAGGGGAAGTTTGTTCTCTCGTACACAAACGTGTTTCCCCGTCTACACAGCCTGTCAGAAACGTTCGCCTTAGAGCGTGTTGGTAAACTCTAAATTAAAAAAGTGTGCGCCATGTGGTTCAGGCTGTTTACACAGTTTTACATGATATAACCTCACATTAAGACACGTAAAGGCCCCTGCGCTCCAACATGGAGGACTGTGAGATAAGCGTCTGGTAATCACGACTGAGCGGCTCCACGATGGATGAAAGAGTGTCGTCTCTTCAGACGGAGTCAGTCACATACTTTGGGTAGAGTTATGAACGAGAAAGGTCATAAATAAAAATGGTTTCATTAAACGCACAGACAGACACAGAACAGTACCCTTCGACTGGCCGAACGAGAAGCCACATACGGTGGTGAAGGAAAGAAAGTGTTTTTAATGGTTAAAGGGATATTCCGGCGTAAAATTAACACAGAGTTAGACCCCGCCTCCAGAGATGAATGTTGCCGACCGCTTGCTTCTCTAGTTATACCAACTTTAGTAACGACCGCAGGATAGTAATACAGAGAGCCACGCCCCCAACCAAAACGCCACTCTATAGCCACAAATAATGCTAAGAACAGCACCCTTATGGACTACATTGGGGTGCCGCAGCTCAAGGAAGAACATTTATGATCATTTCTTTATCATTTCCTTGAAGTAATAAACATAAATGTTCTTCCTTGAGCTGCGGCACCCCGCTGTAGTCCCTAATGGACTGGCCTGAGGTCTCACTACAAACAAGCGGCTGCTGGAAGAGAGTAGGTGAGTTGTGTTTAGTCTCTTTGCTAAAGAAATGAGTCAAAGTTAAAAAGATGTTTGGTGTCTAGTACTATGTCTGTGACCCTATATGTCCTGTTGATGAAGTTAGGTGCTGTTCTGAGCATTATTTGTGGCTATAGAGTGGCGTTTTGGTTGAGCGCGTGTCTCTCTGTATTACTATCCTGCAGTCGTTACTAAAGTTGGTATAACTAGAGAAGCAAGCGGTCGACAACATTCATCTCTGGAGGGGCGGGGTCTAACTCGGTGTTTGACCCTAAATTAATTTAACACCAGAATATCCCTTTAATGCTCTGAAGGAGGTGAAGAGTGAGTCTGCTTTACACTGACTGAAGGTAAGGGGTCGGTGTATTAAAACAATCTTTCAGGCACTCAAAGCTTTTATAACTGCTGACCTGACGAGTCACATGGACCCCTTAGGGGTTTCTTTAGTGAGAGTCAAAACTGCAGAATCCCTTTTTCTAAACCTTTACGAATAAAAACAAACGAAAGGAAAGAACAGTTAAAAAAAAACAGATGGACACAAACACACAGAGAAGCACCACAGAAAACGTGGCCTCAGGTCCCAGTTTGATGCAGCCTCACGGCGCTACACCCTCTGACCCATCGACTGTGCGGGCCGTCGGCCCGCCTTCATACGACTGCGTGCGTACACCCGCAGGAAAAGTGCCAGGAACACCACGGCGACACCGAATCCACCCACCAGGGTGACGGCGTGACCGTAAAGGAAACACGAGAGGAGGATGGCGATGGCCTGCCGCAGGGTCATGATGATGGTGAAGACTGCAGCTCCAAACTGGTTGATGGTGAAAAAGATGAAGAGCTGGCCGCATGCAGAGCACACAGACAGCAACACGGCGTGGAAGGCAAACTCAGAGTGGCGGGTCATGAAGGACAGCGAGTCAAAGAAGGCGCCCTGCTCCAGCAGCGAGCCGACTGTGAAGAGGCAGGAGAAGAGGTTGACCCCGAACATCATCTGCACCGACGACATCTTGTACTTGAACAGGTTGTCCTGCCAGTTGGAGGTGAAGCTGTCGAAGACGATGTAGCCAACGAGGATGATGATCCCGCTGAAGGTGGTGACCGTGGACGGGTGTTTGCTGGGCGTGCTGGACAGCAGGAACATGCTGACGCCCACAGAGATCAGCACGGCGGTGAAGTACTCCCAGTACTCGTAGCTCTTGTGGGAGACGATCTTCCCCATGAGCATGACGGGGATGACTTTGGAGGCCTTGGCCAGGACCTGAGTGGGGAAGCTGATGTACTTGAGCGCCTCGTACTGACACCAGCTGCTCAGGATGTTGGAGAACGACGCAAAAGAGTATTTGTACATGGGCGCTCCGTGGCTGGGCTGCTTGAACATGATGCACCACAGACCCGACACGGTCAGAGCCAGGATACGGTTCATGAAGACCAGGAACTGAGAGTCCTTAAATTTCTCCCCCTCCTCTTCTGGAGTCTGGGCTCCGTATGAACGAGTCATTACCCGCTCCTGGAGGACCCCCCATGTCAGGTATGAAGCCTGAGGGACGAGAGAAACGACGTGAGATTTCAGCCGTCAGAGTTCATTTCTGTTTGAGCGTCAGAGAGAAACCGTCTCTCATCTTAATCATGACTCCTACTCTCAGTGCTACCTGAACTGATCAATAAAACACATATCTCTGAGGTCTTCACCTCGTCTTGATTTTGATCGGTTGGAGATAATGGAGTGATTTCATGGAGTAATCCAAAATTTTAGCTTTTTCCAACTGAGAGAATAAAACTGAACGACTCTGCTGAAACAGGCCATTTCAAGGGCCTGTGTCCACTAACAGCATTAAAGGGATATTCCGGCGTAAATTTAATTTAGGGTCAAACACACCAAGTGGTCGTCAACATTCATCTCTGGAGGGGGGGGGTCTAACTCGGTGTTACGGTGTGTTTGACCCTAAATTAATTTTACAACGGAATATCCCTTTAACATTTAACCTTAAATGGCTGCAGTGAAGTTACTCCTCATTAAATTCTACCCTGTGTGTTTGTAACTTAAAGCAAATATTTAAATATAACAGAGAGATATTCATTTAATTTGTGTTCTTAAGTTTCCAGACAGCATTTGTGTGAGAAAACCAGAACCGCCCTGAATATAAACATCAGGTTTAATATCGATGTTGAACCAGACTGAGGACAATGTGACTAGGTAAACACGAGACGGCTCACACTAAAGCTGCACAATCATTAAACGGTGTTGTTGAGGTAAGACTCGTAGCTTTATGTGTTTTTATGTTTCATCGACTGTGTTTGCCTGGAGGAGCCCCACCTGAAGTCCGGCAGCACAGAAGATTAACTTCATGACTTGTCTGACTGATGAGCCTGAGTTTCCCTCGTTTCTGGGTGCAACTGACACATCATCCAGCAGACCTGATTTGGCCTCACTCCCAAACACACAGGACTTGATGACAGGGAAGCAAATCCCGCTTCCTGAAAGACAAAAGGTCAATGAAGTGATAAATGACACATTAGAGGACAAATATTATTCCAAATTTGGTTACAGTATCTTATAATCACAAACCTGTGTCGAGATAATTGGTGCGTTTGAAGTAACTAATAAGGAGGTAGCCGGGGATGATGATGGTCGAGTATCCCAGCATGTTGACGAGGAAACGAAAGACCCAGACATCGCGCCAGCCTTCGAGTAGGGATGACTCGTCAGCCGCCACAGTGGATGGAAAGAAAAGCAAGACGAGTGCAAGCCAGACCCTGTGAACAGAAATTCAAAGATCACGCTCAAATGTACCGTCAGATTTATGTGTCTGCCATCGTGTCAAAGTTCAACGCCATATTGTCACGTTGTATATGCCGAAAGTATTCATGCTATAAGTTAAAGGTGTGGTAGGCAGGATTCTGTTAAAGAAGTATCTTTTTTGTGGTGTATATAGAATAATCTTCTAATATCAGTCAATAGTTGTAAACAAAGCCGATCTACACCTCCTCGACCTGATTGGTTGTGAGGCGGACGCTGCTCCCTCGTGGTGTGACTCGGACAGAATAACGGGCGCTTAAAACGGAGGTAGACCGGACAAGAGCTAAAAAGCCGGGTCAACATAAACGATGGGGGACGCTTGGGGATCTTGGTGACCCTGTAACCTTTCTGCTGGACAGGTAAACCACTTTAACAAAGTAAGACAAGTGTCTGTAACAGAAGTGTTTCTTGTCAAACGGACCTGCTGTAGCGTGTTGTAGCGCCATCGCTAAACTGTCCTCCCTCGGGTCCTGGACTATGTCACTTTATCCTCGTTGTAGAAGTCCTGCAAACATTGTGTTTGCTGGTAGTCTGTTGGCATCTACAGTAGCACCAATGCTTTTGACTTTCACCTTGACTGGGCCCCATTTGTAATGATCTGAAGTATTTATCTGCATTATATCTGAATTTAACTGGAACGATACGAGCGAGCAGGAGCGTCTGTTTGTGGGCGGGGCTTGAGGGGAGAGGAGGAGCTGAGGGGAGAACTGGTTGGGAGGGGTAGAGTTTACATTCAAGATTTCTCCTAAAAACTGGAACTAACTCAGATCCTGACTACACCTCCTTTAAGTCAGATAAAAGAGTTTGCTTTGGGAAACAGGACAAGCCTCGGCCTAAATAATCCTGATACTCCTGAATCACAGAGGTTATTTTCACAGGACACCAGTGGACTGCATGACTGTTTTCACTCTGGGTGTATTCACAATATTGGAAACATCATTCAGAGAGAAACCCGAGAACCACATCACCGCCCACCCTCCTGAACAACATGTGACTAAAGCAAACTTGCGGTGAAACCCAAGCCTCCATTACAGGTGTGACCCTTGCTGTCGTGGCACAGTTTGGATCCCTTTCCCAGGGGGCCTGACTCACATAGAGCCTCTTTGTGTGGGACTCTACCGTGGCCATGGTCAGCCGCTGTAGACCTGGGTTTTGAACAGAGTAATACATGCAGGAATGCAGACAACCCACACTGTGCTACTGAGAGAAATAACAGCATCAGTGTACCTGAGGAGAGAGTCAACGCCTGTATGAGCCTCAATATGGACCAGAACTCCCTGGTTCTGCAGGAAGATTAGAGGCCCGGTTCATCACAGAAACTGTGTGACTGTTACTTTCAGATACCAGACAGACGATCTTCATCAATGAAGCTGATGTATAGGGCTGGGCGATAAAACGATAACGATATATATTGGAAATTAATTCCCCTCAATGTCGATATAAAACATGATCAATATGCTTTTTGATAGTCAGCATTCTGTCATGTTTTGGTCGACTATACGAATAGCCAATGAAAAGGGGAGTTGCTCCGAGTTTGCGCCGCGCTGAACCAATCATGAGCTGAATTATCCTGCTTTCAAGTCACCACGGAAGTCCGAGCTGAGAATGACGTCACACCAGCGTTTGTCGGAAAAAAGCAAAATCACAGGTGGAAACAAGATGGCAACATCTACGAAAGTTATTTTAGCGCTTGGCTTATATTTGGACCAGGCAAGTGCTAAAATAACTCTAGTAGATGTAGTCATCTTGTTTCTGCCTTCGGTTTTGCTTTTTCCGACTTCGTAACTGAAACTTCAGACTTCTGAGGTAACTCGAACGTAGCATTAGAACCAAGTATCAACCAACTGTGTCGTAGCAGACAGCAGCTCCACCCAACCATAGCACTTTAACAGGTGAAGCCGACAGCACTGTTGGTGAGAAACAAAGAAAATGAGTGCTACCCCCGACAGAAATGACCATGAAGGCTCAACAGATGACCACATCGACAACAACAACGTCGGTGGTGTGGAGGTATTTTGGTTTTTTTGAGGTCGGACATGAAGCAGAGTAATGTGGACTGTAAATTATGTCGAGTACATGTTCTCACAAAGTCGGGGAATATCTAATCATTCAGTCTGTTTTCTGTAGCGCAACGCCTTACGACAAACATCGATGAGACACAAATGCTGCTTTCCAGTTACCTATGAAGTTGGATGTCGGAGCTGGGAATGATGTTACACCCAAGTTGACGGCGTTCAAGTTAACAAGGCGGAAAACCAAGATGGACGACTATAGTTACCCGTTGTCAGCTGTTGTTATAAATTGTTAGTTGTTGTTAGCTATACCAGTTGTAGACAAACCCATGACACAATTTTTTACTTTTACAAACACCATAGCACTGCGTTCACAGTTCGACATTGGGCAGTAAAACATATACCACTTATTTAATTTCACAAAAACAAAACAGAAGTGCTAATAAATAAAACATTACGAGATCTTTCACTGTAACTCTTTACTGTTGATGCACTGTGCTGCCATCTTGAATTATGATGTTGTCGTCAATTCGAGGTTGGTGAGGATCGTCGGACTTTCCGAATCAGATATCTTACTTCAGGGGGGCGTTCCAGATGAATTACCGACTCTGAGCTCGGAAATTCCGACTTCCAAGAACAACTGGAATGCAGCAAACGACCTCACAGATGCAGTAAAAGACAAGCGACCAATAATCCCTGTTAGATTTCATTTATCTATCAATATCGACTGATATGAAAAACTATATTGTGATAAACTTTTCCCCATATCGCCCAGCCCTAACTCTTGATTTTATGGACGTTAACTCTCTCCAGCTGAGGACTGAACTCTCGCGGTATTTCAGATTAGGGTCTCTCTTTAGTTTAGGGATTTTGGCATTTCTTAGAACCCCGTCTTGACACAGTAATTTATCACTAAAAACAGTTTTACGGAATTACAAAGCTGTGATTTGATTGGTGATCAATAATGTCGTGTTTCTGTTAATGTTACTTTAACTGTTTGACTAAAAAAAACACAAAGTAACTATAACTAATACCGGTCAGCTCTGAAGTAGAAACTAGAACAGCTAAAAGACACTCGTTTATACCTGTAAGTCATGAATCAGCTCAGATATATTTAATTATCATCTCTTTAAACCTTACCTCCATGAAAAAGATGACATTTTCTCTCTCCGTGGCCCCCACACCTGGCGCAGATCACCGCCGACACAATCAAACGTCGTCGCTGTCCGCGGACATAAGGAGCGGGGATCCGGCAGGCTGAGGTGTTTTATTAAAACAGGGAGTGTCTCTTTTTTCTAACAGCCGCCTTTAGCTTCGATATGTCCAACTTATCCTCAATGGCCGATGTGTTCACTTCAGCAGGAAAGGAAAGGCCCCCTCCTCTGGAGACACAACAGCGCCCAGCCGGCGACGCTGCCCCTATCGGTGTGGAGAAGTAACTGCAGGGCGAATACATACAGTCGAAACCAGACGTTTACATACACTATAAAAAAAAAGGGCCAAAACCTTTTTTTTCTCACCATCTAACATGAAATCAGATTAAACATTTCCTGTTTCTAGTCAATTAGAATTACTAAAATTATTTTTATTTACTAAATGTCAGAATAATGAGAGAGAGAATTTTTTTAGACAATTTTTTATTGTTTTTTCGAGAGTCAAAAGTTTACATACATTTCATTACGTTTCAACTGTACCTGCAATGGGTTCTATTAGGCGGGTGCATTTATGAAAAAAAAAAAAAACACCTGACCCTACAAAAATTCAATCAAGAGGTTTCTCAGCTGTTTTTTATAGTATTAGATGTCCTTAATAACAAACTAAAGTTTACCAAAGTTTGACAGCAAGAAAGGCGTCATTTTAAAGATGGCGTCCATGATGGGGAGACACTCCAGCTAAACAGGGTAAAATTTTTAACTAACAGATATCTCCATGAAACTTCCCAGGTTTATAATTTACATTAAGACAAATATTATTTATATTACAAGTTTAGTCAAATTTTATGTTTGAATATGTAAATGAGGTAATATCTAATTAAATATGCACTAATTTGCATACATGTACAGAAAACTGAACAATGGATAAAGACCCTTTTAAAATTCTAGTTTTATTTTGTTATACTAGAGTCAGAAGGAGGGAGGAAGGGACTTTGGATATCTCTTTTTATCACTCTGTAAATGAGAAAATACTCTCACCACCCCTTAATATTAAAATGCCGCCATTTTTGGGTCGGGACCCACCAGTTGAGAACCACTGGTCTAGTCATCACAGTTTGGTCCTTTCCCTGCACATCAGAAATATAAAGAAATGATGAATAAAGAAATTAAATCAAACTAATTTAGATAAATGATTGCAAACATGGCCACTCCTGGTTCTTACAGATCTGTATGACACTCCTGTTAAGAAGAACAAAAGAGCGTTTTCAGGTTTCCTATTTAGAGGATTTTATCTGAAAGACCTAAACTAATAACCTCACCTGTTTTATTTAGAGGAAGAGACCCTCTGTGGAGTTCTTCTTCATCTGTGAATCTGTCATATCTGACTGTTTTTAATGTGACCTGAGGAAACACCAACATGACCTGAACTGTAAGGAGCAAATAGAACTTTCTGTGAAGTTTCATAACTCTTTCCTGGTTATTGACCAACCCGTTTTTTTAGTTCTGGAGCTTCTAAAATACATAATCATGTGATGTGAGGACATGTCTCTTGTTGTTATGTGCTCATTAAAGAGAAACAGCTGAGTGGAATTTCCAGCCGTTTCACAGTTATTGTTTTATTGTCAGGAAGAAGACACTTTCAGGAAACAAAAGATAAACAAAAGCAGCTGACAGGAAACAAGGAAAGGAGCTCACATTTCATCTAATGGGTGTGTAATTAACCCTGTTATTAAAGTTCACTGTAATGTGATTTTAACCCTCATACAAATCTCATTACTGTGTGTGTGTGGGTGTGTAAAAGGATTTGGGCTCTGACACTCAAAAAAAGACATAAACACACAATATGCAGTGAGCTTTTTCTTCATTTTATTACAAAATAAACTGTTTATATTACTACAAAGGGCAGTGTAATCTCACACCAGAGCACAGTCAGATATTCCCGCAGATTAAGATTAAGATAAATAGGGAAACAAAAATCATGACTGTAAGGAGCCAAAATAATCAGAAAGATGAAGGCTAATTCCTGAATTATATATCACATTTCTGTCTCAGAAACTGGTTTAGACAATAATTAGATCATTTTGAAAGACTGCAGGTCCCTTCAGGACATGGTTTATTATGTTGTGAATGGATCTTTGATTTCCTGCTGCTATTTCTGGACTCTAAGGAAAGTCTTTTTGTGGCTTCAAAGAAACGCCACATTTCCAGGAGATATGAACGAGTTACAAAACAAATGCAATAATTTCCTGAAGTTTGAGATACCATGAAACATTGAATGCTCCATTTTTAGCCATGAAAACAAGGTTCTTGTAATAAAGAGGTAGAATTTTCGATGGATCTTTAACAAGTTTGAAAGTTTGGCACTCATACAGAGGTGGATTTTCAGCAACCCTCCCCCCGAGCCGTGAGCAAGAGAAGCAAAAAAAGAGAAAAAAAGACTCAAAACCAAAGTATTTTCTTACAGTGTTAAATTAAGCTAAAATCCTCTGTCTGCCAGAGAGAAGTAAGATTTATATGGTGCATATATTTGTTTAGATAATGGATAAAACCGATCAAATCAGAATCTACTACAAATAGAGGCACTATTTCAACTTCAGCCCAGATAACGCTTTTGTTTTCCTGATCAGAAGTTCCAGGTGCTGAGAGGCAAAAATCGTTTTCTGATACTCAGCTCAAAATTTCACACCGACCACCGACCGCCCCGAGATCTGGATGTCATCGAAAGGAAAGAGAGCCAGGATCTAGAAGGACAAAGACACAGATTTTATCACATCCAAAATCAGGAGAGGGTAGAGAAGTAAACCTGAAACATCGGTGCTCAGTATAAGAGATCTATCAGTACAGCTCGTGTTGCTTTAAGGGGGAATTATCAATAAATACTCATATAAATTGATCTAATTTTGCGTCTTTAGCACCAGCAGAGACTACAAACCCGCACTGACAGAAATATGCTGTTCTGGAAGAATGACAGGTTTTACAGCACTGAGACCGAGAACACCAACAACTGCAGGCGGTTTGAGGAGCGAAAAAACAGACTTACAAAACAGGGAAAGTTTAAAATTTCTCTGAAAGGAAAGAGCTGCTGTTTTTCTCTTTGTCAGTAATTCTCATTAGTGAACCAATACTGACGATTTCAAAGTCTAAAACTCTAAATCAACCCTGGGTTCAATATTGTTAAATAAAGACGATGTTTACTGGAGACTTTTCCAGCTTCATATGGAAGTTTTTTTGGGAGGGAAGATAAAAATGATACCAAAACCCTGAGAATCGACGGGACAGAAGACTGATCAACAAGTCGTGTGTTTTGTCGGATGTTTTGTTCCGTTTATGAACCTGTAACTGACTTTCACATGAACTTACATCATCGTTGCCGTCAGCCAGATCCAGCGCCGTCTCGTCCTCCATGTTCCTCAGCATCGTGTCGGCCCCGGACTGGCAGAGAAGGTGAGCGATGGCGGCGTCCTGCCTCCCCACGGCGAGATGCAGGGCCGTGCAGCCGTTAAACATGGCTGCGTCCACGTTGGCTCCTTTACTGAGGAGGTGCTTCACGGACGTGATGTCGTGCAGTTCGACGGCGAGATGAAGAGCTGTTTTTCCGCTAGTTCCTTCCTGTTTGGAGCGTGGAGGAACAACAGTGATCAGTTTTATTTAAATATATATATTTTCTGTTAATTTTGAAACATCCAAGCTTATAAACTCAGATTGATAAGAAGGATGTGAGGCAGAGCTGTATGTGCGGCTGCTGATTTAAACGGAGAGGAATGTCTGGGCCGGTTTGGGGACTCACCGCCATGTTCTTTTCCATCATTAGAAAGTTAAGAGCGGCGAGCTCGGCCTAATCATATCTCATATCTAATTATGTCAACACGCAGGAAGCCTCAAGCTCGGCTCATATCACTATCAGCTCAGCACAGGTGCAGCAGATTTATAGTCAGGAACACAACGTAAAGCCAGGAGCTGTAAACTGAGTCTGAAGGGGCGCAGTGTGATCGCAAACACAAGAACTCAGCAGGATTAAAACGAAGGAAACAACGACAGGCAAACCAACTCAGAGAAGAGTTTTCATATCCTCTCTCTTCTAAAACACAACCAGGGAGGATGTTTGATGCACAAATTATATCTTTTTGGGCTGCAGGTAGAAATCTGCGACATCTCTAAATTACAAAATGCCAAAAAAGAGAGAGATCTAAAGCAAACTCCTCCTCTATCTAACAACCACTGTGATGCAGAATGAAGGAGAACCCACCTGTATGTTCAGGTCTGCTCCCTTCTTCATTAGGAGACACATGATTTGATGCTGCCTGTTCAGAGCAGCCAGGTGAAGACAGGTAAGACCTGCAACGACACGTGTTGTTTAAAATCTTCGGATCATTTTCAGGCAGTTCAGGATAAAAACTGGATTTACAAAAAGGACACATATGAGGAACAGATGGGGGTGAAAAACCTTCCACATCTGCTCTCACTTTACAGATGTGTCTGTTCTTGAATAAAACTGAGGAGCCAGAAGACTGGAGCTTAATTTAGACATGATGCAGACAAAGTCATGTGTCTCCAAAAAGAAAAGCGTTATTGGCTGAAGAGGCGCAGCAGCTGTTAGCCCTTCATCCTCACCCCTCCAGTTCTGGGTCTCGAGGACCGGTGCCAGCTTGCTCAGGGAAACCTCGCTGGTCATCTCGGTGGCGCACTCTGTCTGCCCATGCTGGCAGGCCATATGGAGCGCCGTGTTCCCGTCCTGGTCCTGCAGCTCCAGACTCGCTCCTTTTTTCAAAAGACCCTTCACCACTTCGGTCAGGTTCAGGTACGTGGCCAGGTGCAGGGGGCTCTGAGGAACACCAGAGGAAACAGTTTGAATTTACTCATAATAAAGGATACCTAACGGTAGTTTGTTGGTTAAAATTTGATCATGAGATTAGGACATAAAATCTGTGATGTTCTAAAAACAATAACAAACAAAACCTTCCTGAAACTTTTCTACCTTTTCATCCGACCTTCACCCGTACTCAACAAGACAAAATAACCATCTTCAGTAACCTTCCTGTTGAACTTCTTGTCACTTTTAGAGGACTGAAACTGTGGAATAATCTGGATGGATCTCCAAAATCAATATCATCCCTTAAATCCTTTAAAATCTCATTAAAATCTCATCTGATCACGTCTTAAACACGTCATTATCTGTTATGATCATGTTTCTTTCCTTTTCATGAATTCTTATATTGTCTCTATCACTGTTTGATGATTAGTCTGTGTTCTATTTATGAAAATAAGTACATGTTTGACCTTTCCCCACTTATTGTATGTTTATAACCTGTCTATGTCTTAATTACGTTGTGGTTTGCACCGTTCGCCTTCTCTGCCCTGATGGGAGCTGAACTCTGTATAACCCTATCAGCTCTGTTCCCTCCTTGCACACTTTTTAATCTGTGCTAAATAAATAAAAACAATATAAATCAGCTTTAGCCTCTTCAAATATAATAAACTGCTGCAGATGAAATAAGACACAGCTCCTGTTTCGGAGACTTCAGCTTGTGGCTGCACACATGATTCAATGAGTGAAGTACCCAAAACGAGACTTGTGGTTGCATGGCACTGTGGTCAGCTGAGGTAACTGTAGGTGCAGAGTGTGACGCCTCTGCTTTTTATACACGATGGCACTAATTCCACACTTTCATTTGTCATCAGAAACAGAGTCTCTGCAGAGTTGCTTGTGCAGAGACGACCTTTCTTGAGTGATTTATCCGTGTTTAAGGTCTCACAATAATCAGGCTGACAGAGCAGACTGAGGGCTGAGTGAGTCACGCTGAGAAGTGCTGAAACTTCACTGTTCCTTTTTGACAGATGTGTCCGTTCTCTCTCTGTTCGCCGCACTAACAAGACTCTGCTCTGAAAATTCTTGGAGCGCTGGAACGCCGCCTCCACCAACATCCACACAAGGATACGCTCCTCACAGCTCCCTGTGGTTCTATTTCTACAGGAGGTAGAGGAGGGGAGTTTCCATTCGAGGTCCCTTATGAGCTAACACTTGAACCACCCACAGTGACGTCCCAGAGAGAGAGGACGGACTGCAAATAAAGAGGAACAACAGTTCTCTGGAAGTACAGAGATAAAAATAATACAACAGTTTCCACAACTGAGCGACAAATGAAGAGGAAGTCACTCTGGATTGAAAAATTCCTGTCCGCGTGAGCGAGGAGCGAGCTGGAGTGTGTTTGTACTCACCTGGTATAAATTGTTTTGGATGTCGAGGACGTCTTTTGGAAAAATCTCTATCAACTCTTGAGCAATGGCTTCTTCTTCATGGATGATTGCTAAGTGCAGGATTCTACAGGAGCGGCAAAGAGAAAGAATAAGAATTATTTTGTTATTGCTTGCAAAAACTTGCAGGCATGTTATTGAGCAATCATCACAACAAAACGCAATTAAACAAGCGACAGAAAGTGTTGCATCACAATTTCCTCAGTATTCATCTCAAGAGTAAAGTAACACCCAGTGGGCTAAATGGCAAGATTTCATAGTTTAGTTATTGAGCAACTTGACATTTCCTGAGACGCTAAAGGAAAACTAAAGAAACCTTGACGTAGGTTTACCTCGTAGACTTCAGATCTAACAGCCAACAAACAAAAACAGACCAACCCTGAAACCTGAGCGAGGAGACGGAGCAAACAAACGTGAAAGCAGCACAGACAGAGCCTCGACTGGAAGAGGATTAGAAGAATTTTTCCTAAAGTTTTGGAGACATTCTGTGTTTTGTAAAACGTTTGTCTCTGTGGTTTCTGCGCGCTCTTATCCTTTCAGAGTAAAAGGTCATTTAACTATTCAGAGACAGACAGAGTGGGATCAAAAGTTCCCACAAAATCTCCCTGCAGACATTTCATTCAGCTTTGTGCTTTCAGTGAGTCAATGACAAGTCTCAGTCTGGTTCAGCGTTATATACGTGACTTTTATCTGCGCTCATGTCCTCGTCCATTCGTCTGCAGAAGGTTTCAGCGCTGATTAAACCTGTGATTGTGTCAATAAAGTCAGTGGATAAATTGTGCAAATTCTTTGGTAATGTGATGCAATCAAAACATGTTTCAAGAGTTAATAAAACCATCAGGATGATTCAACACTTTTCTTTCAAACATTACATAAACACACAAAAACAACATCACCCCTAAATTTAATCTAACTGCTATGACAACATGAGGAAGTGGGCACACACAGCAGCATCGATGCATTAAATAACATCATTTTTTCTGCAGCTTGTGTCATAAATATTTTTACTGTCACTATAAAAAAATAACAGATGTCAGACCGATATAGCCGATGCAGAAGTGCAGAAAACCACAGGAGGTCCTCTAAAGGCAGTCTTTAAAAGCCGAGGAAGTCCTGTTCACACTCATGTTAAAGTCTGTTTTTCTGCAGAGTTACTAACCAGTAAAAAAAAAAAAACAGTTTTGGTTTCAGTCATTTTTCCATGGGACTGAATTTGTTGGTTTTAAGTTACACGAAAAGAGATGTGGCTGAGCTGACAGGTGGACGTTTTGAAGCGGTTTATGAGGTTACAGACGGCCATCGCTGCACCTCTTTGCAAGTTTATAAATTAACTGAAAGTTAGTCGGAGTGAACAGTTCAGATCAGGACGCCACCGCCGCCATCAACGAGCCTCTCCAGAAACCATGAGCCACGTCACTGAGACTGAGACTTGGTCCCTGGGGGAGGGGGTTTTTGGGGGTTACTATCCATGCATGACCTGAGGAGCTGCCCAGGATAATACCATCAAATTACACTCAATTGATAAATCAGATTTTGTCACGTCTGCCCTTCAACTCTTGAATTTTATGAATGAAATGTCCTCTGCTCGCCATTTCCTGCGAGCTTGGAGAGTGTGGTTTTCATCTGTCTGACAACACCTGTGGTGATAAACTCCAACGTCAGGTCTGCAGAAGGACCTTACAAATACATAAGATGTGAGCGGTTTTAACCTTTTTATAAGAACTGAACATTTGATTACAGTAAATGTAAAGGACCCGCTCAGAAAACTGAGAATCAGTTTCATTATCATTTTTAACTCAAGTTTCTTCATTCTTTAAATTCTCTTTTTGTATTTAAATAGATAGAGAGATATATAGATAGATACTTTATTGATCTCAGGGGGAATTAATAAATAAATAAATGAATAAATTCTGCTGTAATTTGGAATTTGTGGGACTAATAAAGAAATATCTGATCTTATATTTCTTGCTCTGTGTTGGAAGAATAGTCAGTTACATAATCTCAATCAAACTGAATAAGTACAATAAAAATTCTATTGGTCTAAAATCAATCAAATCAATCAATCAAATTTTATTTATATAGCACTTTACAATATCCCAAATGGTACCCAAAGTGCTTTACATAAAAGCAATAAATCTAAAATCAAACTAAAAAAAAAAGGGAGATTTGCATTTAACAGTTATCCCATCATTATTGAGTTTCACACAAATGTGTTTCATAAAGGGGGGAATAGAAATAGGTTTGAGCCTCACCAATAATGTCTTTACTGACTTTTTTAAGCGCCTGCATATCAATTGATCTGCCCTAGCAACTAGTCACCCTTTGAGGAAACACTTGACTGTGAAAGGGACTTCCTGGTTCAGGTTAGACTTGAATGAATAAGAACTTAAAAAAACCCACAGGGGGAAAAAAAAAACGAGTTTATGCATGATTCTCTCTCATATTTCAGGTGTTTTTTCTTCCTCACAGGTATCTATAGTTAGGGTGTGAGAACGAAACCGTGTGGCTTCAACAAACCAGCAGGCAGAAATGAAAAGAGGTCAGAGACACAGCAACACCTCTTAGACATCAATCGCAGGATCGCAGTCGTAGTCATTATACGTCCTTATTTCACATCAAAACAGTTGTGATGACGGAGCACGGCTCGATGAGTGGGCCCTGAAAAGGTCTGCATGGGCTGATGATGATTTCTGTGTGGAGGATGTGCTGTTTAGATTGTGTGCAAAAGCAGCAGTTTCATTTAGTCAGACTAGGAGCTGATTAGCAGCAAGAAAATTGGCATTTCTGATGCAAATGTCTCTTTGGAAAGAACTGCAACGCATGAATGAGAGTGATCCACCGACATAATCATGCACCAACTCACTGACAGTCCCTTCCTGATCAACAAGTTTGTGTGGATCAAAAGGCATCCACAGTACTGCCTCACAGCATGTGCTTTGTCTGTGCTGCATGGGGAAGTCCAGGCCTATCTGTTTCACTTCTGTTTTCTGACTGGGAGAACGCACAGGAGTGAGTGTGCATTCATGGCGAGGACAAAGTTCATTTTTAAAAAAAGGGCTGCAGTATCACAGCGCGATGAAATCCCCTTCAAAACCAGAACCATGGGAAAACTGGGCCTCAAAATACAGAGTGATTTAAAGACTCCATACACCGCCTTTTATGGGTGTTTAACATCTACCATGGAGTTTAAATCATAATCTGAAGTTCCTTGCAAGCCTGTTAGAGTATAGAAATTACATTAATCGATTATTTGTGGAATGAACAAGTGACTGCTGTGATTTTTATTATTTTTAAAGCGTAAAGAGACAAGTTTCCTCCAGCCTGAGCTTCCAAAAACAGGTTTCAGTGGGTTTTTCTTGGGATTTCAGCTTTCTGGATGAATTGGAGGACATTTGAAAGAGTTGGCATGGACTTTGGCTGTTTTTTGAATATTGTCTTGCTTTTTATAAATAGCTCATGCATCTTTAAAACCAGATATTTTATGTCAACATTATCTACCTGATTAAAAACAAAAAAGAAGTTTATGACTCAACTTTTAAGAGTTTGTGTTACATACTACCAACTTTGCACCCATGTTGGAAATGTCATGTTTGTTCTACATGTATATTTAAAAGCAGAAACCTACGTGTCTCCGTCTTCAGTGATAGTTGTGAGCAGGTTTTCTTCTTGTTCAGACAGTTCAGAGATCTGGGCTTGTTCCGTGGAGCTGGAGATCCTGCACTCCTCCACGATCTCCGTCAAACTCGTGATAGACGACGAGCCGTAGGCCGAGTCCAGACGCTCGTCTCCGCCGGAAAACTTGTCCCTCGGCGCGCTGAAGTCGCCGCTCGACTCCCGAGGCTCGTCCGACTTCACCAGGGAGCGGTACGACTCAATGCCCGAGTCTGTGCGGTTCTCCTCCAGGGACTCGTCTTTCTTGTAGCCGCCGCTCGACATGGTTGGTGGTGGTGGTGGTAGAGGTGGTGGTGGAGTCGCTGGGTTTCCCCCTCTCCTCCCTCCCCGCCTTCCCAGAGGGTTTAACGGCTACTAACGGCTGTCGTCGCCGCCGCTCGGTGCTCCGTGATGCGAGCAGACACCTGAGGAAACCACCGCTCCTTTGTGAAACCGGAGGAAAGAGCCGCCGCGTTTCATGCCACAAACCGACAAAACTAACCTCTCAAAGAACAGCCCCGAGATTTAACTTTAGTTACAAACTCTTAAAAATATCTCTAAGTGCTTTTTAACGTCTTAAATTCGCGAAGAACGAGTCGAAAACAGGCGCAGGTCGTCGACTACATATCCGGTGACCGTACGAAGCTCCAGGCGAAGAGCATATGAGCGACGAAAGACGATAAGGCCGGGGGACGAGCTGTTGTTATCACGGGGGGAATCCCCAGAGCGCGTGAACCAACACACATCAACGGACGAGAGCGCGCGAGCACGAACTCAAACTATGGGAAGAACGTTGTCAATGTAACAGCGGAAGAGAGAGGACTTTCAAAATAAAAGTCAGCATTAGAAGCGTTTGTTTAATGAGAATAGTTGAAGATTTTTACATGAATGCCTTTAATCACACTTTGCTGTCTTTAAACACTAAAAAGTCCTGCTGTCGTTTAATTTCTTTAGAGGACTTTCAAAATAAAAGTGTGTAGAATCACATCAGCATCAGTGGGTTTATTTAAATGAGCATTGTTGAAGACTTTTACAAAAATACCTTTAATCACACCGTGCTATTTTTAAATACCCCCCCCCCCCCCCAAAAAAAAAAAAAAAAGTAAATAATAATAATAAAAAATCCTGCTGTCATTTAACTCAGTATTTAGATTTGTTTCATTTTAAACCTTTAGATTCCATTTTAAAATTTTAAGTCATATTTTGACTTTAAACTCTTGATTTCAAAATGATCTTATATTTTGACCTTTCAAACTTATGATTTAAACTTTCTCCTCATGTGTTTGCTTTATTTTTAATATTGTGTTCTGATCTTTTGAACTAATTAGTGGGATTTTTAATCTCAGATTGCCTTTAAATTGATCTTTTTTAGTTATTTATAATCATCGCTGATTTTGTTTTGAAAAGGAGGCTGACAGTTTGGGTTAAATGTTGACCCTGTAGGGCCCTCAGGTTAGACTTTAATCCAGATTATGGCCCTTGCTGTGGTTGAGTTTGACACCCCTGCTTTAGGGGACTTTTGATGCACCATTCTGCAGAAACCTAAAGTGTTGTTACATATTCTGTCCACCGGGGAAGATTTTCTTGCTGCATTATTAAAAATGAGTCTGCTCACATTCATGCCTGCAGCGTTCGCAGTGCATCACCATAACAGGGCTATGAAAACAAATGGCAACTGATTATACAGTTAGAAATGCTTTTTAGTGATTTTGAGGGACCTGATTTACAATCAAGTGGTTAACCTGTACAGCCATGCAAGGAGGGCTTTTCTAATCAGAGAGACACACAGACTAGTAGCCAGTTCAATTTTTCCTTTTAGTGATTTGGGCCTGATACAGTTTGATCAGCATATAACTAATGATGCAATTTCCCATCACAGTTCCGTTTAAACATTCAACAGTGAGCTTTTTCTCAAACGGTGACGAGGTTTCACTAACAACTGAATGTTTCCAAAACAAGAGACATGATACTGATTTTAGAAGAGGCCACAAAAACATCAAACCATTTGCAACCAGAAGGTGGAGCAAGAGGGCAGTCTCTTGGTAGCACGATTTGTCCTACTCTGACATGGGCAGACAACACCAGAGCCATTATCAGAGAGGCTCAGCAGAGACTGATACTCTCTCAGACGGCTGAAAAATTCAAAGGTCAGCTGAGGGTTCGCCCTTGTGTTGATCCTTACTTTTTCATAACATTATCACAACCCGGGAGAGGACTGTCCTCGTGGTCTCAAAGCTTATCGGTGTCAAACTCTCTGCACTCAGTGATATTCATCTACCCAGGTCGATTTATTTGTGAAATAATAACTGGTCATTTAAACTTATATTAATAATTTGTTGTAATTTGAATGTTGTATCTTATGATGAGTGCACTGACACAAGTTCCATCCATCTGTTGAGTTGACATGACGATAAATCTTAGAATTCACAATGAAGACAGGAAGAGGACATTAATACTATTTGCCTAGGGGTGTGTGCATCTAGGCCCCCTTTGCATAAACTGGGGCCCCCCAGACAAAACATCTGGACACACCCCTGGTCATGGGGAACCAAAAAAACAATAACTCACTTTCTATGTGATGGTGATGTGAGTATAGTGAAGATTATTTGTTTTTCTCCACCTCCCAAATACGAAGGTTCCATGTTCGCTCTGGTTCAGCCATCAGAGGGCTCACTTGCTCTGAAATTTCTCTCTGAAAAACAGCCAGAGTCACTATGAAAACAGTCTGTAAAACAATATAGTCAGAGAAAAAAAGAAAACAGAACAGCCAGGGGCCTCTATCTGTGTGTTTTCATGTCATCTATTGTTAGATGACATAAGAACACAAGGGCCTGTATGCCAGGACTCCTCGGTGCTTTTTGTAAAACACAGGATTGTATGAAAAGTCAAGTCAAGTCAGGTTTATTTATAAAGCACCTTCAAGAAGACAGCAGTCCAACAAAGTGCTGTACATAGGATAATCAAAAGAAGTAAATAAACAGATAGACAACCATAAAACAATATAATTAAAACAATGGAATAAAATAAAACTCTTATACTTTGACTAATTTCTTTAGCAAAGAAACTAAACACAACTCACCTACTCTCTTCCAGCAGCCGCGTGTAGGGCTAGTCCATTACAGACTACAGCGGGGTGCCGCAGCTCAAGGAAGAACATTTATGATCATCAGTCAAAGTTAAAAAGATGTTTGGTGTCTAGTACTATGGCTGAGACCCTATATGTCCTGTTGATGAAGTTAGGTGCTGTTCTGAGCATTTTTTGTTGCTATAGAGTGGCGTTTTGGTTGAGGTTTGTCCTTACTAAAGTTGGTATAACTAGAGAAGCAAGCAGTCTGCAACATTCATCTCTGGAGGGGGTGTCTAACTCAGTGTTACAGTGTGTTTGACCTTAAATTAATTTTACGCCGGAATATCCCTTTAACTCTGGTACTAAAAAGGTTTCCCTTTTTATGAGTAAATGTCATTATTGTTATAATTATCCTAAGGAGACAGGACCAGTGGGCTGCAGAAGGAGTCTCTTCTCTGCAGCACCTCCTGTGTGTCCTACTGGAACTTACCCGAATGGGCAAGTGTGTGTGTGTGTGTGTGTGTGTGTGTGTGTGGGTGGGTGGGTGGGTATGGGTTATTTACATCGTGGTGTCAGTGCTAGCTGCTGACACGTGCCGCTGTTTTCCCTCTTTGTCCTGCTTCACACCTTCTCTGGCTTCCATGATCTCTGCCTGCAGGATGAGGAGCTGACTGACTGTTTTACTGACTGACTGTTTCCTCAACATTTACTCCCCTCCAGCTCTTTTCTTCATCATCTATTCATCGCGTTGCGCTGCAGGAGGAGTCTCAGCCTCTTTTATGCGTCTTTTCGAGGCACAATGACCGGATTACCGTTGGCGGTGTAGCTGCCCGCCGCGACATCTGCCCACCTGGGAAAGCCGGGGGATGAAGCATCTTGTCCGGGCTTCCTTTCGGGCTCCGGCCGGGCTGCTTTGTTTTGGATGACGCGCGCAGGGATCCTCGTTGTCTCTTGGTTGCACCCTCATTTGGAAACCCCCCATCCCATCCGGAGATCCATGCCCCGGTTTCTGTGCCACTACCATCATCATCATGTCCCCAGCATCGGCTGCCACCGCCAGTGAGAGCAGCACCAGCGCCACCGTGCCCGAGGACGAGGAGCCGGAGAGCCCCAGAGAGGAGGTGAGGACACATTGTTTACAGTTTATTGGCTAATTTTCTGCAGACAGACATGAATTAGAGATGTCCTATTTCCCCGATTACAGCGGAATCCCCCGATCTCTCTGTATTAATCAGACTCCAGGCTGAATATGGACGAAGGGCTTTGGAATTAAACCTGATTTATTATGTAATCAAAGTCTGTTTATTACCCTATTGTGCACGCTAAATGGATGAAAGTGAGCGTTCAAGCGCGCACTCGACAGCGTGAACGAGCCTGGGTTTACTTCTGTTTGTCTCCCCTCCAGACAAGTGTTTCCCAACATGGAGTTTAGTAGGGGTGGGAGAAAAAATCGGTTCACATAAGTACCGCGATTTTTTGTTTTACAATTTTTAAATCGATTTTTATGTTCAAAGATAGTTTTTTCTCAAATTTAAGAATAAAGATCCTTACACACCGGAACGACGCAAATATACAACACGAAATTACAAAATATTCGAAGGCAAATTTTGACGCGCCTGACTATACACATCGAGCGCGATGCGATTTTGCGTCTCTCCGGGGAAAAAAAGACGCGGGAAGACTGACAGAACAGCAGACTGAAGGTCCTTTTACACCGGGACCGTTTTTTTTCGTGCGATTATTTTGGATGTCAGTATTTTTTTTAACCCGTATCCCGTCAATACAAGCGTTCACATCAGCGACGTTTTCCCATCCAGCGATATTGCGACATTTATTTTTTTGGATCACGGTTGATTTTTCTAAAGTTTTGCATACTGTGTGTCCACTTCTGACCAATCAGATTGCGTGTTGTTGCGACGTCAGATTCACCGGTATATCCAACATGGCTGACCAGCTGTTTGTTTAAGTGTCAGAGAACAGAGTGATTTTTGATAAAAACACAAACATTACAAAGATAACGACCTGAAGGATAGTGTGTGTGCTTTAACAGTTTGCTAAACGTCTTTGTTTTAAAGTTCATTTATTTCATAATTTCACGTCATATATTTGTGTCATTCCCGGTATCACTAATAACTAAAGAGTGATTGATCAGTGGATATGCTCAGCTTCCCTGTTTTACAACAATAAGTACATTTTACACACATACTGTATAAAAGCTAACCGACTTCTGAACAGGGAGTCCTCTCAGAGATTCAGCCTCATTTGCTCCTGAAGCTCTGGTGTCTGTGACATGGCAACGTGTCTGCTCCAGGGAGGAGGGGGAGGGGAGAGACGGCGCCGCAGCGGTGTTATGTTTTGATTGTGGACTAGGGTTCTCTTTTTACATATCGCATCTCTAAATCTGTGTGTAATCATACCTCAAAAATGATAAAGGTGACTTAACCTTACATGATTTTTTTACTTTATTCTTTACCACGACTGTGTCAACTGAGAGGCAGCTTTAAATCCACAGTTAGTCATTCTTCTGTGATTAGATGATTATTAATGATATGAGAAAGTACCACAGCAGCGCCTCTGTCAAGCGTTCACCATAAAAGTCTACCTGGTTTGAATCAGGCAGAAATTACATGAGTTAATTGGGTCTAAGCTTTTTTAAACCTGATGTATTTAATCTTATATAAGTCATTTGATTATTTTTAAAACTGAAATTTTCATATTTTTCCATTTTTTCTTGCATTTCCAAGAATAACAGGTTACCAAATCCTGCACCATTACCTGATTAACGTCAATATTCTTGAAAAATAAATAGACAATTAGAAAAATTAAACAAACCAGGTCAGATATACAAATATAATGTGGAACTTTAATGCTTTTCCTCACCTAGAAATTAATCAGTCAGTTAATTTTAATACCGAAAGCTCAGAGTAGCTTCTCAACATATTTTCGTTTTTTTCTGCTTGTCTCAAATGCAAGAACGTCATTTTTAAACTATGACAAATATGTGCGGTATTTCACAGGACACCTGATGCAGATAAGAGACACTCCTTTTCCTACTGTAAAAAAAAACCCTAACATCACTGTGTTTGTGTTTTTCGTCACGTCCCTCTTTTTCATGAGCCTCACAAACACAAAGAGCTCGGTTTGATACAGAGTTTGGGGGGTTTCTGAATTATAATCACATTGATTGTTGTGGTGAAGCGTGTGCAGGATGTGACTGAGTAAATCATCTTCCTGCAGAAGGTTTATCTCAATAGGGAATTTCAGCGTTAATCCCTTTTTACCCCGCAGGGTGCAGCCTTGGGTAGGTGAGGGACTTTGGGACCATGTGACCAAGGTGCTGCAGATAATTATGGGGAGAGCACATTTATTATTTACGCTCATGTGTCACTTGAACAGCACAGAGCTGACAAACTGAATCCAAAACATCAGTGGAAGATGCTGGTTGTTTTAATACTGTACATGCAGAGATAAAGAGGAAACATTAGTTCTCGTTACAGTGACTCAGTGCGGCTGGATTTCTCTCTCAAACGGTTTATGCCTGTATGTGAAAATCTCTACCCTGGTGCAATGTCTCATATGCTAATTTTTTGAATGAATTTTCTCATAATAAATCCTTTTGGGGGCTTTTGAACCTCTGCCAGGTTTGTGTGGCAGCGCTCCAAAATGCAGCCGCTCAGGCTCGCTGTGCCCCGTGGTGACAAAAGGATGGCACCAGCTTTAAGCTGCCAGAGTCAAATGACAACCTTTTTTTTTCTGCTTGGCTTGTTATTAAAAGTGAAACCTACCCCTCAGTATATATCTGTTCTTTCCTGATGTCATATTTATATGAAAACTTGCACTAAAGTCGTGTGAACACTTACAGTCACAGTCAGTGAACAGTCTTTTTACCGACAATAGGACGTCTACTCCCCGCACTTTTATGTAAATGACATATTTCTGTCGTATTTCAGTCAGAAAAGTGGTCGAGTCTTTTGATTATAACGAGAACAGACCAGGACATAAGAAATTGGCTCACAGCTCATGCATAAACTATGCAGAAGCACTTACAACACAGAATATTTCCCTCAATATTTCATATGCATGAGCCAGTACTTTTTAAGTTTCAAACTTTATACTGAACAGAGATTTAGGTCAGACTTATGCTTATCCATTAAATTACAGTCTAATAGTCTGTGATACCCAATCAAAATCCCTGATTGTTTGTGACAATTATATCTTAAATATTAAAGTGTCCTGTTAAAAATGTACCCAGATTGGAACTTTGTTTGATAACTGCCTTGTAGAAGAGTTTATGTTGTGTATATCAGTGGTTCTCAACTGGTGGGTCCCGACCCAAAAGTAGGTCGCGGACATGTTCTGGATGGGTCACGAACAGCTGGTCAAAAAAGTAAATATTTAATGTGATATTTATTAGATATTTGATATTTTCTGTATAAGTAACTTCAGTAGTTGTCATCCTCATGTTGTTTCCTTCATGTGCTCTGAAATACACTTTAATCAATACAACAAGTGGATTTATGTTAAAGATTAGAGTCTTTAAAGTTTTATTTTATGTATAAAAAATAAACTTGCTTGGTTTGAATTCTATAAAAGTGGGTCATGACTGAAGGACCATGGGAAAATGTGGTTCCCAGAGTGAGACCAGTTGAGAACCATTGGTATATATGTTGTTGTTTAGTGTTCATATTAATCTATCTTTATCTTGTTTACAGCAGCGCCCTCACAAACAGTCCCTCTCCAAGTCCTTGTGTCAGGAGACTCACTGGAAATGCCTGCTGCTCTCCCTGCTCATGTACAGCTGCGTCGGGGTGATGGCGTGGTGCCAGGTGACCAAGGTCACTCGCCTCTCCTTCGACAGCGCTTACAAAGGAAAGTCAATGATGTACCACGACAGCCCCTGCGCCAACGGCTACATCTACATCCCTTTGGCGTTCCTGGTCATGCTCTACGTGGTCTACCTGGTGGAGTGTTGGCACTGCCACACGAGGAACGATCTGCAGTACAAGGTGGACGTGGAGAGCGTGGCAGAGCGGATCCAGAGAATGCAGCAGGCGACACCCTGCATCTGGTGGAAAGCCATCAGCTACCATTACGTCAGGAGGACACGGCAGGTGACCCGCTATCGTAACGGAGACGCTTACACCACCACACAGGTGTACCACGAGCGGGTCAACACCCACGTGGCAGAGGCTGAGTTTGACTACGGGAACTGTGGGGTCAAAGATATCTCCAAGAACCTCCAAGGTCTGGAAGGCTTTCCCATCACCAGGCTGAGGTTCACCAAGTGCTTTAGCTTCGCCAACGTGGAGTCAGAGAACTCCTACCTGACCCAGCGAGCTCGCTTCTTCACAGAAAACGAGGGCTTGGATGACTACATGGAGGCCCGGGAAGGGATGCACCTGAAGAATGTAGACTTTAAGGAGTACATGATTGCCTTTTCTGACCCCGATCACCTCCCCTGGTATGCACAGAACTCCACTTTCTGGGCGGCGGCAGCTTTCACCCTCTCCTGGCCTCTGCGGGTGCTGATGGAGTATCACGCCGCCTGTGCGCACTATCACGTCGAGAAGTTGTTTGGCTTCGATTACGTGCCAGCAACACCTTCTGAAGAGCGGCCATATTGCAGACACATCCCTCGAGTCAACACAATTGACAGCACAGAGCTGGAGTGGCACATCCGCTCCAACCAGCAGCTGGTGCCCAGTTACTCTGAGGCGGTGCTCATGGACCTGGCCCAGCTCTCTGGGAGCTGCAACAGCTACTCTGTCTGCGGAGGCTACGGCAGCTACAGGCAGAACTGTGAACGCTGCCACCGAGCCATCAGCAGCTCCTCCATCTTCTCTCGGAGCGCCCTGAGCATCTGCAACACGGGGAGCCCTCGCATCCCCTTCAGCGCGAGCCGCTTCTCGCTGGGTCGGCTGTACGGCTCCAGGCGGAGCTGCCTGTGGAGGAGCAGCGGGAGTCTGAATGAGCAGTCCTGCCCCACAGAGAGCACGCGCTGTCTGTCAGGAAATCAGAACAGTGAGGAGAACCCTCCAGCCTACCAGGACGCTCTGTACTTCCCCGTCCTTATTGTACATCGCAATGAAGGCTGCCTCAACCACGACCATCGCTCCCTGCACAGAAACGGCTCCTGTGTGGAGACGTCTCTATGACCCGCAGACGTCTCTGAGGACCAGAATAACTCATGCTTCTCCCTCAGGCATGGAGGTAACTCAGTCACCAACCATTAGCAGGGGTTCGCTCAAATCTCTTGAGTTTCTGTAGCTTCAAACCGGGTCAGGAAACAATGTAAATCTGGAAAGTCCTTACAGTAAAGTCAAAAGGTCATGATGCTACTGCTGCTGAAAATTAAATGCAGCTTTGGACGGACAAAATTGCCAAAAATCGACGTACTGTCTTTCAGCATTTATAAGGACAGGGCGAAAATAACCAGGAGGGCTTACACCCGACTGTAAATGCCATATTTGTAGATCTTAGTCACAAACCATTTACAAGGATGAGCAACACTGAGAAGTGTTTGAAGCCTGATTCGAGTTTTGACTCAGCAGTAGCCTAAAAGGACAGTGACTCATGTAAATGATAGGGGCAGCCTCGTTTCAAAGCGTCATTAGCGAGGCTAAATGGATTTATCCGGTCTCATGGTTCTCATAAAGCAAAGAAGACTTCCCAAACTGAAATCTGAAACATCTGCATGAGAAAGTTTTGATACCGGCTCGTTCAGATCTCTCCGTTCAAAGTCAAAGCTCCTGGAAAGTCGTACAAAAAAGGGGATTTATTCTCATGCTATAAAAATAAGAGTCTCCTGCAGATGCTGAACTATCAAGTAAGCAGAAATCGGCTTGATTGCGGTGACATTACACTCCCCGGCTTTCTAAATATAGCAGCACAGTCAATGAATAATTTAGTACCTGGTGGGCGAAAGGACACGGGAACTTCAAACCGAATCAACAACACGTCTACAATCTGGTTTTTAATTCATGCTGAGCCCAAATTTTGTATAATGGGCCATTTAAAAACGCCACAGTCATTAGTAAACGAGCTAAACTCAAAGATTCATCTAATTTCATTTTGGGCAATATCTGTAATCAGCCTACCTCCTTATTTAAGTGCCTAGCATTCAACTGTTACTGACTAATGTAAGCTACTTTTAACACAAGTCATCTCATCCAAACAGCCTGAATCATCACTAGCAGACCTAGGACTATCATTGTTCTTATTATTGTTAAAATTACACTTTTGAGAGTACGACCCCAGACTGTTTCCCCCTCATATTACAGCACAGCTCATAAGTAAGGCCAGCTGAAGCTGCTGCTGCCGCTGCTGATGCGTATCAGAGAGACAGCCAGAGCTTGGCATCCACAGAACTGCAAATAGGCAGAGGCCTGGAATAACTACTGATAGTGTCACATTAAATAATATGTCAGGGTTACTTTAAAGAACTAGAATAAAAAAAAAATACTTCCTCTCAAATGACTGCATGCAGTATCTTGGTCATGGTGAATTTTACATCACAGTCAGAGCAGCGCAGAACAAATGATGAGAACTGCCACAAGATTTTAAAGTTTATAATGAAAAACTTTTAACAATGTCACAAACTTGAGCTGTAAAATCAGAGATCACACTTTTATTCATCCTGAACGGTCTTCTTAAAGGGACAGAAGAGACACTGACTGCATTTAAGAGGATGTACTTATGCAAAAATCTGACTCCACCTAACGAGACCTGCAGGAAAATATCAACTAGTACTGATTTTTTTATCATGAAACTCATAAAACCACTCAGACGTGTGAGAGCAGTTAATGTCTGAAAGGCCTGTGCAGGAAAATGGGACCAGATAGCCATGCTCAGTACATTCCACATGTTGGGTTTGGAGTAAAAAAAACCGAGCATGATAAAGCCAGAGATCCTGTCAAAACTCAGATTTCATTGTGAATCTTCTTCACTTCACTTACTCCTCCTATGCAAGCCCCCAGATCTCAGGACGGAGGCTGGTCTGGCTTTAGCTTTCACTCTGAAACGGTTCGATTTACTCTGTGCAAACACCGGTGTGTTAAGAAGACAAGCTGTAACTGTAAAGCTGGGATGTGCTGCACTGTTCTTCACTGATCTGCTCTCAGTATGTTCTACTGGGGGCTAAAACACCGCTGCATGTCGTAGCCCAGTATTTACTAAACAAACAGAAGTCTGGTTTAACACTTCACACGACTCTTAAAGGTGGGGTAGGCAGGGTCTGAGGAAGTTCCAGTTTTTAGGAGAAATCTTGAATGTAAACTCTACCCCTCCCAACCAGTTTTCCCCTCAGCTCCTCCTCTCCCTCAAGCCCCGCCCACAAACAGACGCTCCTGCTCGCTCGTATCGTTCCAATTAAATTCAGATATAATGCAGATAAATACTTCAGATCATTACAAATGGGGCCCAGTCAGGGTGAAAGTCAAAAGCATTGGTGCTACTTATCAGAAAGAGACTACCAGCAAACACAATGTTTGCAGGACTTCTACAACGAGGATAAAGTGACATAGTCCAGGACCCGAGGGAGGACAGTTTAGCGATGGCGCTACAACACGCTACAGCAGGTCCGTTTGACAAGAAACACTTCTGTTACAGACACTTGTCTTACTTTGTTAAAGCGGTTTACCTGTCCAGCAGAAAGGTTACAGGGTCACCAAGATCCCCAAGCGTCCCCCATCGTTTATGTTGACCCGGCTTTTTAGCTCTTGTCCGGTCTACCTCCGTTTTAAGCGCCCGTTATTCCTCCAGAGTCTCCACTATTTACTTTGTTTTCTTGCTTGTGTCGGCAGTCGTGGCCAAAGGAGGATTCAGACAATTTTCCGAACTTTCTGGTTGGTTTCTACTGTCCGATATTGTAGCACGCTAACTTTGTTTGGGCTCCTGAACGACACGGGGGAGCAGCGTCTGCCTCACAACCAATCAGGTTAGAGGAGGTGGAGAACGGCTTTGTTTACAGTCAGAAAGAGCGGACCGCTCAAAAATGTTCAAATGTTGACGACACAGACATAAGAGAACACAGAGATATTGATATATTAGCAAATGTCATCAATAACTAATAACTATTGACTGATATTCAGAGATATTTTGTAAATACACCACAAAAAAAGATGCTTCTTTAACGGACTCCTGCCTACCCCACCTTTAACAGGAACATAAACGTGTATTTACAGTCATGTCCAAATATCCCTTTAATGCGTTTCAACCGAGAAACCTTTCAGTGCAACGAGAAGCAGCTCTTTAGTTTCTGACTAGACACCAAATAAAACAGGGAATTTATTTCTGTTATCATTCCTAACTCTGGAATCATGTCCCAGCATGCTTTGGTTTGTCGTGTCCTGTGGATGATCTTTGGGTCGAACTAGAAAATCACTAGAAATCAGCGAGGAAGATCGCCTGAAATAGTGAACTAACTTTTGATTTTGATCAATGTTTTAAATGAAGTCATCAGAATTTCTCATTCATTGTTTGCCAACAAGCCTCTCCGATGGCTTCACTGTGATATTCATACATGGCCATATATGTGTAAGAATAGGAAAATCTGTTTACCAGTGAAATGTTTACGTAGCAGCAGGGAGAGAAGAATCTAAATCTGGGATGATATTAAAAAAATGACAAATCAGAGTGGACGGGTCTGAAGGAGAGGTGACTGTTAACATTTAGCCATGCTGAGCACTAAACCCTTTATATCATGTGTTTGAAGTAGATTAGGTTATACTGTGTTATACGGGGGTTTGTCTCTTTGTACTTTTATGATTTAGAGGATTTCAAGACTGTAGGGCAGAAATGATTCGTACTGTAAATAAATAGAGATGAGGCGTTAGAGCGGCTGTAGATCTTGTTCTTGGTTAGATGTGTCACAAACACCTTGGAGGTGACTAAAGCAGGGACTTTTTTGATGTGAAGATGTTAAATGGTGCGTGTGACTGTCAGAAGCAGCAATATAATCTGTTTAAAAACACGACGACAGCATATTTGTGCTGCTGCTTTTTCTGTTCAAAGCCATTTTTACATTTCCAGAATGATATTTATTACACCCTTTACTCCACTGTTATGTGACTGATTTAAAATGAGGGGCTTACACACATCCACATCTCTGTAGGGGATTACTGATAGTTATTTAAGATCCTCTGTAATTAGACTGCTCTGTGTTACACCATCTACAATTACGTTTTTTGCCGATCTTTGTATGTCTAGGAAGAAAAAAAGAAGCAATTTTGCAAGTTAAATTTTTGAAAATATGAGATTGTTCATACTTAAAATTGTTTTACAAGGATATTACAATCTTGAACTTCTTTAGTTTTAGCCAGTAGGTAGAGATTAAAAAGTCTGTATGTGCTCCAACACTACCACAAAGTTGCCTTGTTGTACCATAAGGACTGAAAACCAAATCTGTGTATCGAAATGGGAAAAAAAGGCTCCTCAATAAAATTTAATGCTCACTAAAATGCTGTTGTGTCCTTGTCCAAAGAAAGATTGGTACTTCCTGTTTCAAACACTGAAAACTGGGTTCATGGACGACTTGCAGCAACTCTGCAGATGAGACATTGCTTTGTTTAACTTGTTTATTATGATGATTATGATGGTTTTTGAAAAGCAGAAAGAATAATGCTCCTAATGATCTTCTAAATAGCGTTTTTCTTGTTGGTCCAAACTGCCTGGTTGATGAAGGAAACGCTCTGCTCACCCATTCCTGTCAGGCACACATCACACTCTGTTATGCTGGTGTTGTAGGACATCGCCTCCTCCAGAGCTTTACCTCCATCCTGCATTCACAAACATGTACAGAGGCAGAGAAAGAGAGCGAGAACAGTCACACACATTTGGCACTGATGCATACATCCATAGCTAAGATATAGTCGTGACAACATTGAAAACAAAAATCAACCCTCTGCTCTTTCTGCCCAGAACAGCCCACACTGAGTGTCACCGCTGTTTCATCGTTACGTCTGAAACAAGCATCTCTATTTCTGAGATGCAGACCAAGGTCAGAGATATTGACGGTACAGCGCGTTGCATTTTCTGCTTTGTGGGTGATTTTTGATCCTCCACAGTTTATCCCCGTCAGACATGCAACGAGAGAGGAGAATCAGATCCACCTCTCACCCAGGAAACAGCGCTGGCTTACTTAGCTTTCCTTTATTGCATGTTTTTCCACACATATCTATGAATAATTAAAAACCTGTGTACTTTCAAGCTTTTCCGCCTGCTGCTCTCACTGTACCATGTGTTCACAGGGAGAAGGAGGAGGAGGAACAGCTGCTTTAGGGTGAGGGAAACAAATGAGAACAGTCCTTCAGTGTCCTGATTTAAAGTTTTCTTAATGTTTTTTTTCTGCTGTTGAAAAGAAAGATTAAAAAGGAGTCAAACTGCAGCAACTCGTTATGTTAAAATCACAATCTGGTTAGTCTGGATCTAGATTTTCTACACTAACCGTACAGAGTTTCAATCTATTCCCCCTCATATCAGTGATCTAGATTTAGCGCTTGACTTACCTCACCCAGGCAGTTGCAGGAAATATTGATGCTCTTTAGGGTGTTATTCTGAGCGATCACTTTAGCCAGTGTGATGACTGTCGGCTCCGTCACCTTGTTGGCTCCCAGGTGCAGATGAGAAAGGGTTTTGTTGTTCAGTAAGGCGTTTGCAATAGCCTGACCCCCCTCATCTCCGACACGGTTCAGACGCAGGTTGAGGGACTGAAGAGTCGGGTTCTTGGCCAAGGCATGAGCTAGAGCTTTGGCTCCATGGTCTCTAATATCATTGTCGTACAAATTCAGGGTCTCCAGTTGACTTTTGTTGAGCAGTTTGGCGACAGCTCTGGCTCCCTTGTCTCCGATCAGGTTGTGAGAAAAGTCGAGTTCTCTCAGGGACGGGTGGTCCAAAAGGTGTTTCACGAGCAGCAGGCACTTTTTATCCTCGATGTGGCTTTCATGGAGCCTTAAAATCTGCGAAGGAAGAGGAAACGGTGAGAAGCACAAACAAAAAAATGGACCTGCAATGGTAAAGATGAAATATTAAAGGGCAAAAGGGTTGAAAACACAAATTCTCACACCTACAAATGCCTGAACAGGACAGGACCTCATATAAGTTAAGACTGACAAAATATCAATGAAGGCTGTAACAATTAGTGAATCAAACTTAATGATCTGATTATGTTCTGCAGTAATCTTGCAGTTTCCATATCTCAGCACAGAGACTGGCTGATGGATGTAATGTTCTCATGCTGTGGTAAAACATGATGACAAAAATGTTGTGTCATATAGTGACTTATTTAGGCTGCAGCCAAAGGCTCTGCTGTCTCTGCCTTGATGTGAATAGAGTATGAATGTAATACTTGGGTGATGCCTAAAAGAATTTCCTCGTTTCATGGTACAGGGGACTGTCAAAATGTCTGTAAATGACGTTTTATTACTCGTGAGAAGGTCAGAGGATTTTGTTTGCTAAGTTCTTTAGATCAACAGGCTTGAAATGATCAATATTCACCTTCAGAGTCTTGCAAGATTTCAAGGCAGAAGCGAGGGATTTACAGTCTTTGTCGGTCATCTCAAACATCTGCCATTCAAAGTTCATGCCGCACTGATTGACCTTGTACACCAAATGGAGCTCTTCCAGGTTTGTTAGCTTACTGAGCAAGATTTTAAAGTTGAAATGGTCCATGCTCTGTCCTTCGTTCTCGTTTTGGTACGGCGAATCTAAGCCAAGTTCGTCCTCCTCCTCCCCCTCTGGCTCTCTGATTGGCGGCAGGAGTTGGGAGATGTTCAGCCTCTTGACGTAGTTCTTACAAAGAGGTACCATCTCGAGAACCGTCTTTTCCTCCGTTGAATATGGAATAAAAAGCTCAATTATATTCTCCATGTGCCTCTCAAAGAACATTCGCTTCCAGCTGTGGCCGTAATGTGAGACATCACATAAGTCCCACCGCTCCTCACAGCATCGTTTCCAGAAGACTCCATCACTGATGAGGTTGGCTGTCAGGTTCAGAGGCAGGGAAGTTGATAGTCCCTCCTGCACAAAGTCCCTCTGGGTGGGGGACAGTTCTTCAAATATGGGTTTCTCTGTAACAGGTTCACATTTTGAAAGAAGAAAAAAAAGTTGAACTTTTTATAAATCAGGAGGAAGTGTGCAAATTAGCGACAGTGAAAAAAAAGGTACCCTCAAAGTTTCTGATGAAGCTCTGCAGACACAGTTTTGATAAACAAGGCACTATGACCAGAGTCCAGTCGAGATCTTCAGCGACGATCCTCCTCATCCTCCTAAAATCCTCGGCAGGATTGATGGTTGCTCCTTGAAGATAAGGAGACCTGGACATTTTCTCGGGGTTATTGGGGCCTTTCTTCTGCTTAAGGATAGGAAACAACAGTAACATATTTAATGTGTCACATCAATTTCGATGTATGACTTCCTGGTGTATATACTGTACAGCATTGCATTTTATGAATGAAACATAATGGTCAAAATGCTGTAATGGCTCATTGCTGAAATACTGATGTCTACTGACTTCTGTGAGTCACACTTTATCCTTTATCTACCAGCAAGATCAGTGAAGGATTTGTCAAGCACTTTAGATAAGGAACTACAAGCAGCTGTTAACTGGGTCTGGTGTAATAAGCTTGTTCTTGATTTGTCTAAAACAAAGAGTGTTGTTTTTGGATCAAATTTTAAATTGAAAGACAAACCACAGGTAAACTCCTTGGTATGGTATTAGACAGCCGACTGAAGTGGCCAAAGCAGATTGAGAAAACTGTTGGAGTTATTGGGAGAAGTCTAGCAGTAATAAATAGATGTGCTAATTTTCTACCTCAGGACTGCATCTCCAGAGTTATACAAACATTAGTATTCACTCACTTGGACTACTGTCCAGCTGTGTGGTCAAGCGCATCAAGTACAGATTCAGAAAAATTACAACTAATTCAGAACAGAGCAGCAAGACGAGCATTGAACTGTGATAGAAGAAATAACTGGTCATTGGTGAAAGAGAGGATCACTGTGTATAAAAAATACAGAGAGTAAATATCTCTGTTATACAATTTAGCTGCAAATATAACCCAAATATCAGTGTTTACCCGTTGTGTGGAAATACTTACTTGAACCGCGTTTGTCCGGCCTTTGTGCTAGCCTGTCGCCATGGAAACAGAACGCGCCAAGCCCGCCATGGAAACAGAGGGCGCCAAGTCCGCCATTAAAGCCTGGGAAATTTGAACGTCTGACATCTCGGCCACAGTATCTTCCTATTCAACAAGGACTTTTAATGTTAAAATCGACTTTTATGAAGTCTTAGAAAAAACGGGGTTGAGAAATCGTTCGCTTTCATGTCAAAGAAGTCAGTCAGTAGTTGTAAGTGCTGGAATTTAAGTTACTCATTGAATGCAGCGTCAAGTAATATCAAAGACTGTATATAGGATGTATATTTAGTATATACAGTCTATGGATAATATCTACAGACCGATACCGGCAGTTAGGACGGAATTCGGGTCTCCTAAGTCTGCTTTGAGTTAAGGAAATTCACTGTTTAAAATAGTATAAAAAATATATAAAACCCTAACAAAGAAAGATAATCGTCCCCAAAGGCCCTGTGACTGTTAAACTGCTGTTTAAATGGGTTGTTTTTAACTCTGTGAAACACTCTGAATTTTAAGAATGGATTATAAATAAACTTTTTTTACTGTTGTGGTGCAATAAGGGGAATTTTAGATTGTATAGTATAGTATTATATTTAGTATAAGTATGCGTATTAGTATTATTTAGTATAGTATTATATTTAGTATTAGTATTATATATTATAGTACAGTATTATATTTAGTATAGGTATTAGTATTGTATAGTATAGTATTATATTTAGTACTAGTATTTTATAGTATGGTATAGTATTTATTTAGTATTAGTATTATATATGGTATAGTATTAGTATTATATTATTAGTATTAGTAATTATATAGTATAGGATTATATGTAGTATTAGTATTAGTATTAGTATTATACAGTATAGTATTATATGTAGTATTAGTATTAGTAATATGTAGTATAGTATAGTATTATATGTAGTATTAGTATTAGTATTATACAGTATCGTATTATATTTAGTATGAGGCCAATCCAAAGCAGAGAGAGAGGCCACCAAATGAGGACCGGACTGAATGACTATATTATTGTAGTCTAATATTTTAAGAGTGGGACTTGGATGAGAACACTGTTCTGAAGGCTGAGTGTGTGGGTGTGTTTTCAGGTCTGTGGGACATTACTGTTGCAGGAGGTTGTGTGCTAGATCTGCTGCAGAGTTGGGCCTGATCACGCTGGGTGGGAAATATTTGGACTCCAAAGAACCGACAGATGGACCAGGAATATGGACCATGAGCCTTTTGGATGAGAACAAGCTGGAGTGAATCCATCCTTTCTGCAAACAACAACACAAAGCAGGTGCACAGAGGCGGGTCGAAATCAGAGGCAAAAACACCCCGACGCTGTTGGATTGATCACAGACAACACCCAAACTAGCTAGAATAGGAGAGGGATTTTACCATTTCTGACAATTAGTTCTGATAACACTTTCGTCATTTTTTTATAGCATGTTGTTTAATTAATGCACCTCCTTTCTTTTTGTATAACCATAATATTGAAAAGAAGCTAGAGTCTATTCCCTAAATCCATTTCACCTTGCATTCAGTGGCCCTACTCTGCTTTCTCTGGTCTTATTGTCTTAACTCCACCCAAACTGAGCCACTTTGTACATGTGAGAGTCTTTTAATAACATTTTTAATCATATGAATGGAAGCAGGAACAGACAGGGGTATTTTGTGGAATTGTGGGAGAGTCGAGAGAGAGAAAGAAAGAGAGAAATAAAAAGTGGGGCCTAGATCCTGGATGTTACCGGCATCATAAGGTTCCTCCTGGAGGGCTGAGGAGGGGTGGAGGGATGAGAGGCTCTAACTGTAGTCCTGAGGGGAGTCCATCAGTGTTGTCCTCACGTAATATGGCCTGACAGACACACGCTTCCCTCGTATGCCGGCTTTAATGGACTGGCGGGACATCAGTATGAGAGGCGAACTCACTCTGTGAGCTGCTGCACTCTGAGTAGACTCTGTGAGGGGTGAATCACATGGTTGGGGGTCCCTGAATCTGGAAAATCTGATGTTTGTGTAAATTAGTCAGGAGCAGGAAAATGTGATGTGAGGTGTTACAGGTGGACGTGATTAAAGCTCCTTTTCTTCATCTAATAGCAGGAGCCTGAAGAGAGAAGGGAAGTGCACCGTGGTTACACTATAGTTCAGTTTATCTTTATATATATATTTTTTTTTAAATGTATTTTTAACCAATTAGACTTTGCTGGAGGTTCCTGTGCAGAGAGATTATGAGAAATTTGCATCAACATAATGAATTTAAACGGCTGCACTTATGTTGAGCATTTCTTTTTATCCTTTATTCTATTAGAAATATAATTTTTTACCTTCTTTAACCCTCTGAATTAATTTTGATGAGACAAAAACAGAATAACTTGATTTCATGATGAATTGGGAGCTGTCAATAGTTTTATCATGAATGCTTCAGATCCATTTTAGAAGAACTCATCATGATTTAACTGTTAAAAACGTTCATATTAAGAGGCGCTAATGTCAATAAGTGTGCATAGGAAAAGACTTTATTCCTTTTTTTTGAAAATAATGACAAGAAGACAACGTATATTTTAACAAAAAGAAAAAAAAACAAACAAACCTCAGCTTAATTTACTTATCTGAGTCATGATGAACCCAAACTTTCACCTTCAAAGTCCAAAGATAACTGAGGAAACAACTACGCTTCAAAGTCCCTTTTTCCATCGCCACCTACAGGCCAGAAGAGCTAATCCTCCAACTCATCCACACTTTCATCAGAGATGCCGCTGTAGAAGGAGCTGGAGCCCAAAGGGGGGCTGTCCACCGAGACCACCGAGCTGAGGCTGCTGTCGATGGACACCATGCTGCTGCCGCTGTCGCCGCTGCTGCTGCTGCTGTCGTCATCGTGGATCAACTCGATCACCTGAGCTGAGGCAGCTGCTGCTGGAAACACAAAGAGAGCAGCATCCGTATGTGTGTCAGCGCCAGGCCCCTCCATATCTCATTAAAAGACGGGAAATACTCAAGATGGCAACAAACCCCAAAATGGCGAGACCCCTACCGAGTTTCTCCCTCTCATGTTTCCTCCATTAAGCCAGAAAAGGGTTTGATCTCATTAGAGAGGAGGATGTTGTTTCTGTTCAGACATCGAAGCCCCTGAGGCAAAGTTTTGATGTGGAGAACAGGATACATAAATAAAACTAATGTGACTTGACTTGGTTAAACTCTGTTATTCCTGCTCTGCAGTTTCTCCAACAGTTCATAAAAAAAGAAGCAAGAAACAGAGTCGAATATGAACCCGGCTTTTTATATGTGTCATCAAAGATCTGGAAGATCTACAGACGGACCCTCTACAGGAACGGGGGGCTTCTTTCATGGTACTTATTCTTGATTTAAACAGAAAGGATGTGTGAAATTCAAAAGCCTCTCACCCCCGACTCTCTTCCCTCTGTTTAAGTTTGTCTTTTCCATGTTTTTAAAGCACTATTTTGGCACGATTGAACCCAACATGCACAGAAAACTATCCGTATCCCACCTGTACTTCTTTTGAGCTTTTGCATCGACTCAAAATGCACCGAAAACATCATTTTAGCATTAGTGAGATGTCATTCAAAAGATTCAGCATTGTTTTGCCGCCACCTTGTGTCTAAACTGGTCACTGTCCTCAGCTGGCCCACAGCCCTCCGATAACGAGGATGATTAAACCGTGACTCTCTCCTAAATGATCCTTTAAAGACATGTTTCTCTTCCTGCCTGAGATCCTCTGAGCGGCGTCATCGCACCAGCTGAGGGTCCCACACTTCTTCAGAGGACATGACACAAACATTAGTCACAGAGATCCCCTCGGTGAGTCAGTGAGTCCTGATCATCTCATCTGATAAACATGCCACTGCACACCGATGCTGGTAAGAAGGCACAGATTTAAATGTCTGTTTTAGGTCTTCTTTTCATGACTGCTGACAAACCTACATCACTGTCACAGGCTGGTCCATGTTTGGAAATAAAGAATATAAGGTACACTGATGTGAGTGTGAAGCTGGATGACCTGAGAAAAACTGACTGCCTCTAAACGCACAACTCACCACCACGAAAAACACACAACCCAGTTCTGACAAAGTTGGGAAGCTGTGCAAAATGTTGTTAAAAACAGAAAATGATGGTTTATAAATCATTTAGAGCCTTTATGTGACTGAAAATAGAGCTGGAACTGTAAATGTTATCTGTCTGTTTTTAAAAATGTTCGTTTTAAATTTCAGCAACATGTTTTGAAAAAGTTGAGACAGAGACAAACAAACAGAAAAATCACACTAAAAAGCTCTTGCTCTTGATAAAAGTGTCTGCTTAACAACATCGTAACAAAGAAACTTCAGATCGGTTCATCTGTTTAAGGTTAGCAGCAGGTTACTTTGGTTACTCGCAGTCTAATGCTGCGTTCGAGTTAACTCTGAAGTCAGAGGCAAGCACTAAACTAACTTTCATAGATTTCACCTTTTGTTTGAGGCCTCCAATTTTGCTTTTTTCTGACTTGGTAACTTAAACGTTGGTAATTCGGGTGTGACAACATTCTCAGCTCCGACATCTGACTTCCGAGGTAACTCGAACGCAGCATAAGTGCCCTACTTTGAGAGGCTGTAGCCCTCATGGCAGCAGTTGCTGGTTCGATTCCTGTCTCTCTTAGGCGTTCCTAACTCATAAAATAAAACATGCAAAGAAATCTTACTTTAAAAAAAAAGAGGTTTGAAAACTTTTCAAAGCATCAGCGTCTGTTTTTATTCAGATTTAACTCAAAATTTAGACTTTTTGGGAGGTGAGGTTGGATACACACCTCTTGTTTTCACTATTTTTATACTAAGTGGTTCCTTTAAAAAATAAAAACACTATTTTAACTTCAGCCTCCTGATAACACTCTTCATCATCATGACGCACCTCTCACCTTTCCTCTCAGAGATGAGGGTTTGCCGCCTCGCCTTCATGTCCAGGCTCAGGTTCTCCACCATGCTGTTGATGCAGTTGTCCAGAGCCAGACAGCGGGTCTGGGACTGTATGGCTTGTCTGCAGATCGGACACTCGTCTTTCTTTTTACGCCACTGCTTGATGCAGAAACAACAGAAGCTGTGTGCACAGTTCAGGATGACGGCCTGCAAAACAAGTTTACGTTTTCACGGAGGAGTTCCTCAAACATGTTTTATTGTAATTATTGAAACTCGTTTTTGTACTTCTAAGATTCCCACCTCGATAAAGAGCTCCGAGCAGATGATACACTGAAGCTCATTCTCCAGAACCTCAGTCACTTGTGTTACCACCTCCTCCTTCTGCGCCCTCGCCTTTTCTTTCTCCTCCTGCAAAATAAATGAGTAATTAATCAATAGTAAAAACAACTTTAGCTAAAACAAAACAAACATATCAGAGGAACAGTTTTACCTTCGTCACTTCCAGTTCTTTATTTTTGGCAGAGAGAATCGCCTCAAAGTCTTGTCGAGACAGAGCGAGCTCTTCGATCACCTTCTTTTGCTGTTTATTCAGTGAGACAAAGTGAGTTTTAAACTCAAGAGAAACACAAATTCTAGCATCATATTTTCACATCTGATCCTTTGTGCAGATGGTGAAGCTGTCGTTTACACACACATACCTCCTGCAGGGCCTCTTCCAGCTGCTTTTTCATGGGCTCCTCTTGCTGCCGTGTTTTCTGTGCCTAAACATGAAAAAAATCATCATCTTTGTCCGTTCAAATGTCCTTACACTGTGAGATATGAGGAGTATCTATGACTCTGGAAAACCTCTTACCTCCAGCTGTCTCTTGGGCTCACTGAAGGACTTCTCTAGTGTCTCCATGCGGTGCATTTTGGCTCGAAGCATCTCCAGCTGACTCTGTAACTTCTTCACCTGCTCCTCTCTGAGTGGGTCCGTCTGCCGCGGCTCACCTCCCAGAGAGGCCACCTGCCTCTCTGTGTGGTCCACCTGCTCCCTCAGCATCAGGATGTTCTGACTGTACCTGCAAAGATATGAAGATAATCCAAGTCTGATTTACTTAAACTTATTTAAAGGGATATTCCGGCGTAAAATTTATTTAGGGTCAAACGTAAGACCGAGTTAGACCCCCCCTCCAGAGATGAATGTTGCCGACCGCTTGCTTCTCTAGTTATACCAACTTTAGTAACGACTGCAGGATAGAAATACAGAGAGCCACGCGCTCAACCAAAACGCCACTCTATAGCCACAAATAATGCTCAGAACAGCACCTAACTTCATCAACAGGACATATAGGGTCACAGCCATAGTACTAGACACCAAACATCTTTTTAACTTTGACTCATTTCTTTAACAAAGAGACTAAACACAACTCACCTACTCTCTTCCAGCAGACGCTTGTTTGTAGCGAGACCTCAGGCCAGTCCATTACGGACTACAGCGGGGTGCCGCAGCTCAAGGAAGAACATTTATGATCATTTCTTCATGGAAATACAATCAGACCGAGACGCTAAGACAGAAGAACTACCGCGTCTGCAGTGAAAATGATTAATATGGTGATTATTACGTCAAGGAAATGATAAAGAAATGATCATAAATGTTCCTCCTTGAGCTGCGAAACCCCGCTGTAGTCTGTAATGGACTGGCCTGAGGTCTCCCTACTGGACAGGTCTGTTTAATGACTCTGTTATCTGAAGATACTCTGCTCTCTGAACAGACAGAAACGTACCTGATAACCTTCACCGAGTATTCTCAAACTTTGACACTTGACTGTGATGATTATTCACAGGAGAGACTCACATTTGCAGGTTGTCCTGGTCACAGGTGGAACTGGAGCCATCTGAGGGTCTATCTACCTCCTGGACTTGCCTGCTGGTCACTGTTTCCTCTGGCTTGTTCTGACTGAGCCTCTGCTGGGGTCTCCCCGACGACAGAGGACACGGCTTTGCGAAGGACGTATCTGAAGACGAGCAGCGGAACAGCTTGGTCTTCGAGGTGGACGGCTCGACCTCCTCCACAGTCATCTTCCTCTTTAGCTTTTTAGGCACATGTGCCGCTTTAGCACCGTCCCTTTGTCCCTTTGCCAGGTAGGGTTTAATGTCTTTGAGGGGCCGCTGGACCAGGATGTAGTCAAACTCCACTTTGTTTCCGATTACAGGGACGCCAAGTTGTATAGAGTCTCCCAGTCTGAGCTGATGGGATTCTTCAGCGGGGATGCGGTTTCCATTCACCCACACACCGTTGAGACTCTGAGGAACAAAGTAAAAACCGTCTTTTATTTTAGTTAACCTTTATTTAACCAGGCAAGAACCTGCTGAGATCGAGATCTCATTTAGAAGATTGACCTGGCCAAGAGGTCAGCAGCACACATCACAACAATAAATAATAATACTCGTCATCTGTTGAGCCTTCATGGTCATTTCAAGTGGACCCAGAGAAACTCTCCTTTTCATTGGCTATTCATACAGTCTACCCAAACATTGACTATCGAAAAGCATATTGACCATGTTTTATATTGATATTGCGGGAATAAATTTTCAATATATATCAATATCGTTTTATCGCCCAGACCTACAGAGAAAGAGAATATTTTAGTCTCCTGTTGATATGAAGTTATACTTGAACATGTCAGAGATGGTCACCTTCTTGTCTGTCACCGTCCACTGACCATCTTCTCTCTGTTTGAAGGTACAGTGAAGTCTGGAGATCATCAGGGGACAAGTTGGAGATAAGAGCTGGTAAATCACATCCATACCCCGACCAATGGTGATCTGAGGGAGCAAAAACACACGGTTTTAGAGATAATGTGCAGCTGCTGCAAAACACACTAAAACACACTAAACAACATGTTAAAGAGTGAAGACACTGTCTGCAGTTGTAAAGAGTATTTATGTGAAAAACCTGACAACAGCGTAAACTGCACAGAGTTAAACTTAGCTCGTTAGTTAGCATTAGCCAACCTCAGTGTTTTCCAGCAGACGAAGCCAGTCTGAATTTCTGCCCACTCTCATTAAACATAAAACTTCAGGGTCTGAACTTTCATCCTCCTCCTCCTCCTCGGCCACAGAAGAGTCTGCTGTAACCTTCTCCATTTTAGCTCATCCTGGTGGAGGCTAACACTCCGACAGAAACATCTCTGACTGTTTTTAACAAACACAGCAGCAGCAGGGAGGCAAGTTAGAGAGTGAGAGGACACGACCGGAAACACGCTGGCAGATTTTCAAAATAAATGTCAATATAAGTATAATTTCATTTTGCTGGAGACTGACTGATAATTATTAAGTAAAGGAGAAGGGGTAGGGTTAAAAAAAAAGCATAATGCTTTATCTTACTCCTTTTCAGACATGTTGTTCTTTCTTCTTTATTTATCTAAAACCTTAACAAAACAAACAAACAAAAAACAACTAGAAACAAAAACACCAAACAAAATAATACATATGTACACCAAACAACTGTATATGTCAAAGATAAACTAATACAACATATGTTTGTCAAAAATAAACAGTTTGAGAAGGAACAGAATGAAGAGTAGAGTTTATCCAGTCCTGACCCTTCCTTGCAAATTAGAGATTTAAAAAAAGAGAAAAAATCTATTTGTATAAATTTGTTGGGTTCGCATTATTATTATTAGATGTTTTTTATTTATTTATTTAATTAGATTGTTGTTGTTGTTTTGAATATTCTCGCTGGTTTTGTTTGTTTATTTATTTTCAGTTTACTTTTGTGTTATTTTTTGGATTGAAAAAAAAATGAAAATGAAATTAAATGAAACACAAGTTATTTCTTTGGAAGTAAATCTGTGCCATCTGATTTTGAATTTAAATTCCTAAAGCTGAAATTTTTTTTGCATCAAAATCAGACTTTTAATTTCAAAACCAATGAATATCAAGAATTATTTCTGACACTAATATTTTTCACAATGCTGAAATACACTGAATTTTTTACACTGAATTTTTTTTATGCTAATTTTTTTTTACAGTTTTTTAAGTGAATTTTTACTAAACAAATATTTTTGAGAGACTTTTTTTTTACATTGAATTTATTCCATCATTGTGAAAAAAATTAGTGTCAGAAATAAAAATGCATGCTTGAAATTCTATGGTTTTGAAATACAAAGTCAGATTTTGATGCAAAAAAAAAAAAATCAAAATCAGATGGCACAGATTGACTTCCATACTGTTACACACTGTCGTTCATCTTTAGTGAAGCAGCAGGTTTTAATACACGTTTACAACATCCTCGTTCCCGCTCACTCGTGCGACCCCGCATCTCAAATCACGCCCACCCCCGAGCTCCAGGCGGGACTTCCTCTGTGATGCGGATATTGAGGGTGAGCAGAAAGGGCTTGGTCGGGGTGTCACTGCTGGATGTGTGCGGCTCCGGACAGCAGAGAACCGGGCTGACGACGCCGCTGAAGCTGAACCTGAAGCCCCGTAAATGAAGCTCCTGCTCGGATATGCTGCCCTGAAAGCCCCGCGTGGATCCGCACTGCCAACATGTCTGATGTCAACAAGACGATTCAGAAATGGCACGCCAGTTTTAGGAAAGGGACGGACTTTGACTCGTGGGGACAATTAGTGGAAGCTATAGATGAGTACCAAATGTAAGTTTCCTTCAACATGTGTGTATGTGTGTACCTGTGTGTGTGTGTGTGTCCTCACAGAACAGCTGGTTTATCCTCAGGAGACACAGCTCTCCTCAAGTCTGCATGAAGCAAACGGAGTCTGCAGCAGCAGCAGCAGGAGAAGTTGAATCCTCCTGATCTGTCAGTCAGTCAGTCTATGAGCTCCCACAGCAGTAAACAAACCCTACCCACCCATGACGTGATGTGGCAGTGGCTGCAGAGGAGCTGCTGCTGCTGCTGCTGCTGTTGTGGGGATGATGATGATGATGATGATGCATGGATCCATCCACGGAGAGTCTGCTCAGGCAAACGGAAATACACGCAGTTTGTTTCATTCTGAGCAGAAATGAGAAAATATTCCTGGGAGTATTGAGAAATAGTCAGCCACACCCTCCTCTCATTGTTATGGGTGGGTTTGTTTCTCATCTGTGGACTGAGGAGGAATGTCTGCTGCTTTCACTCAAATACACGACTTATCAGATTTATCTAAACACCAACCTGCTTTATCAACTAATAATGTTTTTTTTAATTGCAGTTAAAATGTAAAAATGCACACCCTGAAAACTCTCTTTTGACCGCAAGGGGGCGCAGAGCTAAGTTTTACTGCAGAGCTCTAACGCACTCTGTGTTGTTGTTCCTCTTCAGTCTGGCCAGGCAGCTCCAAAAAGAGGTCCAGTCAACAACCAACTCATCAGACTTCACCGAGGAGCAGAAGGTAATCATTACACCAACAACATCTAACCTCTGGACTGAGAGCTAAAGTGTCCTGAATTCACCAACAAGTGCTTTTGTTTTTTGGCCTTTTGTCACAGAAAACTTTAGGAAAGATTGCAACATGCCTGGAGATGAGGAGTGTCAGTCTGCAGGTTTGCATTATTATTATTATTTTAAAAACTGCATGAAAAATATGACTGAAAAACACATGAAATATATATGTGGTTAAAAGAAAAAACTTACATGATGAAGAAGTGTCAGTTTTTACATTACTCAGTGTGATTGCACAGAAAAGAGAAGTAGTGTCCTACTGTAGAATCCTAGAGTCCTACTGTAGATACCTAGTGTCCTACTATGGAGTCCTAGTGTCTGACTATAAAATCCTAGTGTCCTATTATTGAGTCCTAGTGTCTGACTGGAGAGTCCTAGTTTCCTACTGTAGAATCCTAGAGTCCTACTGTGGATACCTAGTGTCCTACTATGGAGTCTTAGTGTCCTACGGTAGAGTGTTAGTGTCCTACTAAAGAGTCCTAGTGTCCTGTTGTAGTCCTAATGTCCTACTGTAGAGTCCTAGTGTCCTACTGTAGAGTCCTAGTGTCCTACTGTGAAATATCAAATTGTACAAAATAAAGACCAAAAAAGGTTCTTTACTGCATTCAGGCCACATAAAAAGAAACCAAGAAGGACTGCAACTGTGTGCCTTTCAAAATAAGATATTTTGCAAAATAAAAGACATTTTAAACATAAAATTTTTACTTTTATGACCAGCTGTTCGCAACCCATCCATAACGTGCCCGAGACCAACTTTTGGGTCGGGACCCACAAGTTGAGAACCACTGACTTATAACATTTATGCACAAAAGTACAATATAAGTGTCTGCACAGTCAAAGACTTAAATATAAATATACTTTTCTTTTTTTTTCACATTTTCAGCCCGTTTCTTCCTCCACATGTGCAGAATAATAATAAAGATATCATGTCTGTTTTCCTGTAGTGTACACAGTCGACAGAGGAGTTCAAGTTAGAGGAACTGAAGAAACTGGAAACCAGTAAGTGCTGTGACTGGTAATGGTCTGTAATCCCACTGTAGTGAGCTGATATTCTGGTTAAAACTTTCTTTTTTTGTCATCAGTAATCCAGAATATTCTCACCTACAACAAAGAGTTCCCCTTCGCTGTTCAGCCCGTGCCCTTAAGGTAAAGATTCACTTCGACACATCCTCTCTAACAGTTTTAAAGCTCAGTGTGATCTTGTTTGGCGTTCGTGTTTATGGACAAACTTTGGATGAATGTGTGTGAGACAAGATCATCTCAAATCTAACCGTCTGTACAGAAATAATGAGAGTTCTGGTTCCTCTCTCTCAGGAAAATCCTGGCTCCAGGTGAAGAGGAGAACCTGGAGCTGGAGGAAGAGGAGGATGCTGCAGCAGGAGCAGGATCTACAGAAGCGTTTCCTCCTCGAGCTCCTGGTGAAGTTTACAGTTTTTTTAATCTCAGATTCAGAGTTACAGGCTGTTGGATTTGTCGTGTCCTCTTGTCGTTTTGTTGTTTTTTTTGGAGGGCTGTTTGACTGTTTGTCCTTTCTCACTCTCTCTGTCGGTGCTGTGCATGGCTTCATCGCTCATTCCTGCCTGCTTCATTCACAGCTTCACAAGGTACGGCTTTCTCATCCAGCAGCATCTCAGTGTGTTCTCTGCTGCATGACAGGAAAACTCAGATTTACAGACGTGAACATTTTAGCTGCAAACTCAGACTTTGACTAAAACAGAAGTTTTCCTGAGGGATCATTCAAGTTTAGGGTCTTGATACTTCTTAAAATGTCATCTGCTATTGGTTAATGTTTGACCCATCGTTATGGTGATTTAAAACCTTTGTCCTCTGCAGGTACTTTGTTGCCACGGTTACCCTCAGAGCCTGGGATGACACTTCTTACACTAAAGATAGAGAAGATCGGTTTGAAGGACGCGGGGCAGTGCATCGATCCGTACATGACCATCAGTGTCAAAGGTAACGCTCCGGTCACCGGCGTACTGACAGGTGAAAGAATGTTACCTGTAAAATCTCTGAGGTGAAACGATCATGTGACCCACAGCCGTAACACAGTGATGAGTCCACATCAGGCCCAGCCCTCTTTCTGCTGAGGTCTCTGATCAACCTGCAAAAAAACTGTTTTAAAAACACAAAACTTGAAGACCAGCAGCTCTTCACTCATACAGACACAGATAGATGTGTAGTTATAGATGTAACATGTGTATACTGTAGGTTTGTACTGATATACAAGTGTGATCTGTGTCTGTCCTGCAGATGTGAACGGTGTAGACTTGAACCCGGTGCAGGACACCCCTGTGGCCTCCAGGAAAGAAGACACTTACATTCACTTCTCTGTAGACGTGGAGATCCAGAGACACGTGGAGAGGTTACCCAAAGGTAACACCAAACAAGAGTCCTACTGAAAAGTCTTAGAGTCCTACTATAGAGTCCTAGTGTCCTACTGTAGGGTCATAGTGTCCTACTGTAGAGTCCTAGTGTCGTACTGTGGAGTCCTAGTGTCCTTCTAAAGAGTCCCAGTGTCCTACTCTAGGGTCTTAGAGTCCTACTATAGAGTCCTAAAATCCTACTGTAGAGTCCTAGAGTCCTAGTGTAGAGTCCTAGTGTCCTACTGTAGTATCGTAGAGTCCTACTATAGAGTCCTAGTGTCCTACTGTAGAGTCCTAGAATCCTACTGTAGAGTCCTAGTGTCAAACTGTAGAGTCCTAGTGTCCTAATCTGGAGTCCTAGAGTCCGACTATAGAGGCCTAGAATCCTACTAAAGAGTCTCAGTGTCCTACTGTAGAGTCCATGTGTCCTACTATAGACTCCTAGTGTCCTACTACAGAGTCCTAGTGTCCTACTGTAGAGTCCTTAAGTCCTACTGTAGAATCATAGAGTCCTACTGTAGAGTTCTAGTGTCCTACTATAGTTTAGAACCCTAGAGTCCTACTATAGAGTCCTTGTGTCCTACTATAGAATCCTAGAGTCCTACTGTAGATTCCTACCTCCCGCTGTAGTGACCTAGAGTCCAACTGTACAGTCCTAGTGTCCTACTAAAGAGTCCTAGAATCCTACTGTAGAGTCCTTGTGTCCTACTATAGAGTCTTAGAGTCCTACTGTAGAGTTCCAGTGTCCTACTGTAGAGTCCTAGAATCCTACTGTAGAGTCCTTGTGTCCTACTATAGAGTCTTAGAGTCCTACTGCAGAGTCCTACATTACAGTCCTCGTTGAGGAAAATGAAGGGGCTGCAGGCCGATTCCCACAGAAACTGAAATGTTGTTAGTGATGAGCGAACACATTTTTGTGGGATTTGTTGAGGGTCAGAAAATCTCGGATGAGTCCGATCTTATCCTCTAAGTCAGTTTGAATCTCCTGCTGAATATTTTTCAGAATCGAGACCCGAGTGAAGCTTCAGAGCGATAACAGCTCAGGTGGAGTTGACCTGTTTTCTCATGTTTTCACAGGAGCAGCTATCTTCTTTGAATTCAAACACTACAAACCCAAAAAAAGGTTCACCAGCACAAAGTGTTTCGCCTTCATGGAAATGGACGAGATCAAACCGGGTCCGATTGTTATTGAACTGTAAGTCCACCAAAAAGTTCCTGTTTGATTCATTTATTACAGGGAACCTTTTTTTTTTAAAGGTAAATAATGAAAATCTGTCGTTTCAGGTACAAAAAGCCGACAGACTTCAAGAGGAAGAAACTGCAGCTCTTAACAAAGAAACAACTCTATCTTCATCTCCATCAGACGTTACACAAGGACAGCTAAGTCTCAGCACGCCACCGACAGTTTTATACCTTCGTCTGACGTCCACGTGTCGAACTGTGGGAACGCCTCGTCATCACATCCAGCAATACTAAAGCAACCTCATGGTCTCCGTTTCTGAGGGAACCGGGCCGGACGGTTTCAGCTCTGCATTTTAATCTTCTTCTCGTCTGACATGTTTACTTACCCCCTCTGTTAATAATCATGATAATACGCTGTTTTAAAGCTTCTCAGAGCTTAAATACTAAAATAGATTGATGTTGAAACAGTCACTCCGCATCAGCCTGCAGCTTCCTGACGACAAACTGTGAGTTAACGCTGGTACTGAAACGTCGTCCACATGTAACACGATTCGTTAACGCTCTTTAACTTTAAATTCAAAGTGACAGTGAAACATTCGAAGACTGACGTCGACAGGAAAGAGTGAAATAAACACTCACCTGGATGAAGGAGGATTCCAAATTTACAGCAGCGATCCTCACGTTACTTTGCAGATCAGTTAAATTTCTGATTTAAATCTCCTCTCTCTGGTTTTTGAAGGATCATCTCACGCTTCAGTTTCAAATCAAGCGAATAAAAACTTTGACTGAATTTTCCTCCATTTTTTCCTCCACCCTTTTTTTGAAGCTGCATGTTGTTTTTCTTTTTTGCTCTCTTTCCTTCGACATCACATTGTAATATTTGTTTTTCAGATTTTTATTTTTGTAACGTCACACTATTCAGGACTGTAAATTAACTGTAAATTACACTAACGGATGAATATACAGTAACTGTGTGTTTGAATGACTCGGACCTGTGGAGCGTTTTGGTTTTGTTGACACTGAGGGGAACAAACATTTACAATGCTTTAATTTCTAATAAACTACAATTTAAGCTGTTTGCTTCATTATTTCATGTGGAGGATAAAAGCTGATTTATGAGGAGAAGGTGAGAGAAATTAAGAGTTTAAATGAATAAATACATTAGTGTGAGATTTACTTAGAGCTATTTTATTTTCTGGTGATGTGTTTTAACACTTCAGTGTCAGGATACATCACCAGAAATAAAGGATTTTTTCTTATTGAATTTAACTCTAGAACACCATCGCCTGGTGATTTTCACCCAAACAGGTTTACGTGATTTTCATGATGTTGCTTTTGTCTGAGCATCATGGGTCCCTGGGTAGCTTCAGCATCGCCATTGACATCTTTGAAATGTCCTACTGTTGAGTCCAAGAGTCCTACTGTAAAGTCAAAGAGTCCTGCTATAGAGTCCTAGTGTCATATAATAGAGTCCTACCATAGAGTCCTAGTGTCATATAATATAGTCCTAATGTCCTACTGTAGATCCTAGTGTCCGAGTATTGAGTCCTAGTGTCCTACCATATAGTCCTAGAGTCCTACAATAGAGTCCTAGTGTCCTACCATATAGTTCCAGTGTCCTACTATAGAGTCCTAGTGTCCAACTGGAGAGTCCTAGTGTCCTACTGTACAGTCCTAGTATCCTACTGTAGAATCCTAGTATCTTACTGTAGAGTCCTAGTGTCCTACTTTAGACTCCTAGTGTCCTAGTATTGAGTCCTGGTGTCCTACTGTAGAGTCCTCAAGTCCTACTTTAGAGTCCTAGTATTGAGTCATAGTGTCCAACTGTAGAATCCTAGTGTCCTACTTTAGAGTCCTAGTGTCCTACTGTAGAGTCCTAGTATTGAGTCCTAGTGTCCTACTGTAGAGTCCTAGAGTCCTACTGTAGAGTCCTAGAGTCCTTCTGTAGAGTCCTAGAGTCCTACTGTAGAGTCCTAGAGTCCTTCTGTAGAGTCCTAGAGTCCTGCTGTAGAGTCCTAGAGTCCTACTGTAGAGTCCTAGAGTCCTTCTGTAGAGTCCTAGTGTCCTACAGTAGAGTCCTAGTGTCCTACTGTAGAGTCCTAGTGTCCTACTTTAGAGTCCTAGAGTCCTACAGTAGAGTCCTAGAGTCATATTTGTTTCTCTGATCCCTCCTCTTCTTTTTCCTACAGGCACGTGTTCACAGGTTTATTGTTAGATTGTGATTGGTCGTGAGGAAACAGCGAAACAAGTATGATGAAGAGTTGGACTGATTTTGACTCTGGGCGGAGCTACAATCACAGCTGACACTGAAGGCTGGTTCTCCATAATAACCTCTAAAGTGTCCTCAAAGACCGAGAAGATCTAGACAGTGACCGCTGTCATCCTGTTTCTGCTTCATAATGTCTATAATTTTCTCTATTACAGTGAGTTTAAAGGAACGGCTGCTGTAAAGTACTTCCACAACGCTGTCAGCTTTTACATTCTTTATTAATAAAAGTTCTACCAATATAGTAAAATAAGTTATACATCTGGCCATCAAATTACACATTTGCTTTACAGTTGGCTCTGAAGCAACAGCTTTGGGGTGATGATGATGGAAATGATGAAATGCTAAAAGCTAAAACTTTCCTCCTTTTTTTAAAATAATTTCCACAGGAAATGACGTTAAAAAATTTGCCCCTTAAAAATCAAAGCGATATTTTTTTGTGAAGATCAACAAAGATGAAGTTCCTCCGGCGTAAACTGAATTATTATCATTATTATCATTATTATTGCACAAGAAGAAGCTGTTTATAAAAGTGGTCACCCTTCAAACTTGCAGATTTCAGACACAGAATGATTGATGCTGCTTTAATTTCAGGACCGTGGTTTTTTCTTTAAGACAAACACCTTTGCAGTTTTTTTTATTAAGTATGAAAATAATCATGACCTATGCTTGGACTGGATCGGGGTTGGAAATGGGTTCGGGGGAAGTTCAAGTCCTCTGCCAGAGCTGCTGGCACGTTTAAGGCTTGACCATTGCTGGCCTCCCTGAGTCCTGAGGGGCCTCCTGCTTCACATTCGGACCCTGACCGGGGCCGCTGTGAGCACCCGCTGAGTTCTGGAGGGCATCGGGCGGAGCCTGACCGTAAGGATCTCCGTGATGTGCAGGGTGGGGAGGGATACCTGTAGGCAGGTTCATTGGGGGGCCGTTGGGGTCACGTGGGCCTGGGAAGCGCATGTCAGGAGGGATGGGTGGACGGGGCCCCATCGGTCCCCGGATACCTGGAACAACAGTTGGAAAGAAACACGAGTGAGACGCCAGAAAACATCCAAGTCCACGAAAAAGATCAAAACTCTCCGGTCTGAAGGTACGGGTCTACATCTACAGTTTTCAGGAAATAGTCAGGTCATTATTATCATTATTATTATTAATATCATTATTTAACTATTATTATCATTATTATTATCATCTGCTTCTTCTTCTTCTTCTTATCATTATTATTATTGATCTGATTTTATGGTGACACCCAGATGAGGGAGAAACCGGATCACTGTCTTCTGCAGAGTCACACATAAAGGTCCAAACATAAACTAAGTCTTTAAGTCCCAGAGAGGACGACCCACCGTGTGGCGGAGGCATCGGTCCAAAGTGATGAGGAGGAGGACGGAACTGTGGCGGTGGAGGACCCCGAGGATCCATGACGAGTCCAGGACCTGGCCTGGGAAGGAACACATGTCCATTGGTGGGCCGGGGTCCATACTCCCCTCCCATTGGTCCAGGCATAGGCATGCCCGGGTGCCCATTGGCTGGTAGTGGAGGCCCATGAAGAGGAGGTACATTAGGAGGGGGAGGACCATGAGGTCCTGGTGGGAGGTGGTAGGGACCTGGTCGTGGAGGTCTGTAAGGACCAGGAGGAGGGAGACGGCTGTGGGGTCCAGGAGGGAGGATCTGGTCATGCGGTCCAGGGCCAGGTGGGGGTCCTTGGACCATGGGACCTGGTGAGTCCCTGATTGGAGATACTAGGAAGGATCCAGGACCCTGAAAACAGACAGACAGTCAGAACAAGTCCTGGACCGGGTTTTTAGACTCAACCGGGTCAGTGAGAAGAAGGACTCTGATTTTAGACGTGCATCAAAAAAATCCACAAATTTCACCGCCAACAGGAAGTGCATTTAGTGACCAATCACATGACCAGGAACCACACACCAGGATGATTAGGATGAGGACTAAACCGGACCCTTGTGATCCTCAGACCGTCACAGATCCAGATTTGATCAAACACACATTAGAGTCTAAGTTCTGGTTCTGTGACCCGGGTCCTCCATGCTGTGAGAAAAAACCTGTCTCCACACTCAGCCCACAAAGTTTAGTCAGCCCCCGTGAAACTAAAGGTCTCCCCTGATCCAGATCCTGGCACACACCGTCACACCTGGACCTGAACCAGATCTATACTCACAGGCTCTGGACTGTCTTTGGAGTCCTCAGCCTTAGTCTCGGCTTTTATCTGAGGATCTACTGCCTGTGTCTGTTTTCAAGTAAGAGCAGACACGGAGGGAATGAAGGCGGGAGTTCAGGGAGGAGGTGAAAACCTGACTCTGATCAGATTTAAAGACTTACAGATCCGTCCATGTTGGCGGGCGAGGAGCTGCGAGGGCCCATCATGTCTGAAAGAGAAGAAACAGAGGAGTTGGACCAAAGTTTCAGTGAAGGAGACCTCCTGATATGACAAAGACTCATGAAGACGTACCCATCCCAGAGATGTGTTTGTTCTCAGCGTAACGACCGTGAGGGTCTGATGGAGGTCGAGGACCTACGAGAGGAAGAGAGTGGACATGATGAGGAAGGAGATCCTTCAAGACTGGACCTTCAACTTTCAGGAGGAACCAAGTCATAATGAGGACAAAGACCGGTCCACTTAGTCTGTGTTCAGACTGCAGGTCAGTTCTGATGTTTTAACCATCTGTGACTCATGTCTGATTTTCTCATCTAAGTGTGAACAGGTCAATTCTGATTGGTTCTGATCCGTTCAGCCGATCCTTTACGTCATCAATATGCGACAAACGTCACCGTTGTTCAACACAAACAGGCACGGAGAGCGATATGTGCTTTGTGAGCATGCGGGTCACTTCACGGACACATGTGAACGAACGCACAAAAAGATCGGATAAATAAAAAATCTGAATTGTTCATCAGAACCTGCAGCGTGAACGTAGACTTGGTCTTTGAGGACAACAGTGGAGGATGAAAGTGTCGTGGATCACTTTAAAACCCCAAAAAACGTCTTTTTATGAAGTTTTTAGGACAAAACAGTTTAATAGGATCATGAATATAATTTAATTATCGATCTTTCAATGACTTTTTTAGATTTATAATCGATTTATAATAATCATAATAATATTTTAATGTTAGCTGATGTGTTTTTAGGGGCTTTAAGAAACAAAGAGGATTCAACAGGAACACAAGTCTGTCAAAATAAGAACATTTCTGATCAAACAAACAAGAACATGACAAAGAAGCTTCAAACAGAAGAACCAAGAAGAAGATGAAGGACGTGAGAAACACTGAGGAGAAACAAAAGGAGGAAAACTGAAGGAGAAGGTGGAGGAGCTGAAGGAGGAGTGGAGTCAGGAGGAAAAGGATCACAGGAGGTCCGACCGGAAAACCACCGGGACTCACCGTACGGGTCAATTCTTCGCCCCACGGGGGCAGAGGGGGGGCGCCTGGGACCCTCTATCATTATGGGAGGAGAGGGAGCACCCCCACTCACAGGGGAGGGCCCGTATGAGTCACCTGTCATGATCAAACCATCCGTTTACCAAAGGAGCAGAAAGAAACAGCAAAAACCCAACATCTATGCAGAGAGGAAGTCCTGGTTCAGGTTCAGAGAGAGTCCGCATCAACAAACACAAACACACACAAACACACAACTACACAACTGCCCACAAATCTAACACAACAGAGACATGCAGGACTTCATCAGAGGAAACCCTCCTCTGAAGGTCCAGAACATCAGCGAACATCTGAGAGAGCTCCTTACCTTGGCGAGGACCTGAAGGCTGACCCGAGTTCGGTCTGAAGAGAGGAGCGCGGCGCTCGTTCAGCTGGGAGGTCAGCACGGCGAGTCTGCGAGAAGGTCAGAAAAACATCAGCTGAACGTGAACGAAGGTTTTTATCTCTGATTTATTAAAGTCGGACGATGTGGAGTTCCTCTTTCTAAGAACTAAACGAACAAACAAACTCAAAAACATCTGCTCAGCGTTTCCTTCACTCACTTTTCTTTGAGCTTCGATGATTCCAGCTTCTCCTGATTCAGCGCTCGCTCTGCGTTTCGAGCGTTCACCTGCAAAGATGAAAACAGAGAAATTTAACCCCTCTGCTCATGACCGCCATCTTTAAAAACCACGTGATGATAAGACGTACCCAGTTGGAGTGAGTTTTGTTCTCTTGTTCTTTTATCTGAAACAGACGGAGCAGATATAAAATCAGTTAAAACTCAAGGTTTCCTCAGGATCAGAGACTGTACCGGCTCACAGAGTCCCATCAGGTCTACCTGTTCTTTGTAGACCACCTCCGTCTTCTTCATCTGCTCCTCCATCTCATTGATGCGTTGCCGTAAGACTTTGACCTGCTCCTCCGCCTCCACGGCTTTCCCTCCCACCTCGGACAGCATGCTCTCTTTGCTGCGGCGCTCCAGCTCCTCCTTCGTGAGTTTCCTGTCAGACCAGACGAACGTTTGACGAGCTGCAGACTGAACAGAACTTTACAAACTCCTAAAAAGAGCGTCACTCACTGCTGCAGAGCGTTCTCCTTCTGCTGATACATCTCCACCATGATCTCGTTCTTCTGCTGGAGGATCTTGAACTGGTTCTCCACGTGGCTCTTCTCACTTTTAAGCGTTGCGATGGAATGCTCCAGCTCTTGGTGTTGCTCTGTCGTCAGAAACATTTATTCAGTTTTTCCTTCCTGACTTTTTAAAAAACTCTTTTTTCTGAATCCATCAGGACTGAAAATACCTTCCAGTGATTTCCTGCTCTTCTCTTCGTTCATCAGTTTGGACATGAAGCGATCTCGCTCTTCTTCCACGACAGCCAGAGTTGTCTGGACCTAAAAGATATTTATGTTAATAAGGAGAGATCGTCTAGATTCAGTATTTGTGTTTTAAACGCCATCTGGTCACGTCATACCCGAGAAACGTCCATCATCTGTTTGATCCGGTTCTTTATGGCGGTCTTCTTATCTGGAAAAGTTCATAAACGACCCGTTAAGAAGCATCTATGAAGACTACATCTATGCATCATGTGGTTGTTTTTTTAATCTCTACACTGAAGAAAGTGTCGAACAAACCAGGAGCGACTTCTCCGTTGGCTAATACTTTGGCGTCTCCTTTCTGGGAGTCGCAGGCGTCCAGGTCTGCCAGGAGTTCAGAGAGGACCTGCAGGGAGACCAGGTCAGAACCTGATTCACTTTAAGAAGAAACATCTGAAGCTGAAAAGAGAATCAGAGAGAAAGTCCAGACCTCCACGTTGTGATCTTTCAGCACCACCGAGTCCTCCAGCTCCTTCTGGGACTTCTGGTAGACTTTGATCTGCTCATTCAGCTCCTTGTGTTTCTCCTCCCAGGACTTGATGTTCGCTTTGAGCTGCGAGAAGAGGAGAAACCGTCAGAGGAACAGAATCTAACCTTCGATCTAGACGTTTTAGAGATCATAAGAACATCCAAACACGCAGAGAAGTCTTCTCACTGTTTTGTTTTCTTCTTTCAGTGCAGTAAAATCCTTCTCCAGAGATTTCTGATGAGCGTTTCGAGCATCTTCACGGATTTTAGCCTCATCGAGGAGCACGGTGGTCTGCAGGAAACACATCAAGTTAATCTAGGAGGTTATAGGGAAGAACAGACTCTGTACAAGCGGTACAATCGAGGACCGGTACCTTAGCGAGAACGTCCTGAATCTTCTTCCTGCTGAGCTGCAGCTTCTCGTTCGCCTTCTCTAATTTTTCGATCTGTTGAAGAAACAGTTTCGTTTCCTGAATCTGAGATGTGAACCAAAGTCGGAGGAGATAAAGAGGAGAAATATCGACACTCACTCGTGTTCCGTTCCGCTGAGAGTTCTCCTGCTCCTCTTGGAGAAGTTTGGCGTATTTGTTCTTTTCTTCGGCGATTCGTTCATTTCGTTTTTCAGCCTCCAGAACTTTACTCTGAAAGACAAAGACGGTAAGATGGAGCAGCTTCTTCCTTTCACAAATAAATACAAACACTGTAATCTTTGTTCCTCACCTCCAGGTCTTGGACTCTCTTCACAGAACAGCTGACCTCCTCCTTGGACTGTTTTTGTTTCTCCTTCAGCCGTTCAGTCTGAAAAATCAAAAATCAAACATTAGAGACGGTTTCAGAGTGGCGTGTCGGAGTTTTGTTGACGTTTCTGTCGCTGCTCACCTGTTTTTGGAGCTCGGACATTCTGGTGAGGGCATCCTCCTTCTCTTTTCTGAACGCCTGAATTTGCTCTGAAAGCTTTTTTTCATCCACTGTACACAAAAATAATGACACGAGTATTACACAGCGAGTCACATTTGACATTTCTGTGTTTTAAAAAGGTGAGAATCTGAGCAGACTTACCCAGAAACTGTTTCTTCTTCACCTGAAAAGGTTTAGAAACGTGATCAGTAAACGTCGTGTTGATCCGAGCAGACTGGAGTTATTCGGTCTAAGCTTTTAAGCTAACATAATAACTTATTATTCATGCAGCCAGGAGAGAAGCTGTAGTAAAAGACTTACAGCCAACACGGTCCTCCAAAAGAAGAGGGTAAAGGTCAGCACTCCAATCACAGCCGTGGTGACAACAGCCTGCCAAGGACAGCCGTACAAAGTTTCTCCAGGTTTCCAGTCATCAGGCAGCAGAGAAATCATCTAAAGAAATAAAGAGTAAAAGAGCGTTAAAGAAGAGCGATCGTGTACAGACTGAGGACCATCGAGTTTGTTAAATAACACCAACTAAGAGGGGTTTCTCCTGACATCCATGAACAGTAACAGAGTGATTATCAGTCATGACAAAAGGCCGGTTAATAATTATCAAAGAGGAACAATCAGGGAGGTTCATCCTCACAGCAGAGCCCCTCCCCCGATTTACAGACCACCAACAATGAAGAGAGACTGTAACTCTGTGCTACGGAGGCCGAGAACGGCCACTGCTGCAGATAAAAAAGAATGAAAAAAAAGGAAGTCACAGTGGAAGTTACTGATGCAAAAAAAAAGAAATGGTGCAGATCCGAAAAAGCCACAATGGAAGTTAACGACACAAAAAAAAAAAATCGGTGATGCAAAAAAAAGTGACTTACTGTAAAAATAAAAGGATGCAAATAAAAAAGCCACAACAGAAGTGAGCTGCCGGGGACCAATAATGTTGATGCACCGGTGTTTTACGATCTAGGCACAGAAAAAACGGTGAGAAGACGAACAAAGAAGTTCGTGGAAAGGTTATTTTTTATACCCCTCGTTTTTTTTTCAATCTTGGTGGCTGTTTTTATTTGCATCCTTTTGTTTTTGCAGCAAGTAACTTTTTTTTTTTTTTTTTTTGGAATCACCACTTTTTTTGCATCATTAACTTCTGTTGTGGCTTTTTCTAAAAATCTGCACTGTATTTTTAATTTACAGCAGGCTTCGGTTCCTTAATTTTTTCACCGGTAACTTCCGTTGTAACTTCTTTTTTTTGCATTCTTTTTTATTTTCAGCAGTGGCGGTTCTTGGCCACCGTACTAACTGTATGCAGTCACCTTCAGCTTTTATAATGTCCCAAAAAACCACATAAAACAGACGTACAGATAAAATAAAGTCGGTTATTTCTCAATCTTCCTGTAATCAAACATCCGTTGTTGAACATGCAGCATGAAAACATGAGAGGAAATGACATAATACTGATTTATTTAACGGTCTTTTACAGTCTGAGGTGTGACACCACAGCTGTGTGTACCTCTCATATCAACAGTCAGACTGAACTGTAATCTAACCGCTTCAGAAATGCGCAGTCATACTGAGAGGTGACCTTTGACCTGACCATGAGGCCGTTCAGTCAGGAGCTCACAGGTACGTCTGCAAATCTAATGCAGCTCTGGTCTAAAATTACACTGACTGGTTCAGGTCCAGAACACAAAACTGATCTCCTCGTGAAGTACAGACGGATCAACAGAGCGCTGTTCGAGGACAGGACTCCGAGTCAGAACCAGAACATGGAGAAGCAGTTTTCACCTGAAACAGACTCGCTAAATAAAACACAGGTCGGCTCAAACTCTCCGCTCTCTCCCATTTAATGATTTTTAAACATTTCCTTTAAAATGACAAAAATTCTGACACAACTTCACCAACTTCTAAGATGATTGGAGAAAAAGAATCTGAAAGAAAACAGCTTAAGTGACCGACACGTTTCATCAGGGTCGTCAGAAATGTGTTAAAAACAACACTTAGATACGGTAGGTCTGATTCAATCTTCCCATATTTCAAACCTTCCCTATCTAAGTGTTGTTTTTAATACATTTCTGATGACTCTGACGAAGACCACAAGCTTAATCCTTCAGGCTACATGAGATCATGACAACACTGTGTGTGTTTCTTGGTTTTTAAAGGCGTGTGGAAATTATTAATGCAGCACGAGGAAGAGGCTTTTAGAAAAGACATAAACAGAGAAGAGCTTTTAAAGTAAATGTTTAGAGGCCAAAAGAGCTCCAGAAACACTTGTAGTTCAGGAAAACAGCTTTATTAGACCGACATGTTTCATCAGAGTCATCAGAAATGTATTAAAAACACTTGTGGTGTGTCCCAAATCGCATACTTCCATACTAAATACTTAACAGTTTTCAAATATAGTATGTTTAGTATAGAAAACATGCGATTCGGGAAATTGCTTACTGCCTCGCGGCGCACTCACTGGAAATGACAACGCGATTTCTTTCTTCCACTGACACCACAGCCGTCCGCAGCCATTCTTACCGATGAAATGAGTTTGGGCGAGTGTCCACAGTCGGATACTCAAAATCTTGACCGATTTGAGTACGTCATCCGGGTACTTTTGCAACCTCAAATTTCGCATACTATCCATACTTTTTTTCCATTTTTCGTGAGTATACTCAAAATTTTAAGTATTTAGTATGGAAGTATGCGATTTGGGACACACAAATAGACAAGGTAGGTTTGAAATTGGGGAAGATTGAATCAGCCAAACTGATGTTCCACTAATCTAAGTGTTGTTTTTAATACATCTCTGATGACTCTGATGAAACGCGTCGGTCTAATAAAGCTGTTTTCCTGAACTACAAGTGTTTCTGAAGCTCTTTTGACCTCTAAACATTTCCTTTAAAAGCTCTTCTCTGTTTCTGTCTTTTATAAAAACCTTCACCTCGTGCTGCGTTAATAATTTCCTCACATCTTTCCTTTAAAATCTAAGAAACACACACAGTGTTGTCATGATCTCATGTAGCCTGAGGGATTAAGATGCTTCAGCAGTTTTTCCTCCATGAAAGCACAAAGACCGGACTCTGTGACCCTGCTGGATCTGAATGGATTAAAATGACCCTCTTTATAAACACCTGTGTTTACAGTCTGACACACCTGTAACAAAAACAGCTGAGATAACCTGAGGAGGAGAGGAGAAGTTGAGGTGAGTTTGATCCACGTCAGCAGATATCAGACACTAACTTCAGGTTTCACTCACATGTTGAAGCTGCTTTAGAAAAAACACGTAAACATGATCGGGCTCCATGAGAGGTCTGGGTCCGAGATCAGTCTCCATGAAGGTCTTTGACAGAACAAGTGCGGAACTAGCTTAAAAAAGGGACTTTGACAGATATTAGCCTGTTAGCTCCTAACCGTTAGCTTCAGCCTTATCTCTGTGTATACTGTTAGCCTTTAGCTAGCGTTAAAAATTAAACTATAAACACGTTAAAACACCGACATTGTCCTGTTTAACGGACGGGTTTCAGGTTTAATCTTCGGTTTCGATGATTTGGACTGAGCCGTCGAGCCGCCTTCACGGATCAGCGGATCATCAGAGGAGACGTTAGCCGAGCTGGAGCTTCAAACCCCGGACAAACAAAGACGGTTAGATCCTTGGAGAACTTGGAGAAGGAGAGTCCATGTTACGGTTTTAGTCCACCACCTCATGTCAGAATAAGGCCGAACGGTTCTGAGAGCAGACAGGTCGACACCGGCTGATCTGAACTTCAGTCTAACCGTCAACAAGACGGAGGGAGGGCCGTGCTGCGTTTAGGGGAACTACGGAATCTGGAGTTATCAATGATTACAAGGTCCCCTTTAAAAAACTGCTAACTCAAATAAGCTTAAACCGTGAATTCAACAGTCTTAGAACTGCCTTTAAAGGGATATTCCGACGTAAAATTAATTAAGGGTCAAACACACCAAGTTAAGACACCCCCTTGAGAGATGAATGTTGTCGACCGCTTGCTTCTCTAGTTATACCAACTTTAGTAATGACCGCAGGATAGCAATACACAGACTCAACCAAAACGCCACTATATAGCCACAACCGCATGCTCAGAACAGCACTTAGCTTCATCAACAGTATTGTTTTTACCATTACGGACTACAGCGGGGTGCCGCAGCTCAAGAAAGAACATTTTTTCATGGAAATACAATCAGACCGAGACGCTAAGGCAGAAGAACTACCGCGTCTACAGAGCAAAATGATTAATATGATGATTATTACTTTGAGGAAATGATAAAGAAATGATCATAAATGTTCTTCCTTGAGCTGTGTCACCCCACTGTAGTCCATAATGGACTAGCCTGAGGTCTTGCTACAAACAAGCGTCTGCTGGAAGAGAGTAGGTGAGTTGTGTTTAGTCTCTTTGCTAAAGAAATGAGTCAAAGTTAAAAAGATGTTTGGTGTCTAGTACTATGTCTGTGACCCTATATGTCCTGTTGATGAAGTTAGGTGCTGTTCTGAGCATTATTTGTGGCTATAGAGTGGTGTTTTGGTTGAGAGCGTGACTCTCTGTATTTCTATCCTGCGGTCGTTACTAAAGTTGGTATAACTAGAGAAGCAAGCGGTCGGCAACATTCATCTCTGGTGTTACGGTGTGTTCGACCCTGAATTAATTTTACACCGGAATATTCCTTTAATGTTGAGTGTTATTCATGTTATTTTTTAAAGAGTAACGACAGAGGAAAAGAAATGTTAGTCAGACATGAAGAGTATGTTTATTGTTACTTTCAACTTAAAGGGATTGTAAGGAGTTTGTAGCTGCTATGAGAGGCTGATATGAACAGAAATACCTCTCCTGGGTGGGAAAGAGAACTGAGCTATTGTAACCTACTAAAAGTACAGAAACTTTGATGACATATTTCTGCATTATAAGTAAAAATGACAAAAATAAAAAGTATTTCCAATTAAATTTACTTTAGGAGGAGGGAGGGAGTTTTAGTGGTCCACAGCCCAGTGGTTTGGAGGTACTGATTAAGGTGGAAGTGTAATTCTGAGAGAAATCCAAAACACTTGTATAGGTTGTATAAAAGGATTTCTATAACACACACAGTTCAGGTAACAAGAAGAATTTAGTTCATCAAAAGAGCTCTGATTTTAGAGACTTACCACTGTGGTCCACTCGGTAAATTTTGTCGTCATCATTGAAAGGATGCAGCTCATGTAAACAACTCCTGTTGACATTAATCCCTCTTCATCATTAACTTTGGAAACTGGGTCCACAGAGTCTAAAGATCCTAGAAGAAGAAAAAATACCAAATTAGTGCATTTTCATGTTTTATCACAGTTAGTTAAGACTGAAGCAAACATGATCTGTGATCCTGAGTTTAAGAAGCTTCTGAGCACTGAGCGCTGATGAATAGAAAATGTCAGTATTATAGGAGTATTAGGGATATAGAGTATCATACTGGGATATAACAGAGATTATACTACTATATGGTATGACAGTGATCAGTGATGTTTTATTTATTGATCATTACCTGAGGAACCAGAGGACGAATGCTCGACCTCCACACCGAGGCCCATGTCCAGAGGGTTTTCCAGGGTGTCTTGAGGAACTCTCTGCATTTCTTCTGAGACGCTGAAGCTCGGCTTGTTGTCTTTGTTCTTATTAAAATGTCCGCTGTCTTCCTGCATGTTGACGTCTGGTCCACTGTGTATGTCATCCCAAACCACCTGATCTTCTGTGGTGTCCGCCGGCCTTTTCACATGGTCCGTATCTGTGAGGTTATCGTCACTTTCAGCCACAGAGACATTGACCATGTTGTCTTCTTCAGTCATGTCGTGTTTGTGAAGTTCATCTACAACAAAAAAGATGAAAAACAGAAATGAAAACAGGTTCTTTGTTTAACAATAAATATCACAATATTCACTTCAGATCCCTATTATGTTATAAGATTGATCCTGTTAAAATAACTCGACTCTCATCTCAGCGGCGCCTGGAGAACAGCTGTTCCTGAAAAAGTCTGGACTCATTTTCTCTGCGCACCAGATGCTGATGGTCCGATCTCAGCAGCTAAAACAGGGTCAGAATTCTGCAGCTGTCAGAACCACAAACTCCAAACTCACCTTTGTCAGTATCTGCTGTTTTTTCAACCGCCAAAGGCGTGCTGTCGCTGGCTGTCGAATACTTCTGTCGTAAACTGAATGCCAGCTCCTGGAAATCGTCCAGTATTTCCGTCTCTTCATCCAGACCGCTCGTGTCCGCGTGCTCGTCGTTGTGTTTCGTGTTGCGGCTGTCCAGCATCTTCTCGATCTCGTCCAGGATTGTGTTCTCAGAAGCTTCCAGGATGCCCTCCAGCGTGCTCTCGATCTCTTGAGTGTTACTCTGAAGTGAAAGACGAGTCGCCTTCATTTCTGTGTCCATGTCGGAGAACATGGCCTCCACTTTGAAGAGATTCTTCAGCCCCAGAAGCTTCAGGACCTTCTCCATTTTCTCCTCTGCCAAGTGTTGGCGGAGAAGAGTGAGTCTCATGATGCTGTCGCTGTACTCCGGCTCCGGGGAAGAACGTGCGTTTTCATCTTCAAGAAGTTCCTCGTCCAACTCCAACACCTCTGGATCGTCCTCTTCTTCTTTCATATCTGGGAAAAGTTCCTCTAAACCCTCTTCATCATCATCATCATCATCCTCCTCTGGTTCTGATAACCGTGGATGGATGTCTTCACTCTCTGTCATCACTCGTTTATACGTCTCATTAGGGAGGCTGTCAGCCACCATCTTCTCTTTGTCGTGGACTTCTGAAGTCTTTGATGGCTTTTCTTGACTCTTTTCAGTTTTAGGAATGTCAGATTCTTGACTGACAACCTTGACCTTCAAGTCCTCCTCCTTCTTCTTCTCTTCAGGCTGGTTCTGTTTTCCAGTATCTGATGTTGGAGCTGCAGGAACAGCAGGACGATCATCTTTGGTTTCTGGATCCTCTGGTGTTTTCTCTTCTGTTTGATGCTGAATCGGCTCATCCGTCGGTTTTAAGGTTTCCTTCCCAGCTTCCTCAGGCCCGACCACTTCTCCATCATCTTCGTCATCATGGTCATCTGCTAATTCAGCTTTCTTACTGAGAAGATGGTGAGGAACATCATCTGCATACTGGTCTTTTGATGCTCTCATTACGACTGGTTTTTCCTTTGTCTGGGGAGTTCCTGAAACAGTGTCTTCTTTCTCTTCTTCATCGTCGTCGTCGTCATCTTCCTCTGAACTGAAATCTCCTTCTGTCCTCTCTCCTCCAGTAACAACTGAAAAAACAGCATCTCCAAATGTCGTCCAGATGTTTCCCTTCTCCTCTGCTGTCTCTGGATTCTCCTCATGTGTGCTTGAAGGACTTTGATCCTGTTCAGGAGAAGCTGGTGATGGAGTGTTTGGAGGTTGATCAGAGAAGGACAGAAGTGGAGTTCCTCCTTCACCATCTGTCTTATCAGAGGAAAGATCATCTGCCTTCTCATTGTCCTCCTCCTCCTCCTCCTCCTCCTCCTCCTCATGTGGAGAAGTTTTCTTGGTTCTTTCCTCATCAGAAACGACAGCGTCAAAAGTGGAGCCGAGGTTCGTTTTTAACTTTGGGATCTGAGCTCCGACAGAGAGTTTTTCTGTGTACGCTCCTACAGACTCTTCTGACTCATGGGAGGAGGAGAGCAGTGGAGTTTCATCTCTAACTTCAGTTTCCTCATCAGGAGGACTCTCAGTATCTTCACTTTCCTCCTCTTCCTCATTCGGTGTAACATTTGTGGTGACTTCTTCATCAGAGACGACAGCGTCCATCGTGGATCCATAGCTTGTTTTCACTCTGGGGATCTTCACTCCCTCTGAGATGTTTTCTGTATAAGATCCATCTTCAGAGAACGACAGAAGTGGAGTTTCATCTTTGACATCGTCGTCGTTTTCAGGCAGATCCTCGACTGTCTGGCTCTGGTCTTCTTCCTCTGGAGTCGTTTTCTGAGTGATTTCTCCATCTGAGACGACGGCATCAAAAGTCGTTGCTAGAGTAGTTTTCAAACGAGGGATTTGCGTTCCTTCAGATACTCTGGTTGAATCAGATGCAGGAGTGTTTCCGGTGTCTTCAGAGAAAGACAGGAGTGGAGTTTCTTCTTTGAGATTAACATCCTCTTCATCAGGAGCAGCGTCCATGTCTTCACTCTCCTCCTCTTCATGTGGGGTAACTTTCTTGGTGATTTCTCCATCAGAGACGACGGCATCAAAAGTCGTCCCAAACGTGGTTTTTAACTCCGGGATTTGTTTCCCCTCAGATACTTTCACCGAGTCCTCGGCTGGAGTGTTTGTCGTCTCTTTGGAGTATGAGATCAGAGGAGTTCCTTCTTCATCATCATCAGTCTCATCTGTGGGAGGAGTTTCATCCTCCTCGCCGTCCTCCTCTTCATATGGAGTGACTTTCTTGGTGATTTCTTCATCAGAGATGACGGCATCAAAAGTTGTTCCAAAAGTGGTTTTTAACTCGGGGATCTGGACTCCCTCAGAACTTGAGACCGACTCTGAAACTTTGGCTGCAGGATCCACTGGAGTGTCTTTGGTTTCACCCGTTTCTGGCCCTTCAGGTTCAAGATCTGTGTGATCTCCATCTTGTTCAGCAGCATCTGGTGTATCTGGGTCATTTGAAGATGATTCAGATGTCGTGTCAGGTTCATGTAAAGAGGCACTTGGATCATCTGGGACTTGATCAGAGCCCTGATTCTCAGTTTCTTTTTCAGTCTGATCTGATGTCTCCTCATTTTTACCCTCATCCTCCTCCGCTGAAGATCCTAACAACGAATCTACATCATAATTGTTAAACTTATCGAAGCCGGTGTCGAAACAGACAAAATCTGTTTCCTGAAATAGAAAAGAGAAAGATTTTCAGAAAGTTGATCTTTGAAAGTTGAATTTTTAGTCACATTACGTTTAAAAAAAGACATGTTCATACCTCTGCAGCTACTTCGATTTCTTTCTCTGTATAAATGTGATTTACTGCAAGAAGATCACTTGGGAAATATCCAAAGCTAGTCCCAATCTGTCAACAGATTTACAGAGACAGTGTTCAGGATTATGCGTTCATAGATAAACTTCAACATTACAAAAATCAAACATGTTCATGGTCCACTTACACTTCCTGCCCATATGCCAGGCCTTCTTCCTGACAGTTTGTAGTAAACATATATAGTTTCTGACTGTTTGACTTTCAGGAACCGACAGTCGGGTCCAGAGAAGTCCTTCAGAGCTTTCCCTCGGACCAGCAGCACTGTGAAAGACAAATATATGAGGCATTACTGAGACAAGATACGGTTTCACATACAAGGTTGTTCTTGTTCACTGTTAAGTCATGTTATATACTCAAGATGGTTTGGTATCTGCATACATATATTACTCTAAATATGACATTTTTCTCTATTCAACTGAACGCGAAAGACATAAAAATGAGCGAGTACTCACACTTGGAAATCTGGTAAAAAAATCAATTCTTGGTTATTGATTGAGAATTTATAGACATTACTCTTTATATTAATAGCCATTTATGCACAACACTAGATAAAACCTCTTAACGTTATAAGTATTGTTTATAACTGTTTCCACTCTTTTTACCTGTTCAGGTAATGAGACAAAGCTTCACTCGTCGTCTGTGTGTTATTGAGCCTTATCTTCACAGTTTTATGGCTCTTAATTGACTTTTCCTGGTTACAGGTGGTCAATAAAACAACTTCCTATCATTCACAGAGGAATTGTTTATATTTCATAATAACAGCTGTAGTACAGACCCCTCAGACTGGACCTGAGTTAACTTACATTAAGTTATGGAGTACAGGAGTGTTAGCATGTCTAAACATCATTTTATTATTTTACTATTTTGTGTTGTATAAAGTGTACATACTCGTAAATTATCTCTTTTTTTAACTTATTTTATCTCTTTACTTTCTACTTATTTTATCTGTTTTTCTCTTTATTTTTTACTTTTTATCTATTGATCTCCTTATTTTTACTTTATCTATTTTTCTCTTCATTTTTTACTTATTTTATTCATGTTTCTCTTTACTTATTTAATCTATTTATTTTTTTAAATTTATTTTATCTATTTATCTCTTTGTTTTTACTTATTTTATCTATTTTTTCTCTTTATTTTTTACTTATTTTATCAATTTTTTCTCTTTATTTTGTACTTATTTTATCTATTATTTACCTCCCCATTCTAGCTTATTTGCACCGGAGTTTTTGTATTAATCCCCCTGTGGATTATTTAAGTATTTTTGATTCAGTGAGTCACTTTAATTCTCCTCTAAATAACCTACAAATAAGGTTTAATCTCAAGCTCTTATCAGTTAATCTCGTATAACTGTAATCTAGGCTCATGTTATTCAGTATTAACATTACGGTTAAAACTCCAACTAAAGCTAAAACAACAGAGTTAACGAGTCTTTTCCTTGTTTATCAGGTTAATTATAGTTTAGGTTAATGATTATGACCGGCTGTGGCTAATTAGCTGCTAACATTAGCCCCTCAGTCTGAGGCCGGAGATGCAGGACACCGGCCAAAACAATGCAAGAACCTTCTAGACTAGAAACATGATCCTGAGGAGGGTCAACAACACCAACAGCATCAGAACTAGAACCTCATCAGGTCATCCAGGTCACAGGGATCGACCTGAAACAGGTCCAGAGATAAGGTTCCGTTTATGGTTAGCTCTCTTATCGGGATGTTGGGAAGAAGCTGCTGCTGCTGCTGCATCCTAAAGTCCAAAGATCCTCAAAAACCAGGAACACTTACTGCTGCACTCCTCATCGGCGCATCTCTTCAGGTCCGAGAACCTTTTCTCCAAGGCTGCGGTGGAGATAAAATTAAATAAAAGTAATAAAAAGCCCTGTTTGTAGAAGTGTTTGGCTGCCATGCTGGCAGTTTTGTTGATTCTGCAGCAGCTGAGGCAGACGGAGCATGCGCACTGAGCAGACGGAGCCGACACGTCAGCAGACCGGATCCAACAGGGTGGAGGAGGTTCGGGTCTTTACAAGGTCTAAGGTTTGGATCAGACTGCTGCTGCATGTGACTGTAAGGAACAAAGACGAACAGAGCTGCAGCATCAGGATGTATCCTGGTCTGTGAGTCTGAACAGATCCGCTTTAAAACAAACACAGAGAAACTACTTCAGGAAAACTCTTAATAGGGGAGACGGGGGAAGTTGAGCCAAAGGGGAAGTTGAGCCCCACCCCCTGTTTCTTGTAAATGGTCAAAGAAATTGATCATGTGACCAAATCTTAAAGCAATGGACATCAATTCATGGAGTCTGTAAAGGTTGGAAGCACATGTGTGAAGAAGGGGTTAGACATTTATTTACAAAAATACTAGGGGTGCACCGATCACAATTATCTGGCTGACCACTGGTAGAGAACAATAGATAAAATAAGTAAAAAATAAAGAGAAAAATAGATTTTAAAAAAAGTAAAAAAAAGAAGAAAATGATAAGTAGATTAAAAAGAAGTAAAAAAAATAGAGGAAAATAGATAAAAAAGTTAAAAAAAATAAAGAGAAAAATAGATAAAATGAGTAAAAATAAAGAGATAAATAGATAAGTGAAAAATAAAAATAAAAACAGATAAAATAAGTAAAAACAAAGAGATAATCTACAAGTATGTACACTATATACAACACAAAATAGTAAAATAATAAACTCATGTTTAGATATGCTAATCCTTCCGTACTCCATAACTAAATATAAGTTTACTCAGGTCCAGTCTGAGGGGACTGTACCACATCTGTTATTATGAAAATATAAACATATAATGAACATAAACATAAAAATATAAGTCCTCTGTGAATGATAGGAAGTTGTTTTATTGACCACCTGTAACCAGGAAAAGTCAATCAAGAGCCATAAAACTGTGAAGATAAGGCTCAATAACACACAGACGACGAGTGAAGCTTTGTCTTATTACCTGAACAGGTAAATAGAGTGGAAACAGTTATAAACAATAGTGGAGAGCGGGGTAAGTTGTTGGTTACAGGGATGAACAACATCCTGAAATATCTGCAGATACACCAGTGATCGGAAATATGAAAAATGGATCATCTTACCCCAGTCTCCCCTACACAAGAAAAAAACAGACTAACTCTAAACCTAACATTGACCACTTTCTAAATGAACTGAAGAAATACTGCTCTGTTATTAATGGACTTAAGAGCAAGAAGGCTCTATAAACAAACTCTGTTTTGGACAAATATTATGAGGATCATTGATCAACTTATTTTTTCTCTTCTTACCTGGTAGTTATTTTCTTACTGGTCTTGTTTGTTTGTCTTGTTGATGTTCGCTTTAGTTTGTTTGTTGGTTCTGAATCCCCTGTAAAAAGTCAGTGGTATATTGTTAAATGAAATAATGACAAAATTTTAAAAAAGCTCAGGTTTTTCACAGGGTCTAAGGTTTGGATCTTTCTGCTTTGTGTGACTGTGGCAAACAGGGAAACAAATAACAGAGCTGTATCAGGATATATCCTGGTCTAAAGTCTGTACAGTTCCTCTTTGACACATAAACACACAGATTAACTTCAGTAGAACAAATACAGGATTAGTTCAAAACCGTCAAAGTGGTCTTTTAGAGTCCAGCCCATACAAAGGTCTGTAAGAAACTTTCTTTAAATCAATCCTGATTCAATAGAGTTAAAAAAAAATCAGAGATTATAGGCTCTAAATGTTTATAACAACTTAATTAATGATAACTTTATTTTCATATCACAATTAAATAGTAATAACAATAATTATACATTTTATTTATATTGCGCTTTACATCTGAGAAAACAGATAAGAAGAATAAGAATAGGAAGAGCTTTATTAATCCCCAAAGGGAAATTCAATAAAAGTAAAATAATAATAAATAAATAAATATAGTTTATAAATAATATAGTTTATAAAAGTCATGTTCCACATGAGAGGGACATCAATCAATATTTAAAAAATAAAATTATATTAAAATGAAAGCAGAACTAGACTTAGTATTCGTTTATAAAAAATAAAAACTACAAGAACACTTTAATTTTGAGTTATCACAAATACATTTAAAAAATGATGTTCAAGGAGTTTTAGTGATATCAGTTTGTTAATTTAATCAATTTAGTCAGTCCAACTTTTTTATCTTTTTATAAATTTGATCACTTATTTTAATGTCTTTTTTATCCTCCTGACCTCTGAGTCTCTCTGGTCCAGCTCAGTGTTGGGGGTCAAGTCAGGTTAGGACCACAGAGGTTCTTCTTCTTTGTTCTATGGGGGTTGGAAACCAACTTAAGGAGCATTACCGCCACCTACTGGATCGGAGTGTATCACAGGAAATTAAGCAGAAAATAAAGACATGTGTCTTTACATCAATATACCCACTAAACTCCAAAGTTAAACTTTGTACAATAATCCAGTCTCTCTTGAATCCTTCGTTAATGACTTTTTCAGACGCTGCATGGAGTTTGTTGTAAAAGACGAAGCAGGAAAAAACTCAAGCGAAGAAGAAAAATCATTTGACCCGCCTGTTCCGGTGAAGGCAGCCAATCGCCGTTCAGTATTTCCTTTCACTTCCTGATACAGAACGATAACAAACATGTGAGAGAGCGGGCGGATCGATAAATCTGTAGATCCATGAAATCAGACTGAAAGTCAGACTTTAACATTAATTAGCTCTTTACTCCTCAACACAGGATAACTTTACTTTGATGTCGGCTTTTCGTTTACACCGGAAGTAAAGATTTAATGTTACAGCAAAAACAACAGGTAAGACCGGAAACACAACAACCTTTACTTTAGTCTTTAGAGGAAACAAAATCTCCATATTTTATATTTTATAGTATTTTTGCTCCATTTTCTGAACAATGCTGGAGACTTTTAACGATAAAACATGACTTTGTTAATGTAAACCCACAAATAAAAAAAGGAAACTACAGGAAAAAAAATAACTTAGACGACAGTTTGACTCTAAACTCGTCCTGAGATTCTGCTGTAACAGGAGTTTACCTACAGATAATGACTAAAACAGGATAAAACTGTGGTTTCAGATTATTTCTATTAGTCCACAGTGATTATAATCCAGCAAGAAGCAGAGCTGAGACAGTTAGTGATGAAGATCAGTGATCTGATATTTTATTTTATCATCAAATAATTATTCTGTTGGAGAAAAACTCCGAACCATGTGTATCTCATTCTTCCAGGTCAGGGTCAAGTCAAAGTTAATTTATAAAGCACCTTTAAAAGACAGCAGTCAAACAAAGTGCTGTACATGGGATAAATAAAAGAAGTAAATAAATAGAAAGATAACAACTAAACATTAAAATCAAAAACAGTAGAGTAAAATACAGACAGTAAAAGAAGAAAAGCTTCCCACTGAGCAACAGACGCTATCAGGCATCTAGTTTATTTTTTTTTTAGACCTAATTTCAACCGTCTACATTCTGTATATATGTAGACGTTGCACTTTAACCCATTATTCAATAACTATTTATTTCAAAAAGCAACTGTGAGTTTCATGACTGATCTCCAAGTACTAAACATAAATAATAATGATAGTCGTTGAGCAAAATACAGTGTAGTGTAGATATAGCCCAGATTTAGACTTGGTCTAAACTTAGATGTCTAAAAATACTTTCATTTTTAGACCTGTGGTAGCCTGATTGTAGACCAGTCATCTAGGCTACATTTAGACGTCTATTAGACCAAAAAATGCTCAGAGGGAACAGTGCCTCTGATTCCTGTGTGCTCATTTATTAAATCCAAGGGAGAAAAGGCGAGTTTTTAAAGATGATTTCAAAGACTCTAAGGTCAGAGAGGCTCTAATATGGTGAACTGTTCCAACGCTGAAAAAGCCCATCACCTCTACACTTGAGTCTGGTTTTGGGGACGCTCAACAGTAACTGGTCAGAGGACCTTAACGCTCTGGCTGAGGGGCGGTGATACAGGAGCTCTGACAAGTAAGGAGGGGCGAGACCATCAAGGGTTTTAAAAACGATTAAAAGAATTTAAAAATCAATACGAAAGCGGACTGGGAGCCAGTGAAGGGTCACTAAAATCAGAGTCATGTGGTCGCGCCTTTTCTCACCAGAGAGGAGTCGAGCAGCAGCGTTTTGGATGAGCTGAAGGCGGTCGATGGATGACTTGTCCAATCCTGCGTATGAGGAGTTACAGTGATCTATTTGTGATGTTATAAAGGCGTGACGTTTTCTCAAGATCAGCCTTTAAAAAATCATTACTGTTCTGTTGTTCCTCCCTGCAGATGAAAATCATACCCTGAGCATCAACACCAGTGAAGTAAAGCAGCTTTGTTTCCCGAATCCTGACAATGGATGAATCGGAAGAAGAGGTCGGACCCCTCGAAGACCCAACTGACGGAGATGACTGCTCAGAAAACGGCTCCACAAGAAGCAGGAGGGAACGAAAGCCCCCTGTAGCTGAGCCTGTGTGTGAAGGTGAGTTTAACTCCTGCAAAGAAACACATCTGCTGCTTTTTTACTGTGTTATATTCAGATATATTTATTCTTGTGATCATAACTGTTGACTTTTTACCTAAAGAGACACAGTTTGAGACCGGATATCATCGGAGCACCAGGATGTGTCTGAAGCGGATCAGAGACGCAGTTCTGCATCATCGTTGGCAGGAGGCTGCAGAATATATGGCGTGTTTCTCACAGATGTTCGAGGATCCGACTCACAACTCAGCTCAGGAGAATAAAGAGGCAGGTTTGGTCTGTCTTAGTGGGCACTCCTCTCAGGAAGAAACGGGTTTCACATCACCAAAGGATATTTTTATTCTGTAGAACAGCAAAGTTCAACACGACTACACTAAAGAGTTTCCAGCTGTCAGACAGTTCATACATCCTAAATATTAACCTCTTTGTTCATATTTTCCACCTCAGATCATTTGGAGACTCGGCACAGAGATCCTTCATCATCTCCCAAACTCAAAGAAGGCGGACTACAACAACATCTATGAGCTGATAAAGCACACCAGTGTTCGACATTATCTGATGGTACGGTTCAGAGACTTGGACTTGGCTCGGAGTTTTCAAATGTTTCACTTTTTCATTGAAATTATGGGGAAAATGAACTTTTTAGGGCTGTTTGAGCTGCACCTGTACACGGATGTCGTTCTGATTTTACTGTAATGAACTTGTAAAACAGGTCGTTTTCCTCCTCTAGGTCAGTCTGGAACATTCCTTCCATCTTCTTCTGAAGGGTGAGTTTAACGATGCGAAGCATCAGATGACTGTCGCTGAAAGTTGGAGACATGGAAGAGAGTCGGCGACTCAGAGTAAGAAGATCAAACTGATCCAAGCCTACAGGAGCTTACTGGACCATCTGATCTGGTGTGACAGAAAGTTTGAACAGTCCAACACAGGTAAGGTGACACACAGCTTCACACCTGAGGCATCTATTATTTACTCTGTTAGTTACACAGACACACGGCAAGCTGGTGTGCAGTGTCGCACTGCCACCTACAGGTCAGAGCAGCTAACATACAGGAGCTCAAACACTAAATGCTGTTGTGGTTGATGGTTTGAATTTCTGAACACTTGGTCAATTATGATCTTTTTGTTTCCGATTATTCAGACCGGAGTGACGACACAGAAATGCACAGCAACTTCAGACAGGCCTCAGTGAGTCTGAGGGAGATTTTGAGAAATCCAGGAGTCTGGGACCCCTTCATACTGAGCTACGTGGAGGTCTGAAGAACTCTTTTCCAACGGCCTGAAATCACGAGATGAAAGACTAGACTTAACGAGAAACATGTTAAAAGTCAGCTGTGGATTTCTTCCTTTATTAGGGCGCCAAAGTTTTATGGAGTTACAGACATAATTTAGACTTTCTTTCCTTTTAGAAGAGGAGGTTATATATGAGGTTAAATATCACTGTGTTATTTTTTCAGATGTTGGACATCTACGAGGATCACACAGAAGCTTTAAACGTGTTGGAGAAGTACGCTAATGACTCCTCTTTTCCACCCAATCCTAACGCACACGTGTATCTGTACCAGTTCTTAAAACGACACGATTTTCCAGTCAAGGAAAAGCGGAAAGTTTTAAAGGTAGAGCTGCTGCACCGAAAAAGCTTTATGAATAAAATACAACTGTGAATGTCTGATGTGCTTTGACTTAGAAAAGCTGATTTAAGATTCAGACTTTGTTGTGCTGCAGGTGCTGCAGGTTCTGGTCCCCAGCCATGAGCTGATGTTGGAGTACAGCGCCATCCTGCTTCACTCCGGTAAGAGCGACATTAAATTTACTCCACTTTTTGTCAAATATTTTAGGAAAAGTGGAATTTTCACTCTTTCCTCAAAGTGATATCTTAAATAATTCCTCTGCTCAGAGAAAACTAAAGACACTCAGAAAGCTTTGGAAGTCGTTCTGGGAATGTTGGACTTTTCCTGCTGGAGAAACAGTCTGGATGTTTGGGAGCGTCTGAAGGACAGTATCCAGAAGTTACAGTCAAAGTATGTTAAACGTTTTTCCTTAGAAGCCACTAAATGTCAAAGTAACGGCTGTTTTTGTTAATATTCGGATTATATTATGAATGTGTGTCAAACAGAAAGGACTGGGAGAAGGTGGTCGCGGAAAAAATGGCTCCAAGAAAAGACTGGTGGCCTGCGCTGCACTTCACAAGTTTCCACGCCGGCGTGGACTCTGTGGAGAACCCAGAGCTGATGACAGTGAAGGCGTCGCTGACAAAGATCCTCTGTCCCGGTGAGTAGATCCACATTCAGGTGGACAGAAGCTGTGAGCTGTCACTACTGATAACGTTGGATCATGGAGAGTAATCTCAGAGGCCCTACAGACCCTCACTGTTATCTAACAAACCTTCATGAATAAATTAAGATGTAATACAACCTCGAACTGAAGAAAATTCAGAGGAAGTTTCACTGTCCTCTTAAAGGGATAGTTAGGTGCTGTTCTGAGCATTATTTGTGGCTATAGAGTGGCGTTTTGTTTGGGGGCGTGGCTCTCTGTATTTCTATCCTGCGGTCGTTACTAAAGTTGGTATAACTAGAGAAGCAAGCGGTCGACAACATTCATCTCTGGAGGGGGGGTCTAACTCGGTGTTACGGTGGGTTTGACCCTAAATTAATTTTACCCCGGAATATCCCTTTAAATTATGATTTTAGGAGCAGTAAAATTTGTGCTTGAATATCTTCTAAACTGTGACAATGACAGAAAATTCCCCTTTTTTCTTTTATTTATTTTCTTACAGACCTGAACCTGAAGTACTCAGCAGAGACCAGAGGAACTCAGACTGAATCACGGCCGTTTAAAAGAGTCAGGAGGACGTGTCCTGATGAAGCTCCATGATGTTTTTTGACTCAGACACGACCCTGAGTAAAAACAGAACTCTAATTCTTCTTGTTGAAAATATCCAAAGCATGAGCGAGTTTGTCCACCGTGTGGCGCTCTTGTTCTGTGTGTGGTCATGCGGCGAGGCGCTGCAGGTTATGGCTGACACGTTCTGACAGCGTTGCTTTAAATGTCCACCTTCGTGTTGGTTTTATGAGTTCTGTAAACGCTTTAATGGGGTCAGAGTCTCAGTCTGTCCTCCGCTGAACTTTGACCCTGTATGAAGGTTTTTTAGGGTCCCTCAGATGAGAACACGGCCTCACGGACTCATCAGGATCAGATCTGAGGGTCAGACCGCAGACAGGTGGTCAGTGCTGATGTGTTCAAACATCTGTTTATTGTCATTATCATTAAATATAAGGTTGTTTTTTTAGAGAAGTGTGTTTCCTGTCCGCCTTTATCAAACAGCATCATTAATGACGCTCTGATATTCTGATTCATCTGTTCTCGGTTTTCTTATTTGATTTGAATTCTGTGTTTTTCTCATGTTCGTGTCCTTAAATGTCTCCGATGGTTATTAAAGGGTTTCGGCCTCCACCACACGCTCCTCTCTGGACTGAACCATGAAACACGCTCTCTGAGCAGCAGCAGCAGCAGCAGCACGCCAGTTTAATAAGTCAAAGTGTTTGTAATAATTCGGTTTCGGCTCGCCACATTGTTGGCCGTGCAGCAGCTCAGTCAGCCGTACGGTGAGCGTGTGCATGTGTGTGCGTGCATGTGTGTGTGTGTGTGCGTGTTGCTGTGCAGTCGTTACATAAACCAAAGCCTAAAGCGCTCGCCTGACCAGAGCAGCAGCTGCAGAGGAGATCTGGGAATGCAAACACATGTCATCTGAAAACTCAGAATTTGGGGCGCAGTGAGGAGGATGGAGCGAGGAGCTGCTGGTCTGGACGTGTCCCGGATCTGACCTGATTGGTCTAATCCTGACATAGATGTCCAGTCCTTACATTGTTCCCTCTGTCATCAGGGCGCCCTGACACGACAGTTTGAAGACGATGTTTTCAGAGGATACAGAGTCGAGACCCTCTTCACTTCATGGTCGCTCCACAAAAGAGCCTCTTGGGTAACCGTTGTCTACTGCGTCTCTCACCAGAGGAGTCCACGAGAACCTGCTTTGTTTGGGTCTTAATTTCCCTCTGGTGTGGTTGTAACACAAACTCGGGGAGCAGTTCGACCTGAGAAGTAGGTGTGACAACCAATCAGGGACTATCAGAAAGTGTCCGTACTGTGACCGTGGCAGGGCGCCCTCGCTGTTAACGAGACCGGCGCTCCAAATGTGCAGCTTCAGTCTGAGCAGCTTCACTTCTGAGTCCAGAGGGAAGAGAAAGAGTCAATAAAGTAAAAGACGCTGGATTTCATGTCTTTATTTAAAGCCTAAGTTTGACTGAAAACAGTGAAACAGCTCCTGTTATTGTCCTGTCACAGGATTTCGGATTTATTTGATTTAAAACAGGATAATACATATTATTGAACATAAACATGTAAATACGCAAGATTATAGCCAAAGACTGATTTCCATCTTTAGTCCCTTTGGCAGGTAGATGTCATCAACAGAGATAAGAATATCAATAAAACAACAAAGAGTCGTCAGAGAGGAGAGAAACATGTCTGTGAACGCAGAAGTCGGACAGAAAATAAGAAAAGAATGAGAAGTATCGTGGACCATGAAACAGTGTTAACTGCTAAAATTAGTTGTTAAAGGGCTGATAAAGAGTTCAGTCATGGTTATTGTAACAGTGTTGTTGTTCCAATAGACAAACTTTCAGATGTTCGGTGAAAGAGGTCAGAGTCGAAGTGAAAGAGGAACTACACACTCACCTCGAGAACCAGCTCTTGTTGATCTTCTTGGGTTTTTTTTTTCACAAATTCCTGGAATGAGATTTTTTGTGAATCAAGATGGTGTCGGTGAATTTAACATGATTTTTTGACAGGAATGATTCTGTTCTCATGTTTGTCTGATGAATATGAATCTGCTGGTTATTAATTCAGTAAAACAGAAAGAAGTGGACAACAACAGGCCTCCTCTGAGCTCCTCTTTAAGGGTTTTTGTGCTTTAATACAGCCCAAAGGAAACAGCTGTTTATATGAAATATGTTCACCTGGGAAAGCTCTGAAGGTCGCTGCGACACTCTTCTGTAAAATCTATCAGGTTTTTAAAAAAATCAGATCTGAAGACTCTAACAGGCTCCTCAGACCTCCTCCAGCTCAGGGAGAACCTTCTGAGGTCTTCAGACTCACCCTGCCGTGAACGGACGAATGATCATCAGGAGAGATTCAGCATCGACTCAATCTGGAAACAAAGATGTCGGATGTTTTTCGCCTGGTTTATAAAGATGCAGAATGCTCTTTAGTTTTACCCTCTCTCTACAGTCACACACACACTCTCTCTCTCTCTCTCTCTCTCACACACAGACACAGAGAGAGAGAGAGTGACTCAGGGTCTCGCTCGGTTGCTCTGCAGGGCTCTGAGGATTTGTAACCTAAAATCCAGACTCGCACAGTGACAGCAGAACATCTCAGTAACTCTGCACAACATTTGAAGTCTGCTGCGGTTTAGTGGGAGAAAGTGTGAGAATTCAGCCGTGCAGTTTTGGACTGAACACACTGATGTCTCGGCCGAGCGCCGCATACTAACAGCAGGGACGAGATAAAGACGGGAACATAAGCTGGAGACTGAGTCATCTTCAAAACGTGATTCAAGATCAAACTGGAGGAACGAGAGGGAAAAAAAACGATGTTCATGAATGAGAGACGCCCCTCCAGCACAATCATGGAGTACTCCAAACCCACCACAGATAACAAAAAGCTCTCCACACACACACACACACACATGATTCTGACAGAACCTGCTTTAGGCGAGTTCTGGAGAACTTCAGCTCGAGCAGGAAAGAGTAAAGAGAAGATTCCTAAAATATCCTCCCCGCTCCGTCTGTGAAGTTAAAAGTGACAACCGCACTACCTTTGTTCTTGGAGTGCAGCTGCAAAAATAGTTTTCAATAATGTATTAGACGGAGGAATAAAGGCTGTGAGATGATTTCAGACAAACAGATTCCCTCGACTCGGAACGATTGCTCCACTTATCCAGCCTGGAAGAAAAACCCACGGCCTTCAGAGTCAACAGCTAATCCCCCTACAGATCTGAACATCTGGGGACTGAAAAAACGCTGAAACATGATCGTCACTCGAGAGTCCTCTCTGAAATGTTGCTCATGCACACAGCAGCAGAGCAGAAGAGAGCGGGGTAATGACTCTGACCGGCGGAGCAATCAGCAGAGGCCGCCGAGGTCTCATTTCTTGCATGCCTGAGTGTGATAAGAGGAAATCCAAATATTGTGACTTTACTGTGAGCTCTGTGGAAACGAACCGACCGACCAACTGGGAGAGGAAGAAAACCCTTAAAAGACCTGCAAATCAGAGGAGAGAGAGAGAGAGAAAGAGAGAGAGAGAGAGAGAGAGAGAGAGAGCACAAGAGAAATCCAGGCATCAATTATTAAGACACAGAAGAAGACAGTAGGACACGATCTACAGACGAGGAGGAGGCCTTTAAAGGCTGTTTTTAACGTTTCCTCCTTTAGAGCGAAATCAGGAGAAGATTTCAACAAAGAGGAGCGAAGATTCAGCGTCTCTATCTTCATGAAACTCCCCATTTAAAGGCGGCTAAAGCATGAAGCTTAAAGGGATATTCCGGCGTAAAATTGATTTAGGTTCAAACACACCGTTTGTTTGTAGCGAGACCTCAGGCCAGTCCATTACAGACTACAGCGGGGTGCCGCAGCTCAAGGAAGAACATTTATGATCATTTCTTTAATCATTTTCTCTGCAGACGCGGTAGTTCTTCTGTCTTAGCATCCCGGTCTGATTGTATTTCCATGAAGAAATGAGTAAAAGGATCAAGAAAAGCTGCCTGTTGGTTTTTACTGTTCGGGTTCATCCTCCGCTCTCATCAGCTCACTTCTTACTTTAATAAAACCTTTTGTCAATAAGCAGTGAGTGGACATGAAGCTCAGAAGCTGGTGGAGATCAACAACCTCTGATCTAGTCGGGGATGATCTGTTATCTGGGATTTTGAGCCCAATAAAAGCTTCAGCACTGAGCTGAGAAGGACCTCTGTCAGTCGCATGTCTTCACAGTTGTCCTAATTTTCTTTATTAGGTCGCAGAGCCACACCAGGACCAGAAAACTCTCTAATCATTATTTTGTGGAAACTTTTCTGTCTTGCGTGTATTAAACTGAATTTATTGGAGCCTTTCACACATCGAACAGTTTTTTAATTTTCTAATCTTAATCATTTCGTCTCCGTTTTTCTGCTCTTTAGTCCTGGATTCTGTTATTCATTTATTTATTTTTTTCACTTTAATTTTATTTGCATTTTTTAAACATAACAGAGACAAGAGATACGGTCATACAACGAAAAATATAAATAAAAACAAACACAAAACATGGTGTCATTTTCAGAGAAGAAAAGAAAGTTGTCCATTTTTTAAAGTAAGGTAAATAAATTTATATTTGTTCCATTTTTCCCTCTTTCAGGTGTTTGTTTCTTGTTGGAGTCGTAGCGCGTGAGTTATTTTTTCCATTTCATATCGTTCTTCCACCGTGTCCTGACAGTTTTTCTGATCGGGTGGATTCTCCTTAAACCAGTTTCTTGGGTTATTCCCACTTCAACCCTGGATTCTCTTATTGAGTTATTATAACCCCTTCCAGCAGGGAGCGCTACATCCACCTGCATCAAACCTCATGTGATGACTTCATGTCAGCCTCTGCAGGTTTTTCATAATAGACCTGAGACTGTGAATGGAGCCTCTGAGAAAGCTGTGGACGTCTATTGTGTTGATTCTCATGAGCTCATCTTTGAGTTTGTGCCGTTTTTCTCGTTCTCCTCTCGAGTGTTTGGACTGAAAAGACTCGGATAATGGCTCGAGTTTTCAGTAAACATGTAATCTTAGATTTTTGAAACACAAAGGCAGCATAATGGTTATTTACGCTGCTTCAGAGGTGATATCATCAGAGGTGATATCATCCACAAACACCTCTCTACCCTACAATCTCAGTTTTCACACTCGGTCCAACCCTCTGCAGCTCTGCAGGTGAAAAAAAAAGGAGTGATTCTGTGAAACGGTCGTCCTGACAGAGAGGAACCTTTTCAAGCACTTCAGTGACTCATGTCAGCACAAGAAAACGCGCCTCCTGACTAATAATGTTCCTACTTATCTGTAATTCTGAATGAATGCAGCGAGCGATGAACAAAGAGGGAACTTGAAGTGACCTTAAAGACGCTGTTTGACTGTCTGGACTGTGGGGGGTTGATGTGGATGAAAGTAAAACCAAGTCTGACTCGTTTCAAACATGGTGGAGTTTTCTGTCCTCTTTTACTCATCCTGTCTTCAACCAACGCTTCTATTCACTCCTGCACGTCTGATTTTGGCTCTTAGAGGAGATCATGGGCTTGAATTTTCTGTCCTCTGACGTGTTATCTATCATTTTATACAGTCAATGGTTTGAACTAGGGCTGAGCAATAAACCGAATATTTACCGATACTGAAATTTACGACAATAACCGACGTCTTCACAGAAATCTCCGACCACGTTAAAGTGTCTGTGATAATTTAAACCTGTCTTTATATTAGTGATTAGTAAAAACAGGTTTAATATTCTACAAATACAAACATGAGTTAAGTTTATTAAAAACTAACTTACAAAAAAGAGATTATTTCAGTGTGTAGAAGTATTAACCTTTGACCTCTGAAATACTGAGATGATTTTATTTTTGATTATCATTATTATTAATTATCATTATCATTATTATAATCTATGAATGAAATCAAAACAAAGATAAAGTCCAGTAAACATGATCAGATCTGTGCAGCTCTATCAATTAATCATCAATCAATCTTTATTTATACAGCACCAATTCATAACAAGTGACCATACTCTGTTTTAGGGCTGGGCGATAAACTGAAAATTTACTGATACAGAAATTTGCGATAATAACCGACATCATTTTGCCCATATCGGTATAAAGTTAAAGTGAAATATGACTCAAAAAAGTGGAAATGCCTTTAAAAATAAATTCATCAATTATAACAGGAAGTCCATCAAACTGAGTCTGAGATAATGTGATCGATTAGTCCTAAAACAAACTCTCATTTTTTAGAAGATGGATTAAACAAAATATATGGACAGATGTAGGGCTAGGCAATAAACCGAAAATTTACCAATACTGAAATTTACAATGACAACCAACGTCATTTTGTTGTTTTTGGATGTGGCTATGGTCTCATGTCCCTTTAAGACGCTGTCCTACGTCAGAGACGTGACTCCGCCCCATCCAGTCGGTAACAAAGAGGGAAAGACAGGTGAGGAGATGGAGGACGGAGAGAAAGTTGGAGCGGCTGAAGTAGACGAAGTTAATGTGGGAGGGGGTGATCAGCTTGAGGAGTAGTTATCGTCCATTTATCGTTATCGAGGTGAACTGATCAATATATGGTGATATTGATTTGAGAACATATCGCCCAGCCCTACTGTTTGCAGTCTGTTTACTTTGACTATTCTGTTCAAGTTTGAGGTCGTCTCCTCTGTCGGCGGCGTCCTCTTCTCATCCCTGTATTTAAGTGACTGAGTCCTCACGGTCAAGAGTCTGTCACCAAATAAGTCCAAGTCCTCGTCTCCGTCTCACGAGTCCCAGTGAGGTCAGTACCTGAGTCCAAGTCTGAGTCATCATCAGTGTGAGTCAGGGAGGACTTGAGTCAGACTTCAGTCCGAGTCTCAGAGTTGAGTATTACACAGTTTCTGAGTGATAATCATCATGGCTGGTTTACATACGCTGGACCAGAATAGAAGCAGGACCAGAACAGACTGACGGTATCAGCCTGAACCGACTCCGGCGGTGATGACATAATGTTGATTCACTTTATTTGCCTAGTTTAGATTTGAATCTGTTATGTAATAGGAGGACGCAAACAGGAGGTGATGAATAGGATGTAATGGGGAATGAAATCTACACAGACAGGGAGTGAAAGGGGAAGTGACGAGTACCGTACATACTGTGGCTCAGTGCGAGCTCCCTCTGTCCACATGGAGTGACCTTGGGCTAAACGGCAGCAGGGGGGGAGGATGGTGGCGGCGGCGGCCTCTACCATCAGAGTCTGAATGTGGCGTAAAGACCAGAGACAGAGGCGTACAAACATGAACGGAGGTTAAAGTCCACTGCGGTGTGTTTTTCATATTAGTGTAAAATACTCATATTCCCTTTACCCATATACAGAGTGTCTAAAATATGAATATAGTGACTTCACCAGTTGGAGTTGTGACGCCTGTCATGGTCTCTATTAAAATACTGACCAGCCTTATTCTGAGAGGACGAGCTGAGGTGGTTTTTAACCTCCTACAGTGTTCACCTGTCAGTCAAGTCAACTGAGACCAAACAATGTCTATTAATCCAGATTATAATGACCTCAGAGGTTTGACTGACTTAATTTCTTGTTCTTTTCAGTTTACCATCATCTGTTACTGGATTTGGAATAAACTTGATTCATGATTCCAACACAGTTTGAATTTCCATATCCTACTTTTTAGAATTATTTTTGGAAATACCATCTTTTCTATTTTAAAACTGTGGTAATATAGTCTTTTAACATAAATATTTTTCCATACTTTATTTTTCATTTACCATAATTTTTAAGACCTGGAAACTGATCTAATTACTTCCATACTTTTCACACTTGTGTAGGAACCCTGTGGATGGGATTAAGATTAATTGGATTAGATTCGATGGGATACAGTTAGATATAACTGTACTGTATAACTGGACTGTATTGGGCTGGATTAGATGGATTAGATTATAATGAATGGAATTCAGTTCATTGAGAATGGACTGGACTGGAATGGATTTGGTTGGTATGACGACCGTCTGCTTCTTTTTTTGATTAGATTTTCTTGGATTAGATCAAACTGAATTAGATTGGATTTGGATGGATTGAATAGAAATCGATGGGATTGGATTAAATCACACTGGATTAGATAGAATTGAAAGAGACCAGACTGGACTTGACTGGACTGGATTGTGATTGACGGACCTCATGTAGGGCCGAGCAGGGACATCCAAAGGGTCAGATGTGGCCCTCGGGACCTTAAAATACCCAGGTCTGATCTAAAGAGACGATCAAGAACAACCCCGAGGTTTCTGATGTTTCTGTGGAATTGGATGAAGTCAGGTTGGGAACATACAGATGTAGGGCCTAAAGGTGCCTCTCATGATGGTCAGCATGTGTCTGTCACTCTGTTATCGACACTGATTTAAAAAAATAACCCAATCCTCTATTAAGAGAGTCTTCCTGAGAGCCCGTCACGTGACCCGTCTGATTTTCTCTCTTTATCAGAGTCTCCTTGGAAAACCAACGATGTCCTTTCACGCTCGTCCACACTCCGGCAGAGAGGAAGCCGACAAAGCAGGAAAGCTGATGAGTATGCAAATGACAGGGAAAAAGAGAGAGAGAGAGAGAGAGAGAGAGAGAGAGAGGAGAAATGAAAGCAGAGTGATACATGTCATTTG